ACTTGTATTGGAGGTCCCTGCTGTGTTTCTCCTCCCTGACTCTGCAGAGCAGTTGCTCATGTGCTCCCTTTCACACTAGGGAAGGTTCTGTGACTTGTCCTGGGCCTCTTCTCTTTGCAGGAGCTTGATTTGATTCCCAGGGCTTTTGTTCTTTCAACTCTAATACTCTTAGTCTCATCCCCTCAAGTCTTAAATTTATTTTTGAGAAGAGCAACCATCTAATGTAGGCAGACCTAACACCGAGGTTATCGTTAATTTTCCTACATTATCTATGTTTTGTGGTATATCACATGTATCAAATGTTGATAAAATATGCATTGACAAAGCATTGAAACTCTAGATCATTGGGGTTCATATGAGGATTTCTTTTCTGTGTTTAAACTGTGGTATATACAGTATATCAGCTGTTCTCAAGTTTTTTCTTTTTTAATCTATAGGTTGTAATAATTGAAAGTGTTAGGAAAAAAAACCTTTTACTTTTTTTTTTTTTTTTTTGAGACAGGGCTTTACTCTCTTGCCCAAACTAGAGTGCAGTGGCATCATCATAGCTCACTGCAACCTCAAACTCCTGGGCTGAAGTCAGGGGTCCTCAAACTTTTTAAACAGGGGGCCAGTTCACTGTCCCTCAGACCGTTGGAGGGCCTGACTATAGTTTAAAAAAAACTATGAACAGATTCTTATGCACACTGCACATATCTTATTTTGAAGTAAAAAAACAAATGGGCAAAAACACCCGCATATGGCCCGCAGGCCATAGTTTGAGGACGCCTGGCTTAAGTGACCATTTTGCCTCAGCCTCCTAACTAGCTGGGACTACAGGTGCATGCCACCATGCCCGGCTAATTTTTAAATTTTTTGTGTTGCCAAGGCCAGTTTTGAACTCCTAGCCTCAAGCAGTCTTTCCACCTCAGCCTCCCAAAATGCTGGGATTATAGGTGTGAGCCACCACCCCTGACCCTTTTACATTTAGTCTAGAAATTATCGAGTATCAGTCTCTTTAAACATCTCTGTTAACTTGTGAAATCAGGATTGTTAAGATCTTGCTCTATAGGAAAGTGTATGTGGTGGAAGCATAGGTAGGTTCAGCCACTTTGGAAAACAACTGGCAGTCTTCTATTAGGCTGGACATTCATGTACTCAGTCAACCTGCAGTTCTTTCCCTACATGTGTAGGAGAAATGGTTGCACATACACACCAGGACGTGTGTTGAAGCATAACCAGAACAGCAGGACTCTGGAAACATCTCAAGCACTCATCAGCAGGAGACTAAACAGCTCGGTGGTGGTGGACTGGTAGACTCGGTGGAGCCTGGTAGACTAAGTGTGATACAGTGGTGAAAATTATATTACAGCAGTATTATACAGCAGAGGTGTATCATACAGTAGTGAACGTTCACAGCTTGGAGCATTTGCAACATGTGGATTAGTCTCAGAGGCATAATATTAAGCCAAATAGCAGAAGACTCCTATAGGAGAATTCCATGTTACTAAAATTCTGAAACTATCAAAATGAAACAATATTTTGTTTGTCACATATATATATGTAATGGAACTTTTTTATAAATAGAAACACAAAATTCAGGATTGTGGTTGTTTTTTTGTTTTTGTTTTTGAGACAGAGTCTCACTTTGTTGCCCAGGCTAGAGTGAGTGCCGCGGAGTCAGCCTAGCTCACAGCAACCTCAATCTCCTGGGCTCAAGCGATCCTCCTGCCTCAGCCTCCCGAGTAGCTGGGACTACAGGCGTGCGCCACCATGCCCGGCTAATTTTTTTCTATATATATTAGTTGACCAATGAATTTCTTTCTATTTACAGTAGAGACGGGGTCTCGCTCTTGCTCGGGCTGGTTTCAAACTCCTGACCTTGAGCAATCTGCCCACCTCGGCCTCCCAGAGTGCTAGGATTACAGGCGTGAGCCACCGCGCCTGGCCTGTGGTTACTCCTTAAAGGAAAATGAGTATGAGATAGGAGAGGAGTGAGCAGGTATATGGAACTTAACCAGTCACATTTTTGTCCCTCGGTGTGGGTTCAGAAGGCTCACTTTGTAGTTGTGCTGTACACCTCGAGTGCATGTACATGCTTGTGTATCAGAGTTATGTTTAATCTTATAGACAGGGCTTACTAATATGCAAAGAGTTCTTACAAGTCAGTGGAAGATTAACAAGATTTTTTTTTTTTCCAGACAGAGTCTCACTCTGTTGCCGGCTAGAGTGCCGTGCCGTCAGCCTAGCTCACAGCAACCTCCAACTCCTGGGCTCAGGCGATCCTCCTGCCTCAGCCTTCCCAGTAGCTGGGACTACAGGCATGCGCCACCATGCCCGGCTAATTTTATATATATATATATATTTTTTTTTTTTTCTTTTTAGTTGTCCAGCTAATTTGTTTTTATTTTTAGTGGAGACAGGGTCTCGCTCTTGCTCAGGCTGGTTTCAGACTCCTGACCTGGAGCAATCTGCCCGCCTTGGCCTGATTAATAAGATTTTTAATGAGTATATTATTTTCCTTTGGCTACTAAACAAAGTACCACAAAGTTGGTGGCTTAAAATAACAGAAATTTATTTTCTCACAGTTTTGAGTCCAGAAATCCAAAACCAAGGTGTCAGCAGGGCCCTGCTCTCTAACAGCTCCACCTTTGCTTTTTTGTTTTTTGAGACCGTCCCACTGTGTCGCCCTAGGTAGAGTATAGTAGCATCATCATAGCTCACTGCAACCTCAAACTCCTGGGCTCAAAGGATCCTCCTGCCTCAGCCTCCCAAGTAGCTGGGACTATAAATGGCACCACACCCAGCTAATTTTTCTATTTTTAGTAGAGATGGGGTCTTGCTCAAGCTGCTCTCGAACCCCTGAGCTCAAATGATCCTTCTGCCTCGGCCTCCCAGAGTGGGAGGCTTACAGCCTTGAGTCACTGCGCCCAGCCGGCTCCAGCTTTTGCTGGCTGCCAGTGGTCCTTGTGATTTCTTGGCTTGTGGCTATATTACTTCATCCTCTGCCTCCGTGTTCACACAGCTGTCTTCCTGGTGCACGTCCTTGCCTCTTCTAAGGACCAGAGTCATTAGATTTAGGGCCCACCCTAATCCATTGTGTTCTTATCTCACTTAATTATATCTGCAAAGACCTATTTCCATATAAGATCACATTCTGAGATTCCAGATGGATGTGAGTTTGGGGAGGATACCATTCAGTCCACTACAGTAGGCAAAGCTATGAAAAGGCAATTTACAGGAAAGGGAAATATAAATGATTAGTAGATATCAAAAGCATGCTTAACAGGGGATGGGGTGGAGTGCGTCTGTGCTGGTGCGTCGAGGGAGTGGCAGCTGCCAAGATGGACATGTTTGTCATAATCTGGTGCCAAAGGACCTCCATTTTCATGGACGCCAAGGAGCTGAGCACTGTGTTCCAAGCTTATGCATGTTGTGTAGTGCGTCCTAAAGTGGCCGCCTGACGAGCAGTGGCTGTACCAGGACAACCAGCTCCCAGATGATGGCAAGGTGCTAGACTAGTGTGGCTTCACCAGCAAAACGGCAGGGCCACAGGCCCTAGCCATGGTGGGCTTGGCCTCCAGGGCACATGATGCCTTTGAGGCCCTGCACATAGAGCCCTTCTACAGCCTGCCAGAGCGGCCCAGGCCCAATGTGAGGTAGCCCAGGACTCACCTGCAGTGAGTCCTGGCCGGCCCCCAGGAAGCCCATTCCCCCCAGTAAAAGAGATTTCGGTGTCAAAAAGAAATGCTTAACTACACATTGCTAAAGACTTGCAGGTCCCAGATTAAGAAGTATGATAGACTTGGCAAAGGTGTGGGGGCATGCATTCCCACAACATGGGAGTGGAGATTGGTGTAGGGGTATCAGAGGGGAGTGGGTCAACGTTTCAAGGTCCAATTTTAAATACCTGTGGCCCTTTGATACCACAGGAACCTACTTACAGAAATTTGCACAGACGTGTGAAAGTTTCCATACAGAGATGTTGATGGGTCTGCCCTGCTGGCCCCCAGCCTCACCTCCTCCATCCCTTGCCCTGCCCTGCCCTGTTCAAACACTTCCTGCACCCTCCCTTCCTTCTCTGTCTCCCTTCCCTGAGCCCTGGCTCCCATTCTACTCTCTGCAGCACCCTGAGCTTCCCTCTCCCCTGGCCATGGTGATTATCTGTTTGCATCCTAGCTGTCCTTGTTTTGCTGACCCTAGTGCTGGCCACTGTGTCTGGCCAAGTGGATGAAAGTGGGAGTAAGGGCATGTTCAGGGAGGAGTGTAGCATCCATAGAACGTTTACCACATTTCTGAACCTACACTCAGCTCTCCAGGCCCATTTCGCCCTCATTTAGATCATTTAGCCCTCAGCACCCCTGGGAGCGAGGTCCCGCTAACTCCCCATGCTCAGGTGAAGGGTCAAGGCCAGGGAGGGGAGGCCACTTGCCTGAGGTGTTCCCATTGAAAGACAAAGCCTTGGCTTTGTGGGGCCTGGGAACGCTGGATCTGAGCACAGCCGCGCTGGTGGAAGTTTGTGCCCGACACCCAGTGTCCCTGTGTGGGATCTTCCTTGAGGGAGGCCTGCTGGTGGACTCACTCCTGTGGATGCTGAGGGCCTCTGAGCACCCAGCCTCAGGCAGAAGAGCCCTGCCCCTTACAGGCGCGCCTCTGGGCTGCAGACCCACAGTGTGCCTGCAGCGTCAGGGCCTGCCCAGGGCCTCTTCAGATGAGAATGGTGTCTGGTGTCCTGAGGACAAGCCTACCTTTAGTGCCCCGCCACAGTCCTTGGCCCTCACACCTGCCCATTCAGATGCAGGCTGTCCCTTGGCCTCCCAAAGGGGATTATAGGTGTGAGCCACCATGCCCCGCTCAAACTTTTTGAATATAATGACTCAACAAAAGGAATATTAGTGTTGTCACTTAGGAGATGATGACAGCGAGCACAACCCTTACTTTGGGTCCATGTGGGGCCCTTAAAGGAGACCTAAGGAAGACAGATTGTGTTTCAAAGCTGACAGCACTATCTTTCTCTCTAGAAACACGAAGACACCGAGTGTCCTTGCGTGGTGGTGTCCTGCCCTCACAAGTGCAGCGTCCAGACTCTGCTGAGGAGCGAGGTAAGGGGCGTGGCCAGCCTTGGTCAGGCATCTATTTGTGAGTCCTCGGGACTAGCACGCCACTCTTCCGTTAAGAGGTGAAGTGTAACGTTCTCCCAGGTCATGATAGTAATGTGTAAGGCAGAAAAACAAACAAAAATAATGAAAAGCCTCATACTATTTTTTGTAAGTCAGAAGTAAGCAGTCAACAGCTACACAGTGGTAAATTCAGAGTAAAAAATAGTATTGAGAAAATGGGACTGTTTTATATATAGTACAAAGGTGATACTTTATGTTTTTTAAAAAAGCTATCTTAAAGTCTGTAAAATAGGAATTGCTATAAGATTATCTCAAGAAAGCGAATTAACTTAGAGACACCTCAGAACCATTTTGACCACACAGTCTGGGTGGGGGCGGCCCTGGGCAGGAGACAGGTGCAGGGCAGCTCCCACAGCACAGCCGCCGGCAGGGCAACTGTACAGCCTCCCCGGAGGCCGTGGTCTCGCACCACCCTTGGTACACTTTTTTTGAGACAGGTAGACTTTGCATTAACTTCATTGGATCAGAATATATCCAGATGGAAAAATTCCAAGGATTCTTAACTTTTTTGTGTCGATCCTGACCTGGAACCCCTTCAGTTGCTGTTTCAGAAGCCGTCTTGGGCTTCCCCTGGGCTTGATAGAGGTGCAGTGGCCCCTGGACTCCCCGTCAGTCACTTCTAAGGAGCCTGCTCACCTGATCATTTTTCAACAACCTGAAATTTTACCACTGGATACTGGGGGGTGGGAAACCAGCCTCATATGTCCCTGACTGAGTGAGAGGGCCTATGTGGGCCGAGGGCCAGGGACTTGGGGTGCAGGAGGAATTAAAGAACCACTCTCATCTGAGGTGCATCTTCTCAGAACCTTGATGCTGATGGGCGAGGCCAGGTCTTGCCTGATCATAGTGGCCTCTGGGCCATCAATGTGCCTCTGGGAAGGGCAGGGGAAGATGCATGTAAGTTATTTCCACAACTGAACAGTCCCTCTGTTAAAGTCAGTGTACAATAAAGTCTGTGCTATTGAAATAAACCCCTTAAGCCTGCATTTCTCTTGGGTTTCTGGTGATAGGTACTATTGGGTTATAGATTACTCTTCCCTCTATTCCAAAGCTCCTATAAATTCTGTAAGGCTTTGGGAATACTGATAATAAAATCAATTTAGGAAAAGGTACAATACTGAATTTAAAGTAGTATGCTGAAGATATCATATATCAAATTCAATGTGTCCCTGATTTTAACATTAGAAGTGTTAGCTGCTTAAGTTCATCATTAATGGCACTGAAAAAGTATATTTTAAAATTTTAAATTATTGACGCTATATGCAGTCTTCATACTGCATTTCTAGGCCAATCACCTGTTGTGTGTCCTGTGGTCACTTTTCTCCAGATGCAGCCTAGGCTGGGTTTGGAGGAGCAGCAAGAATGTTAGGCTGCTGACTCTTAACCACCTTGACTCTGCCCTGGCTCAGAGACCTTCCATGATGGGTAGCCTTGGCGACAGTCACCTGAACCTGAGTCCCTCAGGTCATTCCCATATTGGCCTGCCTCCTTAGCTATCACAAAAGGGCAAAAGAGAGGTCCAGGATTCATTTTCTCCTCTGTCTTAATCATTGACCTAGAGGAAAGGACTGCCTTTGCCCTGGTAGACTCAGGAGAAGATGTAGAACCTCTCTGCTGGACAGGGATGGTCCGTGAGCCTTGGGGCATGTGCGTGCTGGCACTTAGCAAAACTGCTTCAGGCCACTGTATACTGCACTCACACACCTGCTCTCCTAAGTAGGGTCTGATTTTGTTTTCTGTAAAGAGCTATCCCAGTTGGGCACAGTGGCTCACACCCGTAAACCTAGCACTTTGGGAGGCCAAGGTGGGAGGATCGCTTGAGCCCTGGAGTTTGAGATTGCAGTGAGCTATGATGATGCCACTTCATTCCAGCCTGGCAACAGAGCAAGACCCTGTTTCAATTAACAGTTTTAAAAAGGATAATTAAGAAGCTCTATCCCTAGAGTTTCTGGATGAGAATTTCTTCAATGAAAGAAGAAACTATCCTTCAGTTGTGTTAGCCTAATGCATCTCACTGTATCTTTAAAATATAGTCTTTTCAATTCCCTTTTCTCTTGTTGGATCATTGGTAGTGGTTTTTATTTGTTGACCCACCAACATTTGAGCTGAATGAGGGGCATTTTCCTTGCAAAATGGGTTATCTACTCCCAGTCCCTTGTAATTTTCCTGCCATCAGTTAGGAGTGACAGTATTAAGATTCATGTGGTTAGAATGACCTTAAAGGTCTTTGAAAAGCTACACGAGTTTCTGGTGGTGCAGAAAGAAAATAGTCTCTTTAGATGAAAGAAAAACTTATCTCCAGTTATCTCAAGTATTATGAGTTAAGGGTACATAGTGTAAGCTTGCTTTGAAAAAATACTTATTTTGTGTATTGTATATTAGGTGTGTGACCCAGTTGCATTCTGAATGCTTTCTATTTTTTTGTGTTTCATGCAATTTTTGTTTTTAGTCTTTAAATGTGCATTTCAGTTTACATTTTTTTTCTTTTTTTAATTCTGGCACTACAGATGGCATGTCACATTTTAAACTATTTGTTCTAAAGAAACTGCAAGTTTAGGAAATGTTATAGTAAATGTATTTCTGTATATTGGCGTATATATGTGTATCACGTGACAATACCATATATTTACTGCATAGAAGTCTAGGAAGCAGATGATATATACACACTTATAGCTGATAAACACCATTCTTAATAGTAAACCCAGATGCTTTCTGTGCCCTGATATGTTTGAACATTTTCATGCAAACGTTTGTGCCACAACTCACGTCTCTTTCCCGTTGCAGTTGAGTGCACACTTGTCAGAGTGTGTCAATGCCCCCAGCACCTGTAGTTTTAAGCGCTATGGCTGCGTTTTTCAGGTCAGTATCCAACATTTGTCCTTCCCAGTCACTGACATTCTGCCATGAGAGAAAGTTATTATATTAACATTTTAATATGCAAGTTCTGGACTCTTTTAGTCTTTGTCATGAAACTGAAACACCCTGTTGCATGGGTGACGAAAGCCGCGTGCAGCAGGCATGGGTGCTTGCTTTCCAGTCCGGTGGTGTTTTGAGACTTCAGACAGACACTATGCTGAGGTGGAAATTAATACAATAAACGAACTACTACATCCAAAAGCAGCTAGTAATGGGATAAACAGGAATGACATTTGGTGGGGTTTCTAGATAGATTATTATGGAATTTTAGCTGTTACCTGAATATAAATGAATATCAAACCGGACATAGTTTCAGCAGTGTGTGTCAGTACACAGCCGTGAGGATCACACATGCGTGTGTCCATAAATGCATTTTGTGTACAAGCCTGTGCTGACTCTGACCCCAGCTGGGGACAGGCTTTCAAAATACAGCACAGCACATAGAAACCATACCTCCCAGGAAAACAGTGCGGGAGGACGTCTCTGTTGCTGCCACACATGTAATGTGAGAAACCTGCATCTGTTTTTTTGTTACTGTTTTTTTTTTTAACACATCTGAGATTGCTAGTGAATTGGAACTGAGTTTTCATTTAAATGTATAACTTAATTTTAAAACTATCAAAAGGCAGTATATATTACAATTAAAGTATTTTATATTTAATTTCATGTACTACCAATACATTACGAAACTAGTACAGAGATATTGGCATCTTAGTACTTTGTGAGAAAGTGAACGGCCTAAGAGTAAGAATGACTCTGCCTTTCCTTTGCTTTAGTCTCCAGTGAGACTTGAGCCTCCCCCTGTTATGTCGTACGTAGTATCATTCATTCTCTGTGTATGTGTATATATATGTTTATATATTGCAGTACTTATATCAACATATATATATGAATATTCTATGTACAGAGTATATATTTTGGAGATCATTACAATGCTTTCTGTGACTTCTTAATTTCTCAATAGCAAAACAAATTATTTTTTCACACTAATTATTTCCTTAAATAAATGAAGTATAATTTCATGTGCTTATTCCTGACTCTAAAATGGTCTACATCTTATGTACTCTGTAGATTGTTTATGTTTTGTATGTAACTTTCTAAATATATTTAGAATGGTCAGGAACAATATATTTTTGGATGCCGTGTATTTGAATTAATAAATTAACACTTAAGTAAATTTTTTAGATTCCTTCTTTGCTTACATGTTCACTAGGCTGTTTAGCAGTATGTAGCTGTAGGTGCAGGCACCTAAACATTTTCCAATTATAATATATTCTTAATGAAAAAGTTATTTATAAAGAAATAAGAATGAGTTTAAGATTTAATTTCTTATTATTATAAATGTCAAACCTTGATAAAACAGTTGAGATAAAAAACTCGAGGAGGCCGGACATGGTGGCACACGCCTGTAATCCCAGCACTTTGGGAGGCCAAGCTGGGAGGATGGCTTGAGCCCAGGAGTTGGAGGTTGCAGTGAGCTATGATGATACCACTGCACTCTAGCCAGGGCAACAGAGCAAGATCTTGTCTCAAAAAAAAAAGAAGCTTGAGGAATGAAGAACATGAACTTGAGATTCTCACTGTAACATTGCAGAGTGTTTTCTCCTGGAGCTCTCTGTTCTTCCTCACAGCCCTCTCACCTGCACAAAGTAGCTAGGTGGCCCTAGCATGACTCTCCAGGGGCTGAGATTCCCTGTGACTTCGGTGCTGCTTTTAGAGTCATTATGTTACCCTTTCTGTCCTGCAAAAGGGAGTGAGGTTGACTTAACACCCCACATCTTTGCTCTTGCAGGGCACAAACCAGCAGATCAAGGCCCACGAGGCCAGCTCCGCAGTGCAGCATGTCAACCTGCTGAAGGAGTGGAGCAGCTCCCTGGAGAAGAAGGTAGTTTTTTATAATATCTTCAGATTATTTAAAGAAGAAAATCTTTCTTATAGTTATTAATGGGTTTTAGATAAAAGAAATAGCATGAAGAGATTATCAGAAAAGTAAATTCTTTGTGTGATCTTGAGCTCATAAATGAAGGTGTTTTGTTTTGTTTTGTTCTTTGTTTTATAATTGCCAAGCAAGCAGACAGTGCCTTTTTCCCGCCAGTCACATTGTGGTTATTTTAGCATTTATCCAGCCATTTATCTAGATTATCAAACTTCCAACCTTTCCCCGATTTTTTGTAAATAAAGTTCTTTTGGAACAGAGCCACCCTCTTCATTTCCATATTGTCTGTGGCTGCCTTTGCTCTATAACAGCAGAGTTGAGACAAACCATATGAACTTCATACTCACAATATTTATTATCTGGCTCTTTTTATTTTTTTTTTAGAAATTTTATTGTTCAGGCCAGGCACAGTGGCTCATGCCTGTAATACTAGCACTCTGGGAGGCCAGGGCAGGCGGATCGTTTGACCTCAGGAGTTCAATACCAGCCTGAGCAAGAGTGAGACCCTGTCTCTACTAAAAAAAAAAAATAGAAAAAATTAGGCAGCCATGCACTACAGGTGCATGTCTGTAGTCCCAGCTATTTGGGAGGCTGAAGCGGTAAGATCGCTGGAGCCCAGGAATTTGAGGTTGCTGTGAGCTAGGCTGATGCCATGGCACACTAGCTGGGGCAACAGAGTGAGACTCTCTCAAAAAAAAAAAAAAAAAGAAAAGAAAAGAAAAGAAATTTTATTGTTCAAACTACATGCCTTTCACAGGTTAGCTGTGACTATGTGCCATATAGCCTTCACTTGAGACTCAGCCTTTATATAGAATATTGCTGGTATCCTGTTGAACTATATGCTGACTTCCATTCACTTTTTTTTTTTCAGCATATTATGGAGGTACAAATGTTTAGGTTATATATATTACCCTTCCCCCTCCCCCAGTCAGAGCTTCAAGCATGTCCATCCCCCAAATGGTGTGCATTGCACTCATTATATATGTATATACCCATCCCCTCCTCCCCCCTCCCATTATTATCTGGCTCTTTACAGAGTAAGTTTGCCGACCCTGATCTAGACAGTTACCAATATTAACTGCTTTACAGTCTGTCTTTTGTGAGAGACAAATAGGAAAAAACATTTCCATATCACTAGGGTTTACTATTAGTTGTCTCTGTAGATACTTTGTGAAAATTTAGTGCACTAAGCACATAGACAGGAGCACCTCCCAGACAGACTTGCTGTCCTCCCGTGCTGTTTTCAAGAGGCCTCCACTGCAGGGGTTGTGGGCCCACATGCAGGCAGCTTCCTGTCAGTCCTTCTGGTAGTTTGTTCTCTGATGTGAAATTCAGTTCGGCAGGGCCGTCTTTTCATGAGGACAAGATGAAAACCTCAAGAATTAATAGAGAAAAAGTTGTTCTAGGATCTCCCATTGTAGCTTATTTACAAAAAATAAATAAATAAAAAACTATATTGAACAAACATCTATTGAGAACTTGCAGTTAGGAGGGTGTTACAATGAATTAGAGTGGCCAGTGGAGTGGACATTGGAGTTTTCTAAAGGTTTGAATGTCTTGTTTCAAATGTTAACTCCAAGCAGTTTAAAATTTAAATGTACTTGAAAGAGTCTAAAATTTTAAATTAAAAGATTTTCATTAAATCTAACTTAAAATAGTTTTTTTAATATAAATGCTTGATTGAAGTTGGAAAGCAATGAAAGGCTGGGGTGTTGTATGAACATGCACAGCAGAAGAGTTCTGTCTGACAGTAACATCAGACTCGTGTTGGATAGATTGTTGGTGATTTTGCCATGAGCACATCGGATTTGCTGAGTTCAGTGATGGTTTACCTGTAAATCTTTTTTCCCTTCTTTTTTTTTTGAGACAGAGTCTCGCTTTGTTGCCCAGGCTAGAGTGAGTGCCCATGGTGTCAGCCTAGCTCACAGCAACCTCAATCTCCTGGGCTCAAGTGATCCTCCTGCCTCAGCCTCCCGAGTAGCTGGGACTACAGGCATGCGCCACCATGCCCGGCTAATTTTTTCTATATATATTAGTTGGCCAATTAATTTCTTTCTATTTATAGTAGAGATGGGGTCTCACTGTTGCTCAGGCTGGTTTCGAACTCCTGAGATTGAGCAGTCCACCCGCCTCGGCCTCCCAGAGAGCTAGGATTATAGGCGTGAGCCACCGCGCCCGGCCTTTTCCCTTCCATTTGAAGAATGTATTCTGTTTTTGCCTTTTTAAAATTATAGGCGTCGGTCACAAGGCTTCTTATCTCTCATAGATGGTGTGTTTCTTATTTAAAAGGCTCTTCCTTTCATTTTAAGAGTTAGTTTTGTTATACTTATACTAGTTACATAATAGTTTAGTGGTTCTGAGGTATGTGGTTTTCCAGTACGATTTTGGACAGTGCTATATCACTATTTCTGGGCTCAGTTCCTGTGGGGAATTCATCTCCTTCCTTCCTGCTTTATGGTCTTCTCCCCATTCTAAGTGAGTGGTTTACATCACTGGAGACCCCAGGACGTGCCAGAGTAACCTGCCTGCACACAGTACAGCAAGTTCTTGCTCTGTGAATACCTCGTGTATTTAAACTGTCAGCAGCCAAGTCACAGTGGCAATCCTGAGAGTGTAGGGTGCTTTGCAGTGTCTTGCCACGGAGATACATGAGAGGTCGCTCAGTGATTATTCTGTCCCCAGCTATCTATCTGAGTGGAAGCCCTGGCCTTTGGTCAACTGAGCCTTAGCTTACGTTCCTGAGAAGGTGCATGCCTACCCTTCACTAGGTCCAAAAGTAAAAGCTGGGTGAAGAATGGAAATATTTGTGTTTTCTTAAAATGGAATTTCTCATTATGGTGTTATTCAGTTGGAATGTCTTAGGTTATTGTTCCCCTGTCATAGAAAATAGAATATGTTGATTCAAAAAGGCTGATGATCCTCACATTTCTGATCAAACTAAAGAACTGTTTTGTAAACTGTGGACTTAAAAACAACCATTTTATATTTTAGGAAAGTTTAGATCGAAGGGAGATGAAAGTAGGCTAGGGTAAAGGATGTTCTGGGTGCAGGGGGTCTGGGGGAGGCCAGCCAAGGGATCCCTGTCTCCGCTGCTGTGTGGGCATGGCGCTGCTGCATGGAGACACACCTCCCAGGCAGACCTTCCTGTGCAGGCGACGTCTGCCTAATGGAGGCGTGAAAGTGGCAGTCTGCACCCAGAAGATAGGTTCTTTGATTAAAAGAAATAAACACAAATTAAAAGTTAAATTGGGGGGGGAAGTCCCTAAATGAAAAAGGTTGAGTTTAATACAGCATGGTCTGTGTTTATTGCTGTGAGCTGCTCCTGTCATACTCTAGTGCCTGATTTGTTTCAAAAAAAGAATTGTCAGTGGTTTTGGAGATATTGCTGAGATTTTTGTCAAGAGTTGGCATAAATGGTGTCTCTTTTTGTGGGGGTGACAATAATGAGTCTGGGAATGGTGTTCATCGGTGACAGATGGAAGCAGTGAGCTGCAGCTGTAGGTGAGACAGGCATGGTGCCCGTTCCACATTAGTGTAAGTCGACCATTCTAGGAGCTCATGGACATGGCAGGCATTGTGTTTTAGGGCAGAAAGTCGATTTTTGCTGAGTAAAATCCTAGGAAAGTGAAGTCATATTTTGTCTGTGAGACATTGTATTCCTTAGTAAATTCGTATTTGTTTTAAAATAAAAAATAGATGGTGATTGTTTCTAAAGGTGCTTCTTGCCTTAGCAGATTGTGTCCACTATAGAAAGGACACTTATCTGTACGCCAGTTATCCTTAAATAGCATCAGGAATCCATTCTTTATCATGCCCAGTTTCGTCCTGAGATGCCCTTGGGCCATTGGGTTTGTGACCCGTGGCTGAGGCCAGTCCCCAGGCCTTGATGCTTTTGGAAGGCTCGTTGTTGGAGAGGCACGCATCAGCTCCATCACAGAGCTCGGGGTCTTCTGGGATGGCAGCAGCACCCCAAGGACAGGCAGATCCATCTGTTGATAGATGGGAGTATTTTAGCACGGTTGACATGCCCTTTGTAGAAATCTTGTGAGGAAGGGAGCCTTTTAAGAGTTAGCCTCAAACTCATCTCGCCTTTTAAGACAGGTGTTCATTGGTCCTTGGGAGCTAATTATTTTTTAGAGATTTGGAAAGGTCAAAGATGAGCTTGGCAGTGCTTGTTTGGCAGGCCCTTCCTTTGACTGATGGGGGTTATAGGTGACTCTGCTGAGCTTTTGTGGAAGGGTCTCTTCAGGTGTCAGTTCCATCCCCGTGTTTGAGGGGGTTAAAAGCTGGCCCCAAGAGTAAAGTGAAGCACTGTGCAATTTTCATCCTCTCCATGCTTGCTCGTTGTGTGGGAGGGCCTTTCAAACTGTAGGGTCGCACCCATTGGTAGATGTGAAATAATTTAGTAGGTTGTGACTAGCATTTTTTAAAATTGACAGATGATAATTGTAAATATTCATAGGGTACAGTGTGATGTTTTGATACATGTATATATCATGGAATGATTAAATTGTGCTAATTAACCTGTCCATCACCTCACTTCATTTTAAATCTGTTCTTTTAGCAACTTTGAAATATACATTATTGTTAACTATAGTCTCCATGCTGTGCAGTAGATCTCAAAAATTTATTCTTTGTGTCTAATGAAACTTTGTACCTTTCACTCAACATCTCCCCAGTCCCTCTCCCTTCCTATCCCTCCTACCCCACTAGCTCCTAGTGACCACTGTTCTACCCTCTGCCTCTGTGAGTTTGACTGTTTAGATGCCACACCTAAGGGAGGTCATGTACTACTTTTCTTTCTGTTCCTGGCTCATTTCACTTTGCATAATGTCCTCCAGGGACTAGCATTTTTCAAAAATGAAATAGAATAAAATAGAAAATGCCAACATACATTATAAGTGATTAGGACAAGTATGGTTTTGTGAAACCTATTTTTCAGGTATATGCACACACAAATGTTTATATAAATGGGGTGAAATGTAAGAATGTTTCTTACTATGTTGCTTGGCAAAAATTTGAAAGCTACTCTTATAAAAACTTGTGCAAAAACTTTAAAAATTAGCATCCCATTTATTTGATTCAATCAGCCACTGCACTTCGCCTCACCCTAATTACTAGGAGAAATCCTGAGAAACATAATTTATAGGATTCCTTATTAAATTACCAAGACTTCCTGCCCAGCACATTGGCTCACGCCTATAATCCTGGCACTCTGGGAGGCCAAGGAGGGAGGATGGCTTAAGCTCAGGAGTTTGAGATTAGCCTGAGCAAGAGCAAGACCCCGTCTCTGCTAAAAAAAAGAAAAATTAGCCAGGTGTGGTGGTGCCCGTCTGAAGTCCCAGCTGCTTAGGAGGCTGAGGCAGGAGGATGGCTTGAGCCCAGGACTTTGAGGTTGCAGTGAGCTGTGATGACACCACTGTACTCTCTCTACCCAGGTACAACACAGCAAGACCCTGTCTCAAAAAAAAAAAAAAAGAAATTAATTGACCAACTAAAAATAAGATCGGAAGAGTTTCTTCTGAAACTCCTTTCAGTAAGCTAATAGATGGCCTATATTGTGGAACTTTAATTACTATCATTATCATTGTTGTTAATTAATATTAAAACCACTTTTTCTTATGTTAATTTACAAATTTCTTTTTCAGGTTTCCTTGCTGCAGAATGAAAGTGTAGAGAAAAACAAGAGCATACAGAGTTTGCACAATCAGATATGTAGCTTTGAAATTGAAATTGAGAGACAAAAGGAAATGCTTCGAAATAATGAATCCAAAATACTTCATTTACAGGTAATAAGCTTAAGGCTCTGGCTGGATTAAAGGGGAGGAGTACGTGTTCCCCGTTAGTGCTTCAGAGCTGAAGCCCTGACCTTGGACAAGTGGAGAAGCAACTTGTTTTTCTTGCTTAAGTGAAGACTTGGGAAAGGTGGCCGGGGTGGCTCCGGCCCAGCCTGGAAAGCTGCAGGTTGGCTGTTTTCTCACTGCCTTTTTTCTGGAGAGCAAGTCCCATCACCTCTCTTCTGTGCCTTTGATCCTCTGCTGGAGAAATAAGGCCTACATTTAAAGGCCTGCATTTAAAAAATTAGCAGGTTTTATTATTATTTAAGATTTCTTATTGTTGATGGGTAGTTATTGTTTGCAAAGTTTCACTTCCTGAAGTGAAGTGAAGCTAAACTACTGAGTTTTCTAGTGACACACATACTCACCCTACTTTATTTCACCATGGTGATCCACATGAACCTCCAAAACAAATGAATAAACCTTTGCCACTCGGATAAAGGTGATTATGTAGATGGATGGGCCTGATGAAATGTCGCTGCTCATTTCAGTTAGCAACACAGGGCTCCATTAGGTGCTTGTGACTAGATTATCATAGCTACGACCTACACATTAACTTACTCGTAGTGTACAGTTGTTACAGCAAGCCCCACGTGTACCACACACACTGGTGGAAGAGTCACTGGTGTCATTGAAGTGGCTTTTCAGTACTTATAACTTACGATGTGTTTCCCTAAATTATCTGTAAGAGAAAATATCTCTAATAGCGCAGAGTCGTGGCATCTCGGAGAATGCCTTTTCTCCCATTTTGGCATTTGGAGATTCGTCATAATGCCTTGAATTACATGGAGATTTATTAAATTAATTTCATTTGTATTAAACTTTCTAGTTACTCAGAGTAAAAAGGAAAAAAGCACATTAGATTGTATTAGAAAAGACACATATCATTAGTATTGAATCAAGCCAGAAAAGTACAGTGTCTCATAAAACACCAACAAGCCTCCTGCTGGAAGCCCCTCAAATTTTGCTGAGGTCCCACTGGTGTGTTGGTGAGGTCATCCACGGTGACCTGTTCATGCCATGGCCCACCCTCACCTGCAGTACTGCCTGGTGAGCAGTTTTAGCTATTCAAAATTACAGGTACTTAATTTGATCTAGGCTCAGAGGCAAGTGGAAGGGCAAGAGAAATTAATGTTGTGCCAGACAGTCTCCTATAGAAATACCCATGACAGAAGAGAGAATGAATAAGTAATAGGTTCATACATAGCAAAACAATTAGAATATACATAATAATGTACAAATACACTGTTCAAAACCTCAGAGATTTCATGTGCGTGCATGTCTTTCATTTCTTCCTCATCCAACCAGAAAAGTTTTCATTTACTTTACTTTTTAGTAGAATTTAAACACTGAACTGTGCGATTTATATTTTTGAACTTTCGTAACCTATTGTAAGTAGGAGGGTTCCCTCCACAGAAGGGAAAGCGTGGAGGAGGATGGCCGTATTTGAAGAGAGGGGCTCAGCGCAGGCTGGACGCTTGTGATTTCCTTGGGTGCAGGATCGGGCTGCATGGGGGTGCTGCGGACGCCTCACCCTGTGCACCATTTGATGGGAGTGGGCTGTGTAGAAGAGCGTCCAACTGTGAGGATTTATGAAAGGTGGGGCGTAGCCTTACCTTCGGCAGCACTGTGGGGCGGCGTCTGCCTGGCGAGGAGAGAGTCAGGAAACCGATCCAGCCCCCAGCTGTGCGGAGGCACTGGCTGCGGGGGAGCCCCGCTCTGCTCTCCAGACCCTCTTCCACCCTCTTCCGTGGAGCCCACTTGCACGTCCTCCTCATATTCCAGTCCTCACCTTAGAACCCCTGAGGGTTTACCTTAAACTCTTCACTGTGGCCCAGAAGCCCCCTGTGACTGGCTACCGGTCACCTTCCCAACTTTGCCCCACTCTCTGTACGCAATGAAATGGACCTTCTCTTCTTTCCCTGAGAGGGGCCACACTCCTGCACGGATGGCCCTGGGCCCTCTTCCCCATACCTTCCTTTCCTGGCCAACTCCAGCTCCACCTCAGATGTCAGCGTAAATGCCACCTCCTCCAGGAAACCTTCCCTCACCCACCCCTGCCCTCAGTGCTTCCCCAGCCCTGCATGTGGACCACCTTGGTGACAATAGCACATGCCATTCAGGGCTGTCTCCTCCCTTGTCTGATTGTCCAGTAGACCCTAAAATCCCGGCAGTGGTCGTGCAGAGGGTCTGATGACCGGGCTGTGGCTGGCAGGGACACAGGCAGAGGTGCGTTAGGGGAGTGGGATTTAAGAGCGTGTCTGCTCTTGCTGGCCCAGCAAAGGCTGTCTTAATATTTTACTTCCGAGAGATCCTCTTTTTCTCAATTAGAGAGACAGCCGGGTGTGAGTTGACCTCAGGCTCCTGCTGCCAGCAGCACTAGATGGACAGGTGGTTCTCACAGTCAGGGCTCTGCAGGGCCCAGCAGAGCAGCTCAGGGCCAGAACAGAAGGCAGGCAGCACTCGGTCCACACGGCCCTCGCTCAGCCTCCACCGCTCCGCCAGGCTATCTCACTGGACGGTGTTCGTGTGCCAAGGTCCCAGTGGCCTGAGGGTGGGAAGTGACAGCAAGCAGCGTGGTCGAGGCCCTGAGGTGTGGGAGGCTGCTGGGTCAGTGCTCTCTGAAAGCAGGTCGGCTGATGAGGGTTTGTTTGTGGAGTGCAGCTGTGTGATGCCATTCATCTCAGAATTCTTTTTTCTAATAAAATTTCACACCTGCATTTAAGATTTGTTTTTATAGAAACTGCAGTGGCTGCGGGTATGCTCTTTGAGAATGAAATTGTGTTTGCTGCATTTTACAGAGAAAGCTTGACTTAGATCTGCATTCTGCTTTGAAACTGGGCCTTTCATACAAATGAAAGGCCTATGTTAAAAACAGTGTGTTTTGCCTTGCTGTGTGGGAACTCCTGCATTTGGCTGAGCCTCAGCTGTGTACTATGTGTGTCCCTGACTTGGTGCCGTGCTGCGCTGGGGCGGCCTCCTGCGGGGCAGAAGCCTCCCCTCAGCCTCTGGCTCCAGCTCCGGCTCCAGGCTCACCACGAGGCCTGGCTGTGCACCGCCCCAGGGCCTGAGGTGTAGCAGTGACAAGTGGCTTGTTAGGGGCCATGCTGTGACTTGTGGTTCACTCCTGGGTGTCCCATGTTACAGATGGCCTCTCAGACCTCGGTTGAGTAAGTTTTCATTAACTTGCCTCTTGTGCTCATTGGCACCCATGCGGGCCTAGTTTATGATATCAGCAGGGGACTGCAGGGAGGAGTCCGATGTCCATTCAGAATGCATCGTGTTGGGAACAGTGGTGAAAGGGGTAAAGGAAACTACACAGGAAAGAAGCACATGGTGCTGTGGGATGTTCATTACTGTCACTAGTACCATCCCCTAAAAACAGACTTTGTGAACTAATCAAAGATTCCTCTGGTCATATGTACTTGTTTAAAATAAAGATACATCGATACAGAAAGAGATGTTCTTTAGAGAAATAATCCTTACTTTTTAAACATTGGCTAGCATCAGGTTTCTTAGAAAGAACAGGAAGAATAACACTGTGTTTTTACCCCCAAAAAAGTAATCCAAACCTGCCATGTTTATTCCTTCATGGTTAGTAACAGCCAGCAAAGGTGCTGAAACATAAAGGTTTAAAAATAGACCCAAAAGGAGAAGTGAATTCAGTGGGCCCCTGGGGCTGTTCCCTTGAGCACCTGGTGTGGCCTCTGCTTCAGAAGCGCTGGGCCTTCCCACAACTGCGCCGGTACTAAGGCTCTAGCCCTCACTAGCTTATTTCAAAATGCATATTCTTTTTAGAAATGAAAACCGGCTGGGCGTGGTGGCCCACGCCTGTAATCCTCGCACTTTGGGAGGCCGGGATGGGAGGATTGCTCAAGACCAGTCTGGGTAACATAGTGAGATCCTGTCTCTACAAAAAAAATTAGGAAAAGTAGCCCAGCATGGTGAAACATGCCCATAATCCCAGCTACTTGGGAAGCTGAGAAGGGAGGATCACGTGAGCACAGGAGTTCAAGGGTGCAGTTAGCTGTGATCGTACCTGTGAATAGCCACTGCACTCCAGCCCGGGCAACAGAGTGAGACCCTGACTGGGCCACCAGAGCTGGAGCACAATTCTCATCCTTCCATAAATATAAATGGTCTGTTTCTGGAAAAAAAAAAAAGGCTTTCTAAATTATTTAAATTAAGATAGTACAGAGTCAGGCCTGCTGTTGGCAGCCACTCGTGTGTCTGGCAGCAGTGTTGCTGCTTTCCTGCCTCTCTCTGGGGGGTGGGGTGCACAGAGCTGGCATCCTGAGCGTGGAGCAGGTGGAGGAGGAGCCCCACTCCTGTCAGCGTCGGTCCCCTTGGTGTCACCCTGGGCCTGAGGACACACCTTGGGGCCCTTTCCTGCCACCAGCCCTGTGTAGAGCCAGTGAGATCCAGTCTCCCAGGACCCTGGAGCAGTTCTGGGATACCCTCTGCAGCCACAGAGACAGGGCCATACTTCTACCCTGGACCCGGCATCGGGGTAGGGGGCCCTCAGATGTTTAAAGGGGCAATAGGCCACAAGGCATGACTCTGGCATCCTAAACCTGAGACCCTGTAGGTCCTGCACTTGTCCTACCTTGTCCCTTCCGCTGGGAAGCAGGGACCCTCAGTACAGTACCTGTGGCCTCTGAGGTACATGAGGGCATTGGACAAGATGCCGTGGGCCCGGCGAGCCTACAGAAACTGGGCCTTTGAAACAGCCTACAGAAACTGGCCGCCAGCCTGGGAGGAGACACATGGGGTGGGGGGCGAGGGCAGACCCAGGCATCTGACGGGAGAGCCACAGGATTGACTGGCGCCCAGATGTGCATCTGTGAGAACCGGGCAGCAGGTGACCCTTGGGATGCTCCTAGGTGAGGACGCCCAGGCAGGAGCTACAGCCTGCCCTGAGCGTACATCTGCGGTAAGCGTCTGGTCATCTACGCACTTGGCGCCCGTCACTTCTCTGTCCTGATGGCTCTCTATTGGCAAAGCAAACTGGACGTAGCCAAGCATTACTCTGTTTTCTGTAAGAGTGGTCATCCTCCGTCTGGCTTTAGGTCACCTCAGGTGCTCCCTGCAGAGCACAAGCTTGTCCCCAGGGAGCTCCCAGGAGCAGTGCTAGCTCAGGTTGCCCCACCTGGAGGTGGAGCCGCTGGTGGGTGGCCTCGTCCAGGGGTCTCTGTGGCTGACTGTCTTGCTCCCGGCAAGCCTGTATTTGATGGGGGGTGGCTTGGCGTTTTCAGAGTCCTAACTGGTTGTTTCTTTTTTCACACCTTTGGTTTGGAAGCGAGTAATAGACAGCCAAGCAGAGAAACTGAAAGAGCTCGACAAAGAGATCCGTCCCTTCCGGCAGAACTGGGAGGAAGCGGACAGCATGAAGAGCAGTGTGGAGTCCCTGCAGAACCGCGTGACTGAGCTGGAGAGCGTGGACAAGAGCGCTGGGCAGGTGGCTCGGAACACAGGTAGGCAGGGGCAGGAGCAGAGATGGGCGTCCCAGACGAGTGACTTGGCGTGAACCGTTGGGCACACACTGCCTTAGAACAGCTCTTTCCAGTTACAGGTAACACGTGTGCAGCGGTGTGATGACTTCCCTACAGAGGTTCCCTTAGCAAAGACAGAAACGTTCCCTGCTTAGGCTTGTCCCCTCTGTGGGTGGCCCAGTGTGGTAGAGGGTAAGGGCAGGTGCCCCTACAGGAAGCCTTCCCCAAGAGAGACCAGGGCCACAGGGGTGACCCCATAGCATGGGCCTGAGTGGAGACAGGCAGAGAGCAAGGCCAGGGCTGGTTGGTCATGGCACTCCAGGCCACACTGCTGAGAGCCCCAGGGACAGGAGCTGGTAGGGCATGGGGGCACTGCCCCCGTGCACTCAGCCAGCGTGGTCCTGATATCCAGAAGCAGATGGGGGCCTGTGGCTCTGGGGACTGAGAATATTGTGAATATTTGCATGGAAGGGATTATGGTGGAAGGGAACGAGGATTATGGCAGTGCACTGGAGTTGGATTAGCAAGCACAGGATGTGGATTGGAGTAGACGGGAGCAGCTTAGACTCAGCGCACAGATGACTCCGTGGCTGGCTTGGAGGCTGGAGAGCAGGGAGTGTGTGCAAGAGGGCAGCTCTCCTCTGCCCCCAGGAGCTCCTGCCAAGGCAGGCTTCACTCTGTCATTGACCCTGCAGTAAGGTGCCCTGTGACACGCAGGCCCAATGCCACCCCCAGGGCATCCCATCCCAGCAGGCTGTGGCCTGACAGTTCCTCCAGCCAGATGGCGCCGCCGTGTGTCGGATAGACGTGGTATAGGAGCCTGGGCTCTCTTATAGAAGGAGGGATGTTTCAGGGCATCTCTGTGGTGTTTTGCTGCTTCTCACCTCCAGCAGCCACAGTGATTTTTATGTTGTTTAATTCAAATGCTGGTGTGAGCCAGATGAGGTGGCTCACACCTGTAGTCCCAGCTACTCAGGAGGCTAAAGCAGGAGGATTGCTTGAGCCCAGGAGTTCCAGGCCAGCCTGGGCAACGTGGTGAGATCCCAGCTCTAAAAAATAATAATAAAAAAAAATGCTGGCGTGGATCTGCTTTTCTAACCTTTCTGACATTCATATGTCTCATCCGCCAAATCTCTCCTCACCTACGGCAGGCTTGCTGGAGTCCCAGCTGAGCCGGCACGACCAGATGCTGAGTGTCCACGACATCCGTCTGGCCGACATGGACCTGCGGTTCCAGGTCCTCGAGACCGCCAGCTACAATGGCGTGCTCATTTGGAAGATCCGAGATTACAAGCGGCGGAAGCAGGAGGCCGTCATGGGAAAGACCCTGTCCCTTTACAGCCAGCCGTTCTACACGGGCTACTTTGGCTATAAGATGTGCGCCAGGGTCTACCTGAACGGGGATGGGATGGGGAAGGGGACGCACTTGTCGCTGTTTTTTGTCATTATGCGTGGAGAGTATGATGCTTTGCTTCCTTGGCCATTTAAGCAGAAAGTGACGCTCATGTTGATGGATCAGGGATCCTCGAGGCGTCACTTAGGAGATGCGTTCAAGCCCGACCCCAACAGCAGCAGCTTTAAGAAGCCCACTGGAGAGATGAATATCGCCTCTGGCTGCCCAGTCTTTGTGGCCCAAACTGTTCTAGAAAACGGGACATATATTAAAGATGATACAATTTTTATTAAAGTCATAGTGGATACTTCGGATCTGCCCGATCCCTGACGAGTACCTGGGGAGGAGGATTTAGCAGAAGGTAACTCCTCTGGGGGGTTTGAACCAGTCTGTCTTCACTGAGGTCCTCAAGCTCAGAAACGGACCTTGTGGAACGGAGGAAGCGGCAGAAGGTGGACGCACGGCCGGCAGGAGGAGCCACACACGAACACACACCTGACATGTTTTCTATAGACTAGTAACACTTCACTCTGAAGAATTATTTATCCTTCAACGAGATAAATATTGCTGTCAGAGAAGGTTTTCATTTTCATTTTTAAAGATCTAGTTAATCAAGGTGGAAAACATATATGCTAAACAAAAGAAACATGATTTTTTCTTCCTTAAACTTGAACACCAAAAAAAGAAAACACACACACATGTGGGGATAGCTGGACATGTCAGCATGTTAAGTAAAAGGAGAATTTATGAAATAATAACGCAATTCTGATATATTCATTCTGAAATTCAAGAGTGCAACCTTGTTTCAAATATAGTATATTGTCTATTTTTAAGGCCTCATCTGGTCTCTGTTTTAATAATTTGTTTGTCAGAAGACCCTGAATTACACGTAGGTCTTTTTTTGAAAGTCTCTAAATTCAGAATCATTTTTTAATTTAAAGTTCTACAAATAATTGTTACTGCAAACATTTTATTTTAAAACGTTGATAGACTGATATTTCTTGGAAGAAAATGTAAAATATCAAACACTGGTTATCACTTGTGATAGGAAAGAGAATATTCAATCTGTTGTTATTTCTCGTTAGAAATGTAAACCTTCAATATCTGTCGTAGTTAATGACACTACTTCAAAATTATTATGAAAGGAACATTGCTCATGGATGCTGTGCATCATTTTCAGATTTATAATTGTTTTCACCCTAAAATAGGGCATTAGTTGAACTTTGGAGTTCTGACAAAATCCTGTAGTTTTTAAAATTCTGCCCCATGTGTTCAGACGAGCCCTCTGTGGCTGACAGCACCGGCCTTGGTCTCTGTGTCCAGTGTCCAGGGGTGGGCAGGGGTCTGCGCTGAGGGCCCGGCAGGTGTGTCTCTTCATTCTGTCATCTTGCTGCGTTTTGTTAATGATCTCCGAAAGCAACATCTTTGCATAGAGATGGTGGCATACGGTACATGTGCCTTAGATGTGACATGCTGCTTCTTGACCCTGGGTTTGCATTCAGCATAATTCTAGAAAGTGCTAGTTTAACCAGACTTTTCTCTCCACCACTAGATCCTTGTCTCTACAAGGCCCTCAGACAACTCCGTACCCGCTGAGGGAAGCCAGGCTCCACCGTTGGCTTCTGGAGCCTCCACTACTTAATTACTGCAGATTCCAAATCTCTAGGCCCCAAAAGTGAGCTGCCTGGTCCAAGTACGGCTTGGTCCCACCCCGAGAGAGGCAGGTGTGGGGCAGAAGCCGAGCCTCTCCGTGCCCCCACCTGGGCTGTGGGGCCCACACAGCTCGAAGCAGAACCCTCTGAGCATTCTCGAGACCGCTGCTCTGGGAGCCTGCCCCAGCTGATTGACGGGCATTCCTAAACCACCACCCTGGCAGGAGGGGTGGCCACAGGGCCTGTTGTCCCAGCCTGTGCCTGCCCGGACGGCATTCTCTCAACTCACTGTTTACTGTCTCTCAAAGGTCCAACTGTGATGAGAAGCCTGGAGCCCTGCCCTGTACCCCTTTTGCTATGCACCACGCTTCATGGTGCTCTTACCACTGATGGGTGCTACACGTGACGGGTGCTTCTTAGGCAAAACCAATGTGTGCGAACCACACCTGTGCCACTTGTCCAACAGCCGCGCCCACGATTGGCCAGCTGGGCCGCGCACTTCAGACTGCCTGCCTCTGGGCTCTCCCCATGGCCGTGCGGGGACAGCTTGGCTGGTGCCTGGTGGCCCACCTTGTCTCTGGTGCTGCCGTCTGTCCTGGGTGTGCCTTCGCCCCAGTGCCTGCTGGAAGTGCCCTCCTGTCACACACCCATCCCCGTGCTTCCACGAGGGACCTCACTGGTTCCATGCGCCTGCCATGCCCCTTCGTGGGTAAAACGCTTGGTCGTTCTCATCTGCCTTTCCTTTCTCCACTCTCCTGGGGTTGCTTTGGGGGCAAAGTGGTGTCATTGGTTCTGCCCCCATAAAAGAGTCATGTGTCCCTGCTCATACAGGAAGGACTTCCTGCAGAAGCTCAGAAAACACTCTTCCCTCGAAGGTGTCACCAACCTTCTCCAGGTCTGTCCCTTGGGTTCTACCCTGGAGGCCTGAAGGAGGGAGGACCTCCTGGCAGTCCCTACCTGGCCTCCGATGGCTTTCCTGAGGCCAGAGATTAACAACAGGGACATACCTGCAACTTCCTTTCCCGTCACTAAAAGTGTGTACAATATTCAAACAAATTTTAGGGTAAGCAACATCTTGGTCTGGTAAAAAAAAATTCCCCCTCTCTGGATTTAAGTCCTGGTCTGGGCATGAGCCACCCAGAAGCACTCTGGGAAGCATCCATCACTTGTTGGTGGGACATTCCTAGTAGCCCTTCCTAGACAGATGTTCCTGATGGGGTGCAGCAGGCTCCCCGGCCTCCCACCTGAGGGGCCCATGGGATGTAACTTGAGTAACTGGCACTGTCCTCCAGGGTGAGGCTTGGCCTGTGTCATGAGCTTCATCTTGATGTGATTTGATTGTACTGGGGAGCAGGTACCTTCTGGTCTCTGTTCTGGCTACATCTCTCGGGTACTCAGGACGTGGGAAGGTGGCTTCGACGGTGTTTCAAGCTGTCCTGGCTGTGGACATGCCTGTGTCACTCCATCCTAGGACTCCTCGGTGTCCTGCCCCGGTGCCGCCGCCTGGGCCGCCCGGGCTGTGGTCTCCTCGATGCTGAGGCCCAGCTGCCCGCAGGCCGGGGATCGGCCTGCCCCACTTCGAGGGGTCCTGGCAGCCAGAGTGCGGGGTGGGCAGCGCTCTGCGGGTCTCAGCGCCTGCTTCCCTTAACCAAAACTAACAGAATTCCCAGCAGGACAGAACTGTTCAATACTTTAAAGAAACCAACGCTGAATCCTTTGTGCATGAATTAAGCCGGTCTGTTACCCTGTCACCTTCCTAACGGAAATGAGAACAACTTCCTGTTTCTACTTCCCTCGAGCAGTTTCTCTTGAACCCTGTAGCTCCGCCTTTCCCTGCTGCTGGGTGTTTGTGGGGATGCTGGGGTGCAGGTCACTGCTGGCTGCAGTGGTCTAGGCCAGGCACGTGTGATGGGCACAGCTCTTCCTGCGGCCACGCCAAGCCACGCACAGGCTGCAGTGGACCCACGACGGGGCTCGCAAGCTGGATCCTCTGGTTCTGGGGCTTGTGCCAGTGGAGCCTGAGTAGCTGGAAGTCAGGTGTGTCTGTGACGGCGTGGGCCGGGCTGTGGTCAGCTGTGAGTGGGGGCCTTTACAGCAGGGTTGGGGGGGCCGGAGCTCTGGCCCAAGTGGTCCACAGGCCTCTTAGCTCTGGCTCCTGGCTGGGCTGGTCGGTCTAAGCGAGACTTTGTTTATAAGCTTGGCTTTGGGCTGCCCACGTTGACAGCACAGAAGCAGCAAGACAGAATTTGAGCTGTTCTAAGACTTGCCAAGCAAGAAGGTGGTGCTTTTCCCCGAGACCAGGTCTCACTGGGGCCCTGGGTTACATCCGTGACGTGCTGGTGTGTGTTCACGTGCAGGTGGGCAGAGGAGGGTGCTCGTGGTGACCTGTGTCTTGACTCCAGTCCATGACCCCTTCCTAGAGCAGCCTCTGCCGAGGGATGGCACCACGTCCCTTTGAGGCCCAAACGGCTGGTCGAACTGGGAAGCTCTGCTCCTTCCCTGCCCTTCTTGTTCTCCTTGGCCTGTGACACCAAGGAGTCACGGTGTGAAGTGTGGTGGCTCCTGCTTCCTGGCCACCCACTTACCTCCACCAGGGCCCTGCAGACCCACCCACCCGCTGCCACCACTGTCCACCAAATTGGCTCTTTGGCAGAAGGCTGCCCTGTGGCCACAGGAGGCCCACCTCAGCAAGGACATAGGGTGTCAGGTGCAGTCCCACGGGGACAGCCAGCCACCTCCCCAGACTACCCCAGTCTGCTCCAGGATTAGGGGCCGTGTGTCCCGGTGGACGCCTGCTATCCCGATGTCATCGGCAAAGTGCCCCCTTCACTGGACAGTGTCCGTGGTGGTCACCCGTGGTGGGCCTGGCGTGTACAGTCAGAGGACAATGCGTGGCAAAGGAAAGGGCAACTGGATGGGTCCTCAGACAACAGCAGTGTCCTGAGGGGCCAAAGGGAGACCAGGAACACCTTCTTCCTTCTGCACGTGGAGGGGTGGCACCCGCCACAGACACTCCAGCCCAGCAGGGGGCAGCGTAAGGCTCCCTGGGGGGGCCTCTTGCCCCTTCCCCAGCCCTCCCAGGCGCCTCCCGGTGCTTGGGGTAATTAGCGCATTGAAAAGGGCTCGGGCAGAGCTGTGGAATACTATTTTTTTACTTTTAGTCCAGATCTTGTTAGACTGTGGAAGGAAAGCCAGGGAGAGTCCTGAGAGCTCCTTCATCTTGATGTTTGTGAGATGAATGAGGGTCTGTCACCCAAATCTACTTCTCAGCCCCAGATCATGGTTCTGTCTTCCGTTTGCAAATCTCAGTAGCTCTGTTTTCTCCAAAGTAGAGTGTGCCCGTTAGGGTCTGGGTCGGATGGGGTCATTGTTGGCAGGTGGCCTGGGCTTCGTCACTGTTTCATCCTGGCTGGTGCTCACTGTCCCAAGCACTGTGACATTAGGGACCTGGGCTGGTGGGGGTGTGAGGTGAGGCCTGGAAACCTTCTAGGGGCTTTTTCCACCTGTCTCAGGTGTCCTGGACACCATTGTGGGGCAGGCATGCCGCGCCATGGCCCCCCTTGGGGCCAGTTGTCGTGTGGCTGAGGAGGCCCTTGAGGCCGAGCAGAGCTTGCATTCCATTTCTCCTGTGCTGTGTCCGCGTCTGTCTTGTGAACTCTCGCCGTGAAGAAGAAGTCCAGGGTCGCTGCACCACTCCTGTAACTAGTGGTGGTTGGTTTTTATAACTTAGCCCCTCAGACAAGTAAGATAACCTTCAACAGCAAACTAAATGACTTAATTGGAAAACACAAAAGCTGGCATTATTTCCAAGGATTTCTATAAGAAATATCTACAGAACGACATCTGTGATAAAGGAAGTGTAAATCAATGTAGACAATTATGTAACGTTTTTAGAATTGCATTCTTTTCTCTGACGGCACACTTCTTGTGTTCAGTTCTATTACCCAAAACAAAGACCAAAGAAGGCCTGTCTCTCATTTGACTCTGTATTTTTAATCTGCCTGTTTTAGAAATTGCCGTCTGTAGTAGCCGCTCGCTGCGAGGACCCATCTTGACAGTCCAAGTGATTGTGACCAGTGATTCACGTCCTGTGTTTTTCTGCTCTTCTAAGAAAAAACAAAAAGTATAAGTTATTGCTCAGCAATAATCATGTTGTTCCTGAGTTAGCAACATGTCTTATTTTCTGATAGCATTATTATGTTTTATATTTTTGTTTACTGTATATTATGTGTGGTTTTATTTGGTATTTATTTGTGTTTTGAGGTCTTGCAATGTTTTTGTGTTTCTGATGCTAATAACTAAAGTTTGTAAGACTGTAGAATGCAAAACTTTGAAATGCTAAACTGTCTTATTAGAGGAAAATAAATCTGACTACCGAGTCTTGGCTTCTTACCACAGTATCTCTCACAGGCTGGGCTCCGGGCGAGGGGGTGTCCTTCCCGCTGGGCCGGGACTCGTGGGCCGAGGCCTGTGTGGCTGTGCTGCTGTTGCCGTCTGGAAATCCTCGGCAGTTTTGAGCAGGGGGCCTGCAGGCTACATGTGGTCCTGCCTGTAGCCTGTCACCTTCCTTCAGGCAATGGCTCTGACCTCGAGGGAGTCCCGGGGGGCCGGGCTCTCAAGTCTGTGGCTGGCCCAGAACGGGACCTCTCGCCCTCCTGCCCAGATGCCGGCCCACAGACCTGGGACCGGTCTCCGCTCCACCACTTTGGTGGAGGCTCAAGTTCCTCCTCTAGCATGGAAGGACAGCGCCCGGCTCCTTTCTGAAACGAGGGTGTCATCGCTGAGCTAACGCCAGTGCTGACGAGCGGGCGGCTGGGGGCTCTCCGGGCAGCAGTGTCTAAGCAGCTGCCCCTGGCTGGGTGTTTGCGGGTCCTGGGCTGACGCCACCCCTGCGGCCTGTCTTCATCTCTCCAGGGGGTTGTCTGAGTCAGGCCTGGTGGCAGGAAGCCCTGCATCTCCCCGAGGGCCCCCAGATTATCAGGTGGGGGGAACCACTCAGTCCTCCTCCAGTGTCCTGTCCCCCCACCTGCTGTGTCCCCTGTAGCCACTGCAGTGCCCTGCTCGGCCCCTCCCTGCCCTCCAAGGCACAGCTCAGGGCCAGGTCCACAGGAGATGCCACTGGCCTCCAGTGTGGCCCACCAAGCAGCAGGACGGCATGGGCTCAGGAGCAGAGGTCCTCCCTCAACGTCCCAGGGCCTCGCCTGGGGCCTGCACTGGCCCATCAGCCTGGCCCTCTCTGCAGGTCCACCCTGCTCCCACCGTGCCCGGGCTGGCAGCAGCCATGATGGGCCACCGGAGTCCTCCCAGGGCGCAGGCAGTCCCCACCCTGCACACACAATGGGAGCCTATGGCCACCGTGGCTTCCAGAAGCTGCCCTAGGAACACCACCTTGTGGTCCCTCCGTCTGGGGGTCCCACGTCCTCACACCCTGTGGAGGAGGCCTGAGCTCTATCCACCTTCCAGGGCATTAAGCCAGGGGTCCCCCAGTGGCCTCGACCACACCAGGACACAGGGAGACCGGGCAGTGCACCACAGACACGGGCTGGCCAGCAGGACTTCAGACACTCGATTCTCTTCTTTCTCCCCTTCGGGATTTCTTTCTCTGGGTCTTGCAGGAAAGGAAATGGGCAGGACACCCGAAGACCTGCTGGGCTCGGACCTGCTGCTCAGGGCGCTGCAGGGACACCGTGGGGCCAGGTCAGCGCTGGGCTTCTGTACAGGTCGTGCCGTCCAGCAGCAAGCAGCAGGCGGCTGAGAAATGGGGGGTTCTGAGCTGCTCCTCCCAGGGACTTGGCTCCCTGCCCCCAACCTGACGCCCAGACCTGGAGGGGGAGGAGGGGCCGAGCCCAGCCCCCAGGCGCAGACCAGCCCTCACCTGCCCCTGTCCTGCTTCTAACCTGCCTTGGGAATGGAGGGTCGTGGTCCAGGCCTGGGCGGGAGTCGGGCTGCCTTGTGACCTCTGCCTGCCTCCTCTCTGCTCAGGGGGACCAGAGCAGGGCCGCCGCTCTGAACGACGCTTGCCCGGCCCTGGGCAGCACTGCGGGGTGCAGTGGTGGCTGCACCGGGAAGCAGCAGCAGTCCCACGTGTCCAGACCCCAGCCGAGGACCCGCACCGGGAACGAGCCTGGACTAACACTCAAAAACAGGCTGGCGTTCTGAAGGGTCTGTTTAAGTAGGGCAGGTGACGCTGGGGAGGAAGGCCCGGCAGCTTCCCCAACACCCGGACCTGCTGGGTGCTTTGTGGGACACTGCGGGAGTCTCAGGTGGCGAAAGCCTGGACTGGATTCCGGATCGTGAAGTCCAGAGTGTTCCCAGTCATATAATCTGATCCCAGATCGACTATTTCTTGTTAAATATAAAGACCAGGAGACCCAATGGGGTGTGTGGGAGAAGTGTCATCGCTGCCCATGCTGTGCCCCTGCGATGGCACGGTGGCGAGTCGCCGTGAGGCTGGGGGCCGTGTCCTTCGAGTGCCTCCGTGCTGCCTGGGGTCTTAATCCTCGATTAGAAGTTAAAGGTTGAGGGAGGCCGGACACGGTGGCTCAGGCCTGTAATCCCAGCTCTCTGGGAGGCCGAGGCGGGCAGATCGCTCAAGGTCAGGATTTCAAAACCAGCCTGAGCGAGAGTGAGACCTCGTCTCTACTATAAATAGAAAGAAATTAATTGGCCAACTAATATATATAGACTAAATTAGCCGGGCATGGTGGCGCATGCCTGTAGTACCAGCTACTTGGGAGGCTGAGGCAGGAGGATCGCTTGAGCCCAGTAGTTTGAGGTTGCTGTGAGCTAGGGTAACGCCACGGCACTCTAGCCTGGGTAAAAGAGTGAGACTCTGTCAAAAAAATAAATAAATAAAGGTTGAGGGAAAAGACAGCTGTCGAATTGCCCTAAGTCCATGTCCTTCACTCCAGCGGAGGCTTCACATGGACCCGACCCCAGGGTCAGCTTAGAGGCTGGGGCTCAGGCCTCAGAGACAGGCCGGTGCTAGGAGCGGGCAGTGCACATGGGGCACACCTGTCTCCTCTTCTGTCAAAGGGGACAGTGCTGGCACCTGCCCCAGGGGCTGTGTGCAAAGCACCGAGGCCACACGCCCAGAGGGAAACACCCAGACAGGGTGGCCAGCCCTGCACTGCTGCCCAGGTCGGCTCCGAGAACTCCAGGCAGCTACAGGCACATGGGAGGTAGGAGACCACACGGGGCCATGGCCTGGGTTCCAGAAGCTTCCACCTCCTCCGCTTTCCCCCCACGGAGCTTGGGGCACTGGCACTGAGTTGACGGCTGCCGTGGGGCAGTGAGGGCTTGCTGGGGCAGTGCGTGTGGCCCCAGCCCCAGCATGCACAGCCTGCTTCCTGGGATGTCCCCACGAGCCAGGGAGACTGCTCTCGCCCAGCCCTGGTCCTCAGACTGCCCTCATAAGTGGCCTCAGGTCACATCCGTTGACATGCCCTGGCCCAGCCAGCCTTGGAGTGGCAGCGAGTGTTTCCTAGTGCCCAGCCCAGCTGTAGCTCCTGAGAACGTGCCCCTAGCCCTCAGTACAAAGGACAGGGAAGGTGACAAATTAACCCTCCCATCCGGAAGGAGGGGGCAGAGGCAGGACAGTGGCTGGGCCCTGGCCTGAACCTTGCAAGAACTTCTTGCAAGCAGGAGCGTCTTGGGGCAGGGGCAGTGCCAGGTGTTCTCTTCCCACCACCCATGGGTGGGGGAGCCCGACTGTGCCCCGAGACTGAGCCCTGGTCTCCTGACGCCCCTGCCCCCCACCCCAGGCCAGGGCTGCCATGCCCTGTGAGGTGGGCACTGGTTCCCCCCACTTTGCAGGGAAAGGAATGAAACAGAGAGATTAAGTAAATTGTGCTGCCTCACACAGCATTTAATGCAAAACAGGGCCAGGTCTGGTCCCACCATGGCCAGACACCAGCAGGGGTGCCCTGCCTACCCCGCCCGGTCCAAACCAGTAGAGACCCCCCCAGTTCACACCCTCCAGGGCTCCCCTCTCAGTTGTATCCAACCCACCTCCAACAACAATGTGACCCCAATGCTCTGCCCTGGCCTTCCCTTCCCCGCCACCCCCAGCCTCCTGCCTCAGGGCCTTTCTAGGTCTTTCCATTTCCTGCCCATTTCTCAAGTCCACCTGCCTGTCTCCCCACCCCCACCCATGTGGACTGGCAGGGCTGCCGCTCTGGTGTCCCCATATCTCCAGGCAGAGCTGAGAGCTGGCAGAGCATGGCAATCCCTGCCTCAGTGGTTGGAAACAGGAACGAGGCAGGGACCTCCCAGAGACCTTGCTGCATTGGCCTGGTCTGGGAGGTGGTGAATCCGGCTGTCCTGGGCCACCTCCCTCCACATAGAGAACACTGTGTGCACAGGGAAACCAACACAGGAGGGAAGCCGGGCCAAAACAGAGACAGACACAGAGACTGAGCCCTACGAGTAACCTCGAAGCCCCCGGATCTAGCCTTACCTGAAGCAGCTCTGCCATGAGATTTCCTAGTTTCTCAAGGAAACTCTGTAGGGCTTTTGTTTCTCCCACTTCTTGCTGAAGTCCTGACCAGTTTGCAAGCTTGTGCCCACGTGTGCTGGAGTGGCCAGGGCACCTGTGCCTGTGGTCAGGGGCCTTCTGTGGCCCTTGTGCACAGCAACTGCAGTGCGGACCCGCCACTCCTTGCCTCACGTCTTTCTCCTCAGTGGTCCCAGTACCCGTGGCTGCTCAGGGCCAGGGGTGGTGCCTGGCGCGTGGCTTGTGTGAGCTCCTCTCTGGGCCACCCTCTGACAGCTGGACCCACCTACTGTTTCCACTCAGGGATGCCCGTTTCAGGGTGAGGGATGCCACTCCCCCACGGCCGGCCACCCCAGCCCCTCCTGTCCTGCCACCTGCAATGCAACCTCTGCATTGTGGCTGCAGCTGTGACCTCATCCTTCCTGTCTTGTTTTGCTGCTGCCTTTTTCGAGACTGCCCCGTCTGCCTGGGCGGCCTCGCTGCCCGTGCACCGCACGTCTCCCTGGGCACGGCCTGCCCGGAGCAGCGGTGGTCAGAGGTGGTGTTTCCCTAAGTCCCAGCCATGCAGCCCCTGCAGCCTCCCCTGGGTGCGGCCCTTAGTGCAGTCCACTTCCTGTGTCAGGAGGAGGGGCCCCAGACCCTGGGCGGGCCTGGGCTACCTCTGGACCCCCGGAGGGGTGGCCTTTGCAGAGCCACACACATCTCTGTGCATTGAGAGGCAGAGGGGAGGGGCGCAGAGCCGGACACACCAGCGTGGAGCCCCAGGAGGCACAGTCAGTAAGACTGCTTCCTGCTCAACGAGCAGCAGTATCAGACAAAGAGCAAAACAGATGACCCAGAAATGTCCCCTTTGCTCCTGGTTGAGGCCACCTCAGAGGATGGAATTTCCTGTGAGCCCAGCAGGGGGCCAAGGCCAAACCCTAGGACCTGCTGCACCCACCCTCCTGGTCCCAAGCAGGGCTAACGCCCCGAGAGCAGGTGCCTCCGCCTGAAGGTGACCCCACCAAGACAGAGTGCGGCCAGAGCAGCCCCAGCCCCAGCCCCGGCCCAGGGCATAAAAAGAGGCAGCACGCCCCGAGCGTGGGCTCCTTCTTCCTGCGAAATATCTTGCTCAGGAAAAGGCAAAGCCTAGTTGGATAAAGGTACATCCATGCAGAGACATTCATCCTCCATCCATGGGCCGGTCCACCCATCCTCCACCTCCCACCAGCCCACCCACCATCCACCACCTCCCACGCACCCATCCCCCCATCCACCCACCATCCCCATCTTCCCACCCACCATCCCCACACCACCATCCACCCACCCACCCCCCCACCCACCATCTCCACCCACATTCCCCACCTCCCACCCCACCTACTATCTCACCCCCACCCACATTCTACCCACACCTCCACCCACGACATCACTCCACCCATCATCCCTCACTCCCAACCATCCCCACCTCCCACCCACCATCTCCACCAACCATCACCCATCCCCCACCTCCACATCCATCCCACCTCCCACCACCATCCCCACCTGCCACCCACCACTCCACCAACCATCCACCACTCCTACCAGCACCCCACCACCCACATCCATCCACACCACCCCATTCACCACCCACCATCACGCACCACTACCACATCACACCACCCACCCACCATCCATCCACCACCCACCATCCATCCACCATCCACCGGTTGTCCACTGCTCAGCACCCATTATTTTACACCTTTGTGGACCATCCACGTGTCTTCCCTCCACTCTCCTCCTCTGTCACCCTACCACCACCCACAGTCCATCCAGGCCGGGACATGAGAGGTCTTCAACAGGTGAGCAAACTAGGTTCAGCCTCAGGCTCCCAGCAGAGAAAGGGACAGCCCAGAAGTTGCTTCCTGCCCCACCGCCCCGCATGTCACTGGGCAGGTCCAAAGGCCCCGGAGGGTGGGTGTGGAGAGGCCGGGTCTGAGGTGAATGTGTAACCGACCCGGCGCCCCACCCGCCCCGCCGGCTCACGTGGGCACCAGGGTAAAGTCCCTGGCGGAGTGGGAGTGGGAGCGGCGCGATGGGCGCGCAGGCCGGGCTGCTGCTGTGGCTGCAGCTGTGCGGTGAGCCGGGGGTGCGGGGTGGGGGGCGGCAAGGGCTTGGGGGCCTGAATCCGGCCTGGGCCCCTCCTCGGGCGGCCTGGGGCGCGGCCTCAGCCCCTGCCCAGAGTAGCTGCTGCGCTGTGGCTCCGCAGCCCGCCTCAGTCGCAGTCCCTGAGCACCTGCGCCCCTGCCCTGAGCCCTTCGTGGCTCCCTCAGGGCACAGACCCCGTCCGGACTCGGCTTGGCCCCCACCCCGCCCCTTCTTCGCACGGCTGGGATGCGTTTTCTGCCGCAGCTCCTCCTGGCCCTGGTCGGCCTCCTCCAGGAAGCCCTCCTGATTTCAAGGTGGAGGAAGAGGCCTGCGCTGCCCATCCTCCTCCCCCCACCCCAGTTGTCACCACCCTGTCCTCCACTGCAGGGACGGGGCGGGGCGGGGCGGCGGTCCGGGTGAGTCCTGCAGGAGAGCACGTCTGGGCGGGCTCCGCAGAGCAGAAGTCCGCTGCGGGGCGCGGAGGCAGGGCTCCCGCGGTCCGGCCTGACGCGCCACGGGCCCCATTCGCGCCCTGGCTGCGACCCGCCGCGCCTCCCCGAGCGGGTCGTCCCGTCCGGGGGAGAGGCCGTCCGGGCCAGGGCCGGGCAGGCACTCAGCCGCCGCCTCCGCAGCGCTGACCCGGGCCGCCTACAAAGTCTGGGTCCCCAGCACCGACTTCGAGGCCGCCGCCAACTGGAGCCAGAACCGGACGCCGTGCGCGGGCGGCGCAGTCGCCTTCCCGGCGGACAAGGTGCCTCGGAGCGCCCCGGGCCTGCGCGGCCGGGCGGCGGCGGGGCCCTCCCGCCACCCGGTGCTGACGCGGCCTCGTCCCGCAGCTGGTGTCGGTCCTGGTGCGAGGCAGTCACGCCGTCTCGGACGTGGTAAGGCGGGGCGCGGGCCCGGCCGCTCCTTCCTCGGCCCCAGAGCGGCCCCGCCGAGGTGGGCGCGGCTTCGGGCGGGTGGGGTCCGGGGGGCCGTCTGCGCCCTTGGAGAGGGAGGGCGGGCGCCTGGGTCCCCACGGCCTGGCCGCGGCCCGCCGGTGCGCCCCAAGGCTCGCCCTGGGGGAGCCCCCTGCACGCCGTCCCGCAAGGCCCGTCCCGTCCCGGTGCCTGAAACCCGCCCGCGGCGCTGCTGTGCGGGCCGGGAGGGCGCGGGTGCCGAGACCCGGGGAGTCTGGGGACGGCGTCGCGGAGCAGCCGGCCTCCGCCCCACGCGCGCTAGGAGTGCTTCGCCTTGCCAACGGTTGGGAGCAAGTCAGAAGGAAGCATTTCACGGCACTCGAACCGTCTAGGAGAGCGAGTTTCAGTGTCTGTAAAATGCAGTCCTGCCGGCTCGCAGCCCAGCCCGTGGGCCGGTCACCTGCGCCTGGTCGCTTTGCCAGGGCGGAGCCGCGGCCCGGGGTGAAAGCTTCGTCCCGACGTCGGAGTCCTCCGAGGTGACGCGTCCCCGCCAGCACCGGCCGCCCCTCGCTGAGGGCGTCGCGAGCGGGGCGGGGTCCCGGGTCCCCACAGGCAGGACGCCCGGCCCGCCCGGTCGGGCCCAAAGACTAAAGTGCAGTGGGCCGGGCGGAGGGGGGCGGGCCGCCCCGCAGCACGTGCGCTACCTTGGCAACCGCGCGGCCCCGCCCCACAGCACGTGCGCTACCTTGGCAACCGCGCGGCCCCGCCCCGCAGCAGTGCGCTACCTTGGCAACCGCGCGGCCCCGCCCCCGCAGCACGTGCGCTACCTTGGCAACCGCGTGGCCCCGCCCCCCGCAGACGTAGCGCAACCGCGGCGGCGCCACCCCGGACGTGCGACCCCGGCCGGGGCCGAGGAATCCGATTGAGCGGGTCCCGCGCCCGGCCCGGCCCGCCGGCTTCCTTCCTTTGGATGGTCTCCGTTTGGGAGAGTCTCTTGGGGAGGCGACACCCATCCGTCCGCCGCTCCATCCCATCCCGCGTCCACCACTGTCCCAGCCCCGGGCCGCGAGCCCCTCTCTCTCCTTTCCCGGGACCTATGTAGGACCCTGTTCCCACCTGGTCCGCGGGACCCCCTCCTCGCCCTCCCTGGCGGCGCTCGCGTGCGCTGCCCCGGGGCCTCGCGGGAACCGGGGCGGTGGGCGGCGGGCCGGGCCCGCGGGCCGAGTGACCCGGCGCTGCCCCAGGCCGCCCCGCCCCGCCTGGCCGAGCTGGTCCGCCGGCCTCTGTTTCCTGGTGGGAGCCCACGCCCGCCCGCCGTCTGCGCGCCTCCCGCGGGGCGTCCCCGCGCCGCGCCCTCCAGCCAAGGGCGAGGGTCGGCGCCGCCTCGCCAGCGTTCTCTAGCGGCGGAGCGGAACATCCCGCGGACCCCAGGGCGGGCGAAGCCCGTCGCGCCGGCAACCCTGGCCCTCTGGCCGCGGTCACTTGGGCGTCGCCGTGCCCTGCGGGCGGTTCCGCGACCTCCCGCAGCCCCGCCGCCGAGGCTGCGCCGCGCGGCCCCCGCGGCGCGGGCTCGGGGCCGGTGTCCGCCCCGCTCCTCCGCCCGCAGCTGCCCTGCGGGGCTGGCGGTTGCGGGGCGGCGACCCGGAGCCCCCGCGGCTTCACGGCCAGCCGTGCCGTGGGGAGCGCGCCGCCGGGTGGTTCTCGTCGCCGTGCCTCTGCCAGGGTCGCGGACTGTTCCCCGCGGGGCTCTTGCGCGGCCTCGGCGACTCATAAACGCCCGTCGCTTTGCCTTCTGTCGGGCGCGGTGCCCATACTTAAACTCCGTCCTCCAGCTGGTGGATCTCGCAAGTAACGACAGTACTTTCCCGTCCTGGCGCCTCCGTTTCTCGCCTCCACGGGCTGGGGCGGCCGCTCCGCGTTAAACAGCGGCGGGAGCCGGCGTCCCCGTCTCGTCCTCGCGCTGGGGAGAGGCGCTCCGCGGTGCCCGCCCGGCGTAGTGTGCTGCAGGGTCCCGGCACACACTGGGTCCCACCGTCGAAATTCTACACTGTTGCTAGTTTGCTAACAGATTCTACAAAGTCATAAATGGGCCAGGTGCGGTGGCTCACGCCTGTAATCCTGGCCCTCCAGGCCGAGGTGGGGGGATCGCTTGAGGCCAGGAGTTCGAGACCAGCCTCAGCAAGAGTGAGACCCCCGTCCCTGCTAAAAATAGAAAATTAGCCGGGCATGGTGGCGCATGCCTGTAGTCCCAGCTACTCGGGAGGCTGAGGCAGGAGGATCGCGTGAGGCCAGGAGTTGGAGGTTGCTGTGAGCGTGGCTGATGCCACGGCGCTCACTCTAGCCCAGGAGACAGAAACAAACAAACCTAAATATGCTGTTGAACATTTTCAGTGTCTTTTTCTTTCCACGCTGATTGAGATGTGATCCCCCGCCCTTTTAGCCTATTAAGGAAGTTTCCCGAGGTTGAACTCTTCTTGCAAGACTGACAGCCTCCGGGCACCCACCCGAGGGGCAGGGCAGGTACCACTTCTGGGCCAGGTGCGGTGGCTCAGCCTGTAACCCTGGTGCTTTGGGAAGCCAGGTGGGAGGATCTCTGGAGACCGGGAGTTTGGGACCAGCCTGAGCAAGACAGCGCGACCCCATCTCCACGAAATGTACCACTTCTTCATGGCACTGGGACACTGGACGTCCCTCTGCCATAAAGTCTTTTTTTTTTTTTTTTTTTTTGAGACAGAGTCTCGCTTTGTTGCCCAGGCTAGAGTGAGTGCCGTGGCGTCAGCCTAGCTCACAGCAACCTCAAACTCCTGGGCTCAAGCGATCCTCCTGCCTCAGCCTCCCGAGTAGCTGGGACTACAGGCATGCGCCACCATGCCCGGCTAATTTTTTTATATATATATCAGTTGGCCAATTAGTTTCTTTCTATTTATAGTAGAGACGGGGTCTTGCTCTTGCTCAGGCTGGTTTCGAACTCCCGACCTCGAGCAATCCACCCGCCTCGGCCTCCCAGAGAGCTAGGATTACAGGCGTGAGCCACCGCGCCCGGCCCAGACGCTTTTCTTATACCCTCACATTAGAACAGCAGTTTCGCTGGATAGAAAACTCGAGAGTGAAAGTTCTTTTCCTTCCATGTTTAAAATAGTACGCTATTCTTTTTTTTGCATCCATTGTTGTTGCTGAGAAATCTGAATCTGCATTTTTTTCCCTTCTTGGGCGACCTGTTCTCTCTGAAGCTTGCAGAAGGTTCTCTTCGCCCCTGACACTCATGGCCGTAACTGGCACCTGTGTGGGTGCGGCTCTTGGCACTCAGACCATTCGGTGGGAGGTTCCCCAACTTGCTTCAGACCTGGAGAGCTCATCTTCATTGTTTCTTCAAATACTTTCTCTTCTCCCCGACCTTGCATGTGAATTCTGGCTCTTGGATGTCTGCCCACCCTGCCCCCCGTTTCTCCTGGGCCCTCGCTGGGAACACCAGAGTCATCTGCAGCGGGATCAGTCTCCAGGCTGTCTCACCTGTTGTGCTCATCCATCCAGCTGCTGGGACTTTCATATTGACAGCTCTCCCTCTGGTTCTTTTGAGAAATGCATTCTGGGTACTGCTTCTCACTTCCAACACCTCCCCTTCCAGAGGTGCTGCTGTGCTTCCGGCACATTCCTGCCCTCTGTCCCCGGCTCCTCTGGCATCTGTGGCAGCCGCCTTGCTGTCCGGTGAGGCACCCTCAGGTGTGGGCGCAGCTGGCCTGGGACCTCACACCCTGGGTGTTGGTCTGCTGCTCAGGTGCAGAACCCCAGGAAGGGCGGAAGGGCAGGCCCTGCCCCACAAGGTGGGACCCGAGGCTGTGCCAGGTGGCCCCTGACAGTGCTGAGGCCCCTGCACCGAGGAGCTTCCCTGGCCCAGGCCGCCCCTCAACCCCTGAGGGAAAACCATGGGGCAGGGTGCAAGAGAAAGGCGGGCCTGGGACTGCGGGCAGTGGGAGTGAGGGGCCGCTGGTTAGTCACCCTCATTTCAGCAGACACCTGGGGCCAACTACTGTGGGAGGGGCTGCCAAGGTGGAACCCAGGCCTGGGGCTGGCAGGGCGCCTTCTAGGCGCCCTTACCCTCCCTGGCTCCTGGCACCCTTCTGCCCCACCTGAACCCCCTCCCCTGCCTCAGGTGCTGAGAGCTCCCGCAGCTCTCCGGGGACTTGTCAGCGTTTTAAAGTTTAGTTCCTGGAGCCCTTCCCTTGTACGGTTTCTCAGCGGTATGGGCAGGCCAACGTCCTGGCAGGTGTCACCCCCTGCCCCAAGCTCCCCAGGGTCCTGCTTCTCGGCCTGTGTGACCCTCCAGCTCAGAGTCACAGGACACTGGAGCCTCTGCACACGCCGTCTCCCCACCAACCCCGCGCAGAGCACTCTTCCCCTTTCTTTCCATGGCTGTGTCCCACTCGCCCTGCTAGCCTCGCCCTGACCGGCTCCCTGTCACCGTGCGGGTCCTCCTCTCTGGGGACCCCGGGGGCGGGGATGCGTGCGGAGCCAGCCCGGACCACCGCCTGGCGCCGCCTCAGCCCGCGCCTCCTGCAGCTCCTGCCGCTGGATGGCGAGCTCGTCCTGGCCTCGGGAGCGGGATTCAGCGCCTCGGACGCGGGCTCACACCCGGACTGCAGTGCAGGTGACGCCCGGGCCGGGCTCGGGAGGGAGGCGTGTCCAAGAGCCGGGCTCGGAGGGAGGGTGTGCCCAGGGTCGCGGCTCAGAGGAGGGCGTGTCCGGGACGGGACCAGGGGCGAGGGCGGAGCTCGCGGGAGGGCGGAGCTCGGGGCGGGACCAGGGGCGAGGGCGTGTCCGAGGGCGGAGCTCGCGGGAGGGCGGAGCTCGGGGCCGGACCAGGGGCGAGGGCGTGTCCGAGGGCGGAGCTCGCGGGAGGGCGGAGCTCGCGGGAGGGCGGAGCTCGCGGGAGGGCGGAGCTCGGGGCCGGACCAGGGGCGAGGGCGGAGCTCGGGGCGGGACCAGGGGCGAGGGCGTGTCCGAGGGCGGAGCTCGGGGGAGGGCGGAGCTCGCCGGAGGGCGGAGCTCGGGGGAGGGCGGAGCTCGGGGCCGGACCAGGGGCGAGGGCGGAGCTCGGGGCGGGACCAGGGGCGAGGGCGGAGCTCGGGGCGGGACCAGGGGTGAGGGCGGAGCTCGGGGCGGGACCAGGGGCGAGGGCGTGTCCGAGGGCGGAGCTCGGGGGAGGGCGGAGCTCGGGGGAGGGCGGAGCTCGGGGGAGGGCGGAGCTCGGGGAGGGCGGAGCTCGGGGAGGGCGGAGCTCGGGGGAGGGCGGAGCTCGGGGGAGGGCGGAGCTCGGGGCCGGACCAGGGGCGAGGGCGTGTCCGAGGGCGGAGCTCGGGGAGGGCGGAGCTCGGGGAGGGCGGAGCTCGGGGAGGGCGGAGCTCGGGGAGGGCGGAGCTCGGGGAGGGCGGAGCTCGGGGAGGGCGGAGCTCGCGGGAGGGCGGAGCTCGCGGGAGGGCGGAGCTCGCGGGAGGGCGGAGCTCGCGGGAGGGCGTGTGCCGGCGGGCCGGGGCGTGTGCGTGCGGAGCTCATGGGCTTGCGGCACCCAGGCGCCCCCGCGCTCTTCCGCGACCCGGACCGCTTCTCTTGGCATGACCCGCACCTGTGGCGCTCTGGGGACGAGGCGCGAGGCCTCTTCTTGGTGGACGCCGACCGCGTGCCATGCCGCCACGACGACGTCGTGTTCCCGCCCAACGCCTCCTTCCGCGCCGGGCTCGCGGGCGCCGTGCGCGTGCGCAGCGTGTCGGCTCTGGGCCGGGTGAGCGGCGGGGTCCTCCCCACCTTCCCGCACCCGCCGCCGGGCCGCCCGCGGGCCGCCGCTCTGACGGCGTCTGCGCCCGGCGGGCGGCTCCCGCAGACGTTCACGCGCGCCGAGGACCTGGCCGCCTTCCTGGCGTCCCGCGCGGGCCGCCTGCGCTTCCACGGGCCGGGCGCGCTGAGCGTGGGCGCCGAGGCCTGCGCCGACCCGTCGGGCTGCGTCTGCGGCAACGCTGAGGTGAGCGCGGGGCCGGGGCGCGCCTTGGGGCGGGGTAGGGGCGCCGCCCCAAGGTCCCCCCGCCGACGGCCCTCGGCGCCGACCGCCGCGCCGCCTCCCCAGGCCCAGCCGTGGATCTGCGCGGCCCTACTGCAGCCCCTGGGCGGCCGCTGTCCCCCGGCGGCCTGCCGCGACGCCCTCCGGCCTGAGGGGCAGTGCTGCGACCTCTGCGGTAGGCACCCCGGCCCCTGACTTGTTTCCTGCCTCCGTGTCCCTGTCCTGGATCCACGGCGCCAACTCTGCCCTCCTATCGCAGGAGCCATCGTGTCGCTGACCCACGGCCCAGCGTTTGACCTGGAGCGGTACCGGGCACGGCTGCTGGACACCTTTCTGGCTTCGGTAATGGGGCCGGGACAGGCGCGGGGGGCGTCCCGACCCAGCCATACCGCCTCTGCAGCCCCCGCCTCGGACACCTCCCCGCAGGGCCTCGGGGGCCCCGCCGCGCTGCCCACTGCCCACCACCTGCCCCTGCAGGCTCGAGGGGCTGAGTCCCGGGCCAACGCAGTCCCCTTCCCCAGCCTCAGTACCAGGGGCTGCAAGTGGCCGTGTCCAAGGTGCCGCGCTCGCCGCAGCTCCGCGGGGCCGACGCGGAGATCCAGGTGGTGCTGGCGGAGACCAGGCCCGAGACGGGCGGCGCGGCGCGGCTGGCGCGGGCCCTCCTGGCGGACGTCGCGGAGCACGGTACACGCGCCCCCGCCGGGTCCCCGCCCCGCCCGCCGCTCCCGGAGACTGAGCCGCCCCTCCGTTGCAGGCGAGGCCCTCGGGGTCCTGGCGGCCGCCGTGCGGGAGTCGGGCGCGCCTGTCGGGGGCGGCTCCGCGGCGGGGCTGGACGGGCCCGGACCGGGCGCGGGGCTCGTGGGCGGCGCAGTGGCGGCCGCGCTGCTGCTGGCGCTGCTGGCGCTGCTGGCGGCGGGGCTGCTGGTGCGCCGCGCGGGGCGGCTCAGGTACGCGGGCCGGGCGGGCGGGCGGGCGGAGCGGGCGCCGTCCCCAGGGGCTCACGCCGCGTCCCGCCCAGGTGGAGCTGGCGCCTGCAGGCAGCCCCCGCGCCGGCCGGGGCGCCCCTGGGCTTCCCCAACCCCGTTTTCAACGCTGCGCCCTCGGAGGAGCGGGTGAGGGCCCAGGGGCCGGGCGTGCGGGGCCTCCCTGGGGCGGGGCCTCGGCGTCCGCAGCCCCCTGAGCCTGTGTCCCCGCAGGCCCCCGGGGGGCCGCCCAGTCCGGCCCCGAAGGCGGACGCCCCTGGCACCAGCCACAGCTACTTCATCAACCCACTGTTTGCTGGGCCCGAGGCTGAGGCCTGAGCCGTTGCCAGTTCCCGCCTCGCGCGACCTGCCGGCTCCCCCTCTCCGTCCGCCACCCAGCCACCTCCCCCTCTCTGGCCGCCACCCCAGCCACCTCCCCGTCCCCCGCTGGGGGCCAAGGACAGGCCTTGCCCAATAAAGGGTTCCCTGCACCTGCTGTCAGCCTGGACCTGCCGCCTTCTGCGCCACCTTCGCCCCTGCCTACTTAGGAACTGGGAGGCCGGCCTGGCGCCTGCCCGCCCCCCGCTGAAGGCGGCCCTGGGCGCTGCCTGTGGGAGTGGTGCGGGGCTGACCCGAAAGCAGACGGGCCCAGGCCGGCCAGAGGCTCCGTCTGTGAAGTTAAACCCAGAAGTGAGAGGGCGGCGCGCCCGTGTCTGAAGGAGCAGCCGGGAAAGAACCTGCCCCCAGCAAGGCACGGGTAGAGGTGGGCTATCCCTTACCCCCTTGCCATGGTGCCAAGCTGCTCAGGCCCAGGCCCCACTGAGCTAAGACAGGAGTGGACCCGCCAGGTGGACAGGGACAGCCTTGGGCAGCATTCTGGAGGGACCTATCCCCTCTGTGGGGGCACTGGGAGGCATGGGGACAGGGCTGTGCCACAGTGCATGGAACATGTCAAGAGTGCTGGGGGTGGGTCCAGCTGGGGGGGACACCCATGGCGCCGGGGTGCTTGGTGTCTGTCACTGCAAGGGCAGGCCTTGTCCTCCCTCTCTGAGGTGGCTCTGACCTAGGGGCTGGGCGCCAGCACTGAGTAGTCTGGAGTTGGGACCCACCTGGCCCTTCCCAGGCCATAATGAATGCAAACTGTACTGGAGTCACCGGGTGTGCGTGTCACCGTGCTGACACAGATGGGGGCAGCAAGCCCATGTGCACAGCGTGAACTTCTGTGTAACCAGCATCTGGGTCTGAAACATTGCTGGTCCCCACGAGTTGTGGCCCAGTCCCCACATAGGAGTTTCTCACTGGGGGACTCCTCTAGCCAAGGAGGCTTCCCGTGAGCAGGGTCAGGGCACTGCACTCTCTGTCTGCCTATGGTGCCCACTCAGGTGCGGTTGGAATTTGTCACTCGATGCTGTAGAGCTGTGGTCCCCAAACCCTGGGTTGTGGACTGGTCGTGGTCCGTGGCCTGTTAGGAAGGGCTGCACGGCAGGAGGTGAGCAGCGAGCTAGAGCTGGGGAGGGAGCTTCGCCTGTGCTCACAGCTGCTCCCCATCTCCCGCATCACCGCCTGAGCCCGGCCACCTGTCAATCAGCAGGGCCATGAGAGTCTCACAGGAGAACGGTCCCTGCCCTAAGCTGTGCTTGCAAGGGGTCTAGGTTGCGGCTCCATATGAGACTCTGACGCCGGATGATCTGGGTGGGGCTGAGGCAGTGATGCCAGCGCTGGGGAGGGCTACACATACAGGTCGTCATTAGCAGAGAGGACTGACTGCACGGTAAATGTGACGTGCTTGAGTCACTCTGAAAACCTCCCTCTTGCCCCCCAGTCTCTGGGAAACTTGTCTTCCATGAAACTGGTCCCTGGGGCCAGAAAGGTAGGGGACCGCTGTTATATAATGTATTCCATTGTGTGAATGCCACAGTTCATTTTCTTATTCCAAGAGCTAAAATTTCATATTTAAAAAGTGGTTGACTCACGCCTGTAATCCTAGCATTCTGGGAGGCCAAGGCGGGAGGATTGCTTGAGCTCAGGAGTTCAAGACCAGCCTGAGCAAGAGCGAGACCCTGTCTCTACTAAAAATAGAATGAAATTAGCCAAACAACTAAAAATAGAAAAAAAAAAATTAGCTGGGCATGGTGGTGCATGCCTATAGTCCCAGCTACTCAGGAGGCTGAGGCAGGATCGCCTGAGCCCAGGAGTTTGAGGTTGCTGTGAGTTTGGCTGACATCACGGCACTCTAGCCCGGGCAATACAGTGAGACTCTGTCTAAAAAATAAAAAGTGGCTGACACTTGTGTGCCGTTTCAGACCCAGCATAGCCACCGCTGGCTTTAACGCCAGGTGGGGGAGCTGGGTGCTAAGCTTGTCTGACCCCGAGCTCCACCACCCATTGCCTCAGGCCACCACCCACCCAACACTCAGGCGCATTTTTCAGTTTTTTCAGCTGCTGTAACTCAGCCAAGTGTTTTTTGGAAGGCTCCCTCCGTGCCTGTGTGGCCACTGCTCCCACCCCGCAGTCCCATTTTTGAGGACAGGTGGGAGGGCTGCAGGCTGTCCCCTTGGGAAGTCAGGTGCGAGGCCAGGCTTGCCCAGGAAATTGGAATGGATCGGTTCTCCTAAACTTCGCCACGCTCCTTCCTGGCAGTGATCACCAGGCCCCAGTGAGAAGGCCCCTCCACTGGATCCTGGGCGACTGTGCCGAGCGGGCCCCCTGCTGGTGTGGGCTGTAAGGAAGCTCCATGCTTCGTAGGAGATGCTTGTTTTGGCAGCAGACAGGCTGTGCTGAGTGGCACAGAGCTGCAGGGTCCTAGGCAGCCCCCCGCCACCGTTCTCTCCTGGCCAAGGACTAACTGGAGGTTGCACACATAACTTGGGGAAGCCAGACCCTCCCACCTGCATGCCCCACCCCAGTGTGCTCTCCCACCCTGGCCTCTCCCATCCTGTCCCTTCAGGCTGCTGCAGGGCCAGTATGTGTGGATGCAGACAGGTGAGCCTAATGGGCAGCTCCCTTGTGGGGCCCTCAGGCCGCCCTGGACCACAGCCAGGCCGCCCTACCCACGCCCTTGTGGGCTCCCCTGCACTCAGGCTGGAATTTGAACTCCTTGTCTACTGCTTGGCCTTGGCTGAGGCCACTCAGTGGCACCTGGAAACCGGGCAAAAGCACCTGGCCAGACTGCCCTTCCCTGCAGCCTGCGCCTGGCCCAGCCTGACAGGGTGCAGGTGTCACCCACTGGGGACCCTCCACCTAGAGCTCGGCTCTGGAGGCTGCTCCTGCCTCAGACACCAGCAGCTTTTTGCGTGACCTCCCAGGGAATTACCAAGCATGGCTTCCACAGACGGGGTGGCACTCTGACTGGTTTTGGGGGGAATCCCACTGCGGGCACTTTAGGGGAGCTCAGACGCTCAGGAGATTCACCATCACATCCCAACCACTGAGAACTTTAAAACTGCCGTCGTCTGCTTTATTGACAGGTAAATTGTTCAAAAATGTTCTCACGATTCAATAATTACAAAGACTCAGACTTACATTAAAAAAGTAAAAACCAGAACCCCCAGCAGGTGCCCGCCCGGCAGACGGCCCAGGAGGGCGGGCAGATGCCGGGCGGTGCCGGGTCACTCAGTGCCAACTCGGGGAAGTGCGTGTCCTGAACAGCCTTGCCAAGCAGTCGACCAGTGGGAGGACGGGAGACCCGCCCTGAGCCGAGGACAAGCTGTGTCTGCTGCCACAGTTAATCACAAGCCTTAAATGAGACAGGGCCACAGACCTGATCACTTAACATACACAAGGAAGGGTGAGGTTAAATACACTCGCAGGGCGTCACCACGCCGTGGGCCACGGACACTGAGCAGGAGCGTGCCGGGTGATTTCTACATGATCCATGTGGGCTACTAATCACTGGGGCTCCATGCAGGGGCAGGGCTGGGCAGGGTGGGGCGGGGCGGGGGTGTCCCAGTGCCTGCTATACAGCACCCTGGGGCTCTGGCCTCCTCAGCCTGGCAGGCCACAGGGCCTGCCTGTACCACGACACTTGCTAGTTTTATGGCAGGAGGCAGAAGCCATGGAGGTGAGTGGAAAACAGCACAGCTGACTTCACAGTAGTAGATACTGGTGACACTTCATGGCTGTGACCCAGAATGAACTAACACTCAGGGACGTGGGGTGTCATTGGTCCCAGGCCTCTGTCCACACCGAGGTGGTCAGCAGGACTTCTACAGCTGACTATGCAATGGCTACATGAGTAAAAAGGCCACAAACCTCCACTTTCCTCTGTCTTCAAGATTCTAGTGACACTGAAAAAGATATACAACCATCCTGCTATTTTCCTAATGTCCTAGGAAACAGGAAAGACTAGTCACTGAGGCCATGCCCCAGGCCGTCTGCTTCCTAAGCCGCGTTCTAGTGGGCTTCCGTGGAGGGAGCTGGCGTCGGCAGAGCCCACACCTTCCCGGGATGTCAAGGGTGGCAGAGAGGCTGGGTGGTCCTTCATGTGCAAACGGAGTAGTGTCACCTCACAGCTATGCAGACGAATGGATCTGGTCTGATCTAATTGCCACGAACAATGCGGCATAAAACTGATCATTATTATAATAAAGATTTTTCTTCATATCTACAAATTGATTCTACATTTCCTTGGACAACACTGGAGGGTCAGCTCAGTCTTGGCACTGGCGTTGGAGGCTGTCCCCAGCTGCGTGGCCCCATGGTGGTGGGCCAGCGGCTTCAGGCGTCGCAGGTGGGCTGATCCAGGCCTTCCAGGGGGAGCTGGCTCCGGTGGGGAGAGTTGGGGCTTGGTGGGCCGCTGGGGTTGGAGCTGTTCGATGGGGTTGAGTGTTTGGTGGAATCCGAATCAGGCTGTTAAACAAAGGGGGCACCATGAACACCAGTTGCCCTGGGCCAAGCAGGCGCATGTGCCCGGCCACATGCAAATGTCTGCTCAGGGACAGATGCAGCAACTGCTCTTTTCCTTTCTTATAATGAGAACACACATTTTATACAACTATTCCTTAAGCTTGTTGGTGAGAGTCATGAACTAATATCTAAGTGTACTCACAAATGACTTAGTAATTATAAAAGAGAAAGAGCAACTGTGCAGTGAAGAAACCAACCTGCAACCAAGTGGCCCAAAGTCACAAACATGACATTCTTTCATGAGCAAGACACTAGGAATAGAGCGGAACTTCCTCAACACAATAAAGGACATTTAATGAAAAACCCACAGCTGACGTCACACTCAACGGTGAGATACAGCTTTCCTCCTGAGATCAGGAACGAGACAAGGACATCCACTTTCACTGCTGCTACTCAACACAGCACTAGAAGTTCTAGCCAGAGCAATTAGGCAAGAAAAATAAATAGAAAGGAAGTAAAACTACATCTGCTAGCAGATAACATGATTCTATACCTAGAAAATCCCAAAGAATTCATAAGAAACTACTAAACAAATTCAGCAAAGTTGTAGGGTACAAGATCAATACACAAAAACCAGTTGTGTTTCTATACACCAGCAATAAATAATCTGAAAAAGAAACAAAAAATTCCATTTACAACAGTATCCGAAAGAATGAAATAGCTAGAAATAAATTTAACCAAGGACATGAAAAATTTGTACACTATAAACTGCAAAACACTGCTGAAAAAAATTTAATAAGGCCTAAATAAAGGGAAACATCAAATATTCATGGGGTAGAAGACTTAATATTGTTAAGATGGCATTACTCCCCAAAGTGATCTACAGATTCAATGCAATCTATTGAAATTCCAATGGCTTTTTGGGCAGAAATGGAAAAGTCAATCCTCAAATTCATATGGAATTGCAAAGGGCCGTGAATAGTCAAAACAATATTAAAAAAGAAAAAGTTGAAGAACCCACACTCCCCAAATATACTACTTTGAAATGGACTACATAACAGTGTGGATCTGGCATAAGGAGAGACATACAGACCAATGGAATAGAATGGAAGTCCAGAAATAAATCCAGACACCTGTGGCCAACTGATTCAGCAAGGGTGCAATGGGGAAGGAACAGACTCTTTAGCAAATGGTGCTGGATATCCACATGCAGAAGAATGAAGTTGGACTCCTACCTCACACCATATAGAAAAATTATCTCAAAATGGGTCAATGACCTAAATATAAAAGCCAAAACCATAAACTCTTAGATGAAAACAGGAATAAATCTTCATCACCTTAGATTTGGCAATGGATTCTTAGACATGATACCAAAAGCATGAGCAACAACAAGAAATAGACAAACTTAAGACATTTTTATACATCAAAGGACATTATCAAGAATGTGAAATGACATCCTACAGAACGGGAGAAAACATTTGCAAATCATGTATCTGATAAGAGCCTAGTATTCAGAATGAGTAAGAAACTCCTACAACTCAACCACAAAAAGATAAGCCAATTAAAATTAGGTAAAGGCCTTGAGTAGGCATTTCTCCAAAGCAGCTACAGGAATGGCCAAGAAGCACATGAAAAGATGTTCAACATGATTAGTCATTAGGGAAATGCAAATCAAAACCACAATCAGGTACCACTTCATACCCACTAGTATGACAATTAGGAAAAAGAATAAGAAGAAAAAGGAAAATAACACGTATTGGTGAGGATGTGGAAAAATGAGAACCCTCACACACTGCCAGTGGGAATGCAAACTGGTACAGCCCTGTAGAAGACAATCTGACAGTACCTCAAAAAGTTGAACACAGAATTACTACATAAACCCAGCAATTCCATTCGTAGGTGTAGTATATTCAAAAGTAGTGAAAACAAGTACTTAAACAAACGCATATACACGTATGTCCACGGCAGCACTATTCCCAACAGCGAAAGATGGAAGCAGCCCAGTGTTCGTCAGTGGGCGGTGGGAACACAAACTGTGGTCTCTGCAGACAATGGGATAATACTTACCAATAAAAGTGAAGCACTGACAAATGCTACAAGGGTGAACCTCAAAAAGATACAAAGTGAAAGAAGCCAGACAAAAAAGGCCAAATACCCATTTATGTACAGAAGGCGCCTCACTGCATTCCTGTGACACGTCCAGACCGGAATCCACAGAGAGAACACGGGTGGTCCCTGGGGGCTGATGGGAGGGATGGGGGACATGCTGCAAGGGTGGGGGGTTTACCCTGGCGTGATGGGAACATTTCCAATGCGACAGAAGTGGTGGCTACAACCCTGAATGTACCAAAGGCCACTGAGCTGTTCCCTTTAAAATGTGACCATGGACTGGGGCTCGTGCCAGAAAAAGATGTGCTATAAAGGACATTATTGGGACAACTGGAAAAACTGTAATATGCAGATTATCCAATTGCAGCTGTTCCGTGGTCACACAGAGAACAGGCAGAGCGCGTGTGAGTGCATGTGTGCACATGCTGACACACATTTACTTGTTCCCTTGGCATCGCTGGGCCAGCTGGGGGACATACGAGCAGTCCCTGGGAAGGCGCTGCAGGACCAGCATGACTCTCCTGGGTGTGGCCGTGGCTGGGGAAGAGGCCCTCTCTCGGAGGTACCACCAGGTGCCCTGATGTTGCAACTTACTTTCAACTGGTCCTTCCAGAAAAATTAAACAGGGCAAAATGAGTTTGTTAAGTCATATATGAGTTATTCACACTATTATTCTTGCAACTTTTGTGGAGGCTTGAAATTTTTCAAAATAGTTGAGGGGGAAAAAAAGTAAAATAAGGGGGCAGGGACCAACCTCTAAAAGTGACCAATTGCAGGCAGGCTTTTTTTTTGGAGACAGAGTCTTACTCCATTGCCCTGGGTAGAGTGCCATGGCATCAGCCTCACTCACAGCAACCTCAAACTCCTGGGCTCAAGCGATCTTCCTACCTCAGCCTCATGAGTAGCTGGGACTATAGGCATGCACTACCATGCCCGGCTAATGTTTTCTGTTTTTAGAGATGAGGTCTCACTCTTGCTCTGGCTGGTCTCAAACTCCTGACCTCAAGCGATCCTCCTACCTCACCCTTCCAGAGTGCTAGGATTACAGGCATGGGCTACCGCGCCCGGCCCCAATTGCAGGTAATTTTAAAGGGAAGCCTATGAAACGTTCAAGGAGAGAAAATTCCTGTGTTATGGCAACTCAGAGACACAAACTTCTTAACTCAGAGCTTGAGCTGGCATAGCCCTGAAAACAAAGCTGGCCAAAGACAACACAGAAAAAGAAAGGCACAGGTCCATTTTACTGACAAGCACAGACATAAAACCTGTAAGCAACATGCTAACAACCAGAATCTACCAATCTACCAGTGTACCAAAAGAGTAGGACTTCACCGCTTGGCAATGTGGCTCATGCCTGTAGTCCCAGCACTTTGGGAGGCTGAGGCAGGAGGATCACTTGAGCCTAGGAGTTGGATGCTGCAGTGACATGATTGTGCCACTGCAGTCCAAACTGGGAGACAGAGTGAGACCTTATCTCTTAAAAAAATAAAAATAACACTACATGACCAAGGCGGATTTACTCTAAGGATGCAAGGAAATCTACTACAATGACTCATGACATCAACAGGTGGTAGGAAAAAACCCGTGAAGATCTCTTTGGAAAACGTTGAAAAAGCATCTGACCAGTATCCATCACCCATCCTTACTGGAAACTCTTCCAAGCTAGGAGAGAAAAACACCCCCTGAGCCATGTGACACCAGGCTCTGTGGGGACCCTGGCAGGAGCACAGGGCCTGCGCTACCGGAGCCCTGGCCAGCGCCCGAGCGGCAGCACACGGGCACGCCTGCTCCACCCTGATCTTTCACACTTTCAAGACGGGGTGACACACAGAAGAGAAAACCCTAAAAAGTTTTGGAAGAGACTCAGAATAGTTCTCATCTTAACTGACAAAGACCAACTGGGCTGTGGGAAAATTACAAATTTCATATGACAAAAAGACCTTAAAATTAAAAGATTAGTGATACTGGGAACAGTACTTGCGACTGATAATAACCACAGTTTGTAAAGAGCCCCTAGGCTGGGCGCGGTGGCTCACGCCTGTAATCCTAGCACTCTGGGAGGCCGAGGTGGGTGGATTGCTCGAGGTCAGGAGTTTGAAACCAGCCTGAGCAAGAGCGAGACCCCGTCTCTACTATAAATAGAAAGAAATTAATTGGCCAACTAATATATACAGAAAAAATTAGCCGGGCATGGTGGCACATGCCTGTAGTCCCAGCTACTCAGGAGGCTGAGGCAGGAGGATCGCTTGAGCCCAGGAGTTTGAGGTTGCTGTGAGCTAGGCTGACGCCACGGCACTCACTCTAGCCTGGGCAACAAAGCGAGACTCTGTCTCAAAAAAAAAAAAAAAAAAAGAGCCCTTATAGAGCACCCAGGAGAGGCAGACGGTGGTGAAGGCGACGTCACAGAGGAAGAAACGCCGACCACAGCAGGGACCAGGCCATGTGGGGTGGAGCTGCTGTCAGTTCAGCAGCAAAAGCCGGGACAAAGCTCCCTGCCCACCTCCCCCATGCAGAAAGCACTGAGGGCAGCACATGCGGGAGCTGCTTCCTCGGCCTCAGCGCACTGGCCATTGCCCGCCCCGTTTGTCTGCACTCCCGCCCCCTGCACGCAGAGGAAAACTAAGGCGCAGAGTGCGTGGCCTCACGGCGCGTGAGGACACTGCCAGCAGGAGCAGGGTCTGGTCCCTGAATTGGCCCCCACACCCTGAGGCCAAGTGGCTGTCCCAAAAGGAGGGGGAGAGCAGAGGCCAGCATGGAAGTCCCTCCCAGACCAAACCAACCACCCCCGTCACATTTAAGTCTATGCAACTCCACAGGGAAGGCCAGGAGGTGGTGGCTGTGGGGGGGGCCAGGTGGGTGGAAAGCTTTTGTTCCTGGTAGGGCTGTGTGACGGCCCCTGCCCCAGTCAGGACCCCTGAAGGAGACGGTGCTCTCAGCAGCTCTGGGCAGCAGTGGCTGGGGGCAGGGAGGGAAGGTGAGACCAGTGTCTCGAGGAAGCCTGGCCTGGGAGGTGGCCCAGCACCGGCTCGAGCTGCCTCTCCTGGGTCTGGCAGAGGCTGTAGCTCAGGCTGGGCTGGAGAAGGGTCTCCACCCTCTCCCACTCCAGCCTCACCCCCTCCACATAGCCATGACGGTGTGTGCAGGCACAGCGCCAGGCTACTTCCCCTGCAACGCAGGCCCAGCCTACCCTTCCCTGCCGGCCCTGGGGCACCTTCTCCGCACACAGACCCTGTAGGTGCTTGGGCCACTTTGCTGCACTTGGGCAAGTCTCACCTCTTTGTCAAAGTCCTGGTCAGGATCAGACATACTTCTCAGAGGCATGGTCACCCCAGGCTCCGATCCACCTACAGAACCAGAACAGCTTTTAGCTCAGGAAAAATTCCAGAACAGAACTGAAAGCCTAGAGTCCCACCACCAGCCTCCCCACCCTGCGCCCCCTGCCCACCCCCCTACCATAGGAGCTATGCCTCCTCGGTACCTGACGAGGGCCACGAGATGTAGGGCTTGTTCCTGGACGGAGGCTGCCGGGACAAGCCTGGGGGAGCCGGGCCAGGCCTTTCCTCCTGGGTGGGGGCTGCAGCGCTCTGCACAGGGAGAGCAGCGGGTCAGCGATCAGGACCGGGCGGGCCCTGGCAGAGTTGTGGCCCCAGCTCTCAAGGAGCAAACTCGGGCCAAGAGGGCTCTCTCGACAAGGGCGTTGGGCCAGTTTGGAACTAAGCATTGACAACTCTGGGCCAAGTCAGATCCTATAGAAAATACACTTTTTTTTTTTGAGACAGAGTCTCACTCTGTTGCCCAGGCTAGAGTGAGTGCCGTGGCGTCAGCCTAGCTCACAGCAACCTCAAACTCCTGGGCTCAAGCGATCCTCCTGCCTCAGCCTCCCGAGTAGCTGGGACTACAGGCATGCTCCACCATGCCCAGCTATTATTTTACCTATATTATATTATATATATATTAGTATATATATTAGTTGGCCAATAATTTCTTTCTATTATAGTAGAGACGGGTCTCGCTCTTGCTCAGGCTGTTTCGAACTCCTGACCTCGAGCAATCCGCCCACCTCGGCCTCCCAGAGTGCTAGGATTACAGGCGTGAGCCACCACGCCCGGCTGAAAATACACTTTCTTAACTAAAAAGGAAAAGTATGTTACTTGCTCATACTAAGGCGTTATTTAGGTATCATCATCCAGTAGCTAATTCCCTTATGAAACACTAACAGGCTGAGGCGGTGAAAGACACTAACAGAGGCCTACAGCATCGCAGTGCCCAGGAGGGGCATGGGGCCAAAGCCCACAACGCCTCCTGAGGAGGGAAATGCTCATGGAGGGAGTTTCGGCTGAATGGGACTGTGTGACAGACGCTCCAGGTCAGAGCCTAGTGCCGAGGAGGACCAGAAGGCCTCAGTGCCCCGCCGTGGGGAGGTCTGCAGACTCAGGGCCTGCAGAGAGGAAGGGATGGAGCCCCCGCCCGCCTCCCCCGCGCCTGGCCCAGAACGCACCAGAGGCAGGTCCATGAGCACCTGCATCCCATCGCCTGGGCCCATGTGAGCCACGTGGTTGAAGTTGGTGGGGTTGGATATCATCTTGGACCTCAATTCTGGGTCTCTAAGCATTTCTCTGGGGAAAAAGAAATACATTTGAGATTCATGAAGACGTGAAAATCCTGTTGGGTCTAATTCACCCCCTGCTAGCGCCAGGCGGAGCTGGCCCTGTGGGCTCCAGCACCTACCGTCGCTGCTGCAATCTCTCTTCCTCCGGAACCTTGAAGACAAATCGCCTTTTGCTCCTGGTTCGAAGCATCTGCTTCTTGCTGTTGTCAGAAGTATCTGGCACGTTGAGGACGGCTCCTATGCAATAAGGGACAGTGCACAGTGACCGGCTGCAGTGCAAGTCCTCCACGTAAGACAAAGGCCACATGGGCCACAACAGACAGCACAGGCCCAGGCCGTCTGAAAGGCTGCCCCCTTCCGCTCCCACCTGCTGAGAAGGGCCTACCCGAGAACTTGCTCTTGAAGAAGATCAGGCGCGGTGGCTCGCTGTTGAGGAGGTTGAGCGTGCCTTCCGAGTTCAGCGGCCTGATCTGCATCGGAACCAGAGGCAGGAGGTAAGCGTGTGCCCTGGGGTGGACCGGGAGGACCCTGCCCGTGGTGAGGTGCCTTACCCTCCGCAGGCCGATGGTCTGCACCCACTCCATGGTGCGCACGTCAAAGACGTCGACGCCGTACTCGCTGTACACTGTGACGTGGGAGGGGCTGCAACCTAGTGCAGACGGAGCAGAACAGGTGAGCAGCCAGGCGGGCGCCCAGAACTCACCTGTCACCAGTCCTGAAGGCCACACCTGGGGACTGAAAGAGTGCAGAAGAGGCAGCACGGCCCTCACCCGGGTCACCCTCACCTGGACCACACCATCACACGCTTCAGGTTCCACTCTGGAGATCATCTTCATTCCGAAGTCACACACACACACACACACACACTCAGATGTCCACCTGCCTCACGGCTCAAGGTAACAATTTAGATACCACAGTACAGATGACGAAGGCGACTCTTAAAAGTCTGCCTTTCCATTTCGCTCTGTTATACAAGACATGATTATTGCAAAAGGTTAGTAATTGAAGCTCAACACATTTGAAACGCAGGTAAGAGCTGACCGCTCAGCATTCTGAGGCTAATTCCTTCCATAACAGATGCCAAGAAGGCAGCCTTCTGGGTAGGTTTTTAAAACCTCCACAGAGAAACCACTGTTGAGCTCTGGGCAGCCATCCCACCAGTCCCCACGCCACGCCAAGGCTGCTGGACTTCTCTGCATGCCAGGGTCCTTCAAGAACGTGGCAGGCACCCTTTTGCAGGCTGATCTCGACACATGCAAGTGAGAGTCGTTTTCCCGCAGGGAGCCCTGTGGTTCACGCCGCCTTCTTCGTCCCTCTGCTATGAGTAATGGTCTCTGTTGGGTTACGACAGAAAGTCACTCTAGTGCCTGAGGTATGAAACTGAGGACCTTTGGCACATTGGCACATGGAGCTTAAGGGGACTTTCCCTGCGTTTAGAACAGCAGTAAGAATACAGCTGCACCATCTGCCGGCCAGAGAGGAGCAGTGCTGCCCACCTCCCCCCAGCCCGGTGCCACGGAGGGCACGCTCACTGTTGTCACACACTCCTTGTACACACACAGCCTCACCCTGGCGTGGTTCCCCGCCATCTCCTTGGGGAAATGCAGAGCTTGAAGGTGGAGGGTTGTAAAATCCAAGAGAGCTCCAACTTAGCTCTCGTTCCTGGCTCTTCTAATCTCCAGGGGCCAAGGTTAATTTGTTTCTTGTCATACTTTACTAACTGAAGACGCATTTTTTAAAAACTTCTGCTATGTTTCTATCACAGATTCCAAACAGGCTACATGATCAGTCCTTTTTTTTTTAATACAAAAAAGAAAAAAAATTCATTGTGGTTATGATGAAAAAAAAGAAAAAAAAAAAACTGAGAAGTAAACAAAAAGATGCTGGAACTGGTCACCAAACTGCCTCAAAAGTGGCATTTCAGACACCCTCTTCGAGTGCCTTATGCAAAAGTGGACCCTCAATTAATGTTCAGAGGACCATTCTCCACACTGAAGGGATTTCTGGGGGAAGCCCCTTTTACTTTGGGAATGTGTGGAGCTTCATTTGCAAAGAACCAGGAAGTATTCTAATCTGTGGATAAAGTGATAAACTGAGGTGTCAAGTCTAAAGAAAAACTCCAACCGAGAAGATAGTATGATAGTGGAAAGAATGTGGGCTTTGGAGTCTGGCAGAGTTGATGTGTGACTTGTGCAGGTCACATGAGCTCTGTAACTCTCAGTCTCCTCTTCTAGATGAGGCTGATGCCACTTGCCCTAAGGGATAGGAGGGCAGGTAAGGCCACGCGCATAAAAGTGCTAACCACAGGCTCAAAACAAGCAGTTCTCCATGATAAAGGTTATTTAATTATTTCTTGCCAGCTCTAAAATTGACCTGGTGTCTGTACTGAGCCCAGGGGGAGAGAAAAATGGAGATCCACCAAGGTAGAGAACGTTGGGCATCCATGCTGGTCACATGTGGCCAAGATTAGAAAAACATCACAGTGACTTGGGTCCTTTTTGACATTAAACTTTGCAAAAACTTAAAAGTGCTAGAGGATAAGATCCAACAAGCAAGCAGGAATCCTATGTGGTTCTGACCCCTGTGCTGACTGCCCACGAAGAGGATGGGTGTGGCGGGAGAGGCCAGGACGAGGGGTGCAGAGGCAGCTGGACTGGCCCCTTTCCTGTGCACCCCAGGCCTGACCCTGCCGCACCAGTGGCGTTGGCCGTGCAGGAACAGAGCCAGGCCACTGCAGCAAGGCCCTGCAGGCTGAAGCTGGTGGCTCCCGCTCATAGCCTGGGTGCCTGGTCCCGATGCCCCAGGTATGCCACCAGCTTGGCAAGGCCGGCAATGAGGCAGACCAAAGGTTTTAGCTTTAGGTAATTAAGGAGAATGATGATGTCCCACCTCCCACCCCTGGAACCCCCATCTGCTGTTATTTTAGAATCAATGTGTGCCCGCTGGTCTGACGTGGGTCCTGCTCTCTCTTGACCTGCTGATGCAAAGGTACTGCCTACTCCAATATATCACACAGAAGGAGCTCAACGTTTACGGTTTCTTAAAAGCAGGCTGGGCAGGAAGTACTCACCCATCAAGCCCAGGCTCTGGCACCCAGCTCACCAAGCTCTCAGGCCTCTATGACACCTCAAGTGAGCCAGGGCTTCCGACTTCCGTCAGGGCCACCACTCACACAGAAAGTCACTTAAACTAAGCAAACTAATAACCCAGCTGTTTTCCAGAATAGCTCCCGCCACTCTCAATAAAACCACTTGTCTCAAGAGAGACTGAAGCTTAGACACCAGAGTTGGGATTGTTTCTGGCCATCAAAAAGCTTCAGCTTGTTTTTATCACTGTATGAGTTTATGGATTATCATGAGGAAGACCTTTTAAAAAGAATAAACACCATGTCCCCGTGTCCATTCACCCAGCCCTTCTGCCCAGGGGTCTGTGCCCACTGTTGGGCTCTGCTGCTGAGGAACCCCTGGAAGGCTGAGCCCTGTGAGCTGGGGAGAGGGCACAGGGCAGTGGGCAGCTTGCTCATAAGGGGAGGCCTACAGCCACCTGCTGCCCACCCACTGCTGGTCTGGACCCAGGGTCTACTGTGGAAATCACAAAGCCCACCTCTCCTGACGCTCCTGTGCCTACTTGACTAAGGGGACTGGAAGACGAACCAAAGCAAAATAGGACACATGCCGACTGTTGATGTGGGAAGCAGCAACAGGGATATGCAACAGAAAAACATATACATACTACAGGCGACAGGAGCCGCAGGCCACATGAGCTCCTGCGTGCGTGACCTCCGGCCTTGCGGGTCCACGTACAATCCCATGTGGCTGAAGCAAAGCAGGTACTCCTCACTTTTGAGCTCCACAGCACAAAGGGCATCAAAAGACTGTTGTGAGAGGAACGTAAGCGAGGGGTCATTGGGATTTACCAGGTTTAGAGACTGCCCATCTCCCTGGATGCTCAACAGAGAGAACCCAGAAGGGTAGCCAACACAGAGCTTGTCCTTGAACACGGCCATCCACTGGACGTTTCCAGGGGCCACAATTTCATTGAACTTTCTGTGGAAAGGTTTAGTTCTCTGGATCTCGTAGCAAAGGATCAGCCGCTTCACGGCAACAAACAGGCAGGTTGAAGAGCTCTTCTTCAGTGTCGCCGTTGCGATGAGCTGGCAGCCTTTTGTTTCTGGAAGCTTGATATCAAAGTTGCCTTCTGCTCCGTCAAAGGATGACCACGGACAGAGATGGACGTGGTGGCTCCGGCCACAGAGGAGGACTATGATTTTCTCTTTGGGAGCGAGCTCAATCTGGTACACCTTCTTGCAGTCAGCAGCACGGACGATCACTGCAGCAGGACAGGCACGTCAGCGTCCCAGCGCAGCTCGAGACCCACCCCGATGCCCCCAAACCCTCCTCACTGGCTGGCTCCCTCCCTCTCGCTGTGGTCAGACAGGGCTCTAGCGGGGACATGCTTCTGCCTGGACCATGTGTCATTCCCATGCAGTGTGGCCTATGGGGCGGACCTGGACCTTATTCCAGCCCATCCTTGGACCAAACCCCTCGGGTTGCATGTGGGGAACAGAGTCATCTAGGACCTCATCGGGCATCCTCAATCAAACTCTCTGAAAGCACCCACTCCCCACACGGCCTGAACTAACCCAATACTCTACCTGGCTTAGGATCTCCACCCTGGGCTCCCTGAGCCAGAGCCCTTGGTATGGACGGCGAAGGACTGAACAATACGGCTGCAGCCACACCCGCTCACAGGCTCACCCTTGTTGCTCCACAGCACTGTGTGGCGGAGTCGCCCAGGCTTGCTGGGAAGGGCCCACTGCTCACACAAAACATCACCTTCGCCCCGGGATATGCCCCGGAGACCCTGCCCTGGGCCCAGGGCCAGCCCTAGTCTCCTGACGTCTGTATTCCCTGACTCGGGGCTGTAAGGTGGGCTAGTGCAAGGATACTCCCACCTTCCTCACTGGGAAGAGTGAAGTGTCCAACGTGAACTAAATTAAATCTATCTCCAGTGAAGCCACGGTGCCTCCGGGAATCACGTGGCTGTTCCTCCTCCTTGGAGGCTTTTCCTGCCCGCCCCCCCCCCTACTCAACGGCTGTACTAAGGAACCCTGTGTGTGTCACCACGCAGTCAGTGATGGCCATATGCTGACGCACCAGCACTTGCGCCATGGACACTGCTGAGCGCTGATAGTTCTTCTGCACGTAATTTTTCTCAGTTGTCTGCCTTTCCTGCCGTGTTCTAGGACAAGGTGACTTAATTCACACATCGAGTGAATCTCACGGTAACCCTTGCAAGTTCCCGCCACTGACTCTGTGCTCACCAGCAGCGGCCAGGCCGGACCTGAGACGCCCCAGGTGGAAACGCGCCCCTGCTCACTCACCGTCTCGGGTGACCTCTATGACGTACAGCCCTTCTTCTAAGCCAACCGCAATCCTGTCTCCATCTGCACAAGGGTGGGGTAAGAACATACACAAAATCAGCACCGTCAGCCTTCCAACAACAGACGTTCAAACCACGAGGCCTGCTTACACACACATCTTTTTCAACCAAACACAACTTTTTATACATGTGGGCTCTGCAGGCTGACTGCAGGAATTGAGAATTTGTGGATTTGGGAATACACAGGGGCCTCTGAAGTGTGGGTCCTGCTTCTTAAAGTGTGCAGAGCAACTTCCTACGAATTCAAACGCACGACACAGCGTGGTCTGAATCTGTCTGCACGTTCAATCACAGCACCTCTGAATTGCTGTTTTTTCGGGGACATACCCACAATCGCGGCCGTCAGGACAGCCTTGATGAGGGGCAGCGTGCTGTCGTAGGCCTCCTGCGGAACATGCACGACCTGATTCCTCAGTCGGTTTTTATGCAGGATGGACTGCAGTCCTTCTAGAATGCCAACCCATTTCCTCTTTTCATTCTCATTTTCTGTCAGAATGAGCAGTGAGCTGGTCTTAGAAGGTGCACCTAAGAGCGAGGCTGTCACCTTCATGATAGAAAACAAAACAGACAAAGACAGAAGAGCCGTAAGACAACCAAACCACACCAGATGTCCGTGCCCTGGCTCACAGATGGCTAGCACTGGAGGTGATGAAGTGCGTGCGGGAGCCGCTGGCAGACTCGGATTCCGGGGTCATGCGCCTTGGTTCCGTGTCCCCCTGCCCAGCCAAGGTCATGTGGGGCTTCGCGCCTGGCGGCTCTTAGCAGCAAACAGGAAGGGGGCAGGGTTAAAAATAGGCCTGTGAAGTCCCTTCCTGGTCAGATTTTAGCTAATTCTGCTCTTGCCAAAACTAAGATGTAACTGCCCATTTTAAAAAATTGCTTTCTTAAACAGTCTTATTAAAATTAAAAAGTAGATTCTCAGAATGTGTCCAGGGAAAACAGGACCTCAAACAGAAATATTCTCACCAAATCACGCTCCCTAAGCGCTTATTAGGAAACGGATTGCCTCAGTTGCTGCAGAGTGACCATCATCTTAAGCAGTGAAGCAATTTCTATACTGTATACAGCAGATTGTTTCTGAATAGAGATGTGATTTAGTAAAAAATGATTCTCAGACTTATTTTTTTAGTCACCCAAATTTTACGGTGTTTACAAAAATTCCCATGGGGGTGGGGGGTTTCTTTCCCTGATCCACGATCTTTCAGAAACTTCCTAATGCCGCAGTATCCAACATCACTGCACTGGGGGCTAACCCAGCCAGCAGACGCGCTGATGGGCAGTGTGGAGGAGGAACGGTGGAAGCCATGTGCTCCAGCACATTCTGCGTGGCATCTGCCAAAGCTGCTTCTAGCAGGAAGTACGCTGTGGCCAGAGCCACCGAGGTACAGTCCAAGTGGACAGGAGTTTCGGAGGTAGGCTGGGGGTGCAGCGGGGGAGGAGGCTCCCCAACAAGAGGGGCAGAGCAGGGCGGAGCACAGAGGGCGGGACGTGCAGCAGGGCCCGAACCAGTCGGGAAGGTGGAGGACTAAGCCACGCTGGGGTGCTGTGAAATGTGCAGAAGAATCACCGTATTTACCATGTGATTTTTTTTTAATGATTAATGAAATGTTCTCTGATAAATAGAAAAGAAAAAACAGAATAATTCATACCCTGAATATACACGGAATGTCTCGGCGTGTAGCATGAATGACATCAGAGGCCAGGACGGAGCTCACTGAGAACTCTTCATCCCTGGTAAGAAAGAAACATTCACCACACTGGGAGGGACACACAGGCTGATCTGTCCTGTCACAACCCTGGCAAAAAAGGACACTCCACCATGTGTAGCCTACAACAGATGCAGGCCCTGCCTTTACTTGGGCGAGGAAAGACTTGCCTGGACGGAGCCCACACGCCCTCTGAGGCCCCTGCAGGTGTTGCAATGGCCAGTAGGGCACCAAGCCCTGCTGGTGTGAGTCACACTGTCCCAGTTACAAGTCCTGCCTTGGCCTGTACTTGGCGCAACCAGGCAGTTGTTTGGGGACCACTCGTGAAGAAGAGGGTAAGATGTGCCGAGGTGAGCACAACTGTGCTCCTGCGCTGCGTCCAGCGCAGACCGTGCTCTGCCGCCAGTGTCTGTGACTGGGGCTCAGGCCAACTTTTCGTCCACTGGTGGCTCTTTACTGCCAGGCCAGGGGCACAACTGTGCACAGCGAGGGACATGGAAGCTGAATGCTGCAAAGGATCCAATACACCCCGAGGGCACCCCTGCCCCAAGAACCACTGCTGGAGACTGAGCCTCTAGGCTGGGCCCAAGCCCAGACCAGATGCCGACCACAGTCACGATGCCTGTGGCAGGAGCTGACCCACGTGGCACCGGGAAATGCTGACAACATCTAGGCACACCGTTATAAGGAGACGACAGGGAGGCTGCAGCCACAGCTCTGCGTGGAGGGCCTTGTCGAGCACAGCCTGTCTAGCAACGTGTCAACCTTCACGACAACCCTCTACGTGGCAGTGACGTGACCCTGTCCATATCTCACAAATGGGAGATGCAGGCTCAGGGATGTCAACTGGAGGGAGGAAGAGGCCCCACACTCTCCTACAGATGCCAGGACAGCATCATTATTGCCAAGAGAAGAGGACAGTAGAGACGGTGGCATGCAGTGAATGTTGTGGCCACACAAAGCCCACGGCTCTAGACTTCTTTTACATGCTGAGAGTGCTCACCCAGGTATCTGAAAAGCATGGACCACCACAGGCCACACAATTTTTCTCTGAGATGTTTTCTGCTTGTTCTTGGGCATGTGGTTTTCTTATGTTTAATAAATAAATGCCTGTTTGGCAAATTTTTCAATGCAAAAACATCCAAGGCAGGAAAAGTTTATAGTATGTATTTTAAGTCATAACTAAGCTTTTATCTGTTTTTGGATAATTAAGGTCAATGTAAAAATGTAAAAATGAGGTAAAAGATTACCAAGCAACAAACTCATATTGTGGCTACAAATAAGTCAGTCACAGTTCACAGAACAAGGACAGTGTCGCACAAACACCGACCTGAGATCCAAGACTTGGCTTGCGAAGACCCCAGGCTGGGTGGACTTCCCTTCGGGCAGATCGTACAGGAAGAGCTTACAGTCACAGACAACCGCGTATGCCCGCTGCCATCCTTTCTTCACCCCAGTGGGCTTTGGGACCTACAGACGAACAGGGACTGTGTTCTACCGGGCCACGGAGGCCAGTCAGAACGCGTGCGGATGGTGGACAGTGGAGGCCACTGGGCCCCATTAGATGTGGTCACAGCCTCCTTCCAGCTGCTGCCTGACTCCCAGTTCACCAGGACAGCTCCCTTTGTGTCCTTGCCCAGGCTGGTGGCAGAGCTGTGTCTAGACACAGAGGTCCCTGCCCAGGGAGGCTCAGAACAGTGCTGGGGAGGGTTCTGTGTATGACAGGAAGTAATGCAGGGGGAATGGCGGACAATTTGGCAAACGGGCGTGTTCACACCAAACACAGAATGTCTGCAATGATGTAGCTGGACAGGCTATAGCACTTAGAGACGGTTCAAGCATGGTGGTTTTCAAACACACTTAGCTTTGGACCTTTGCCCATTGGCCAGATGCTCATCTCAGGAGGTAGGGCACGAGGGAATCCCTGATGGATGCTGTGTGTTTCTGCATGGAGTCCTCAGGACCCCCAGGTCACTCAGAGCAGTGGCCACGCTGGCTTGACCAACTCATTTCCCAGGAGGTGAGGCCTCCCAGGACTGGCACCAGGGTCACTTCATGCAGCAGCAGGATAGCTTTCGAGAGCAGCTGCACATGGTTAGTGGCCGTTACACATCAAAGACACCGAGGGCTGCCCTGGTGGGACGTGAACTACGCTGTGTCGGCTGAGCTGTGCCGCGGGCAGCGGGAAACTGCGTCCCTTGCACCCTCTTACCTTGACATAGCCTTTGTAGGCTGTTCCTATGCCTCGCTGCACGTCCACGCCAAGAGGCCTCTTTGACTGCTCGGGAGGTATCGGGCACACCTGGGGAGCGCTGTCTCTGCAGGACACGTGGCAAGCAAACGAGCACACTGGAAAAGAGAAAGAACACTACCCTCAAAACTGGCTTCCTACAAAGTAGAAGTCACTACAGAACATATATCCTGAGGTGACAATTTTACGCATCACCAAGAGGAGTCCAGATATTTACTAAAACAAAAATAGTCTGTGGAACACAAGTCGCGCACAAGCTCAGGGATTTTGGTATTGAATGAATTTGACATGCTCGGAGGAGCACTCACAGGGAGAGCGAGACTCATTAGCACCAAGTATCACCACAAAGGCTTGACTGCCAGCCACATCCTATGGGGCTGAGTCACCAGATCTCCTCGCAGGGACCCACCCGCAGTCAACTACAGGGCAGTGGTCACCTGATGTGCGGGCTCCTGGCAGCCAACCGAAATGCACAGGAGTTGCAGTAACAAAAGAAAATGCTTCTGCTATCACGTAAAATGAAGAAAAATACAGCAGCTGTTCTGTAGAGCAACACACCCACCGACATGGCCAGGCTTGAGCACACGGGCAGCTCGGGCTGGGTACCACCCACAGAAAGGGCTGGGTGAGGGGGCCAAGTCCATATCCCCAAATCCCAGCACAGGACAGAACCTTAAAAATATTAATGCTACTAATAATGACTAGAAGCAGAGACAAGACCATTGTGGTTATCGGCAGATGATCTGATAAAGGAAGATTTTACAGTTCTTTTTCCTCTCTGATTTTAAGCAACCATGGATGTTGCACTTTATAGTAATTCTCAACAGATGACTAGGCAGCCACAGCAGCACCCTGGGGTCCCAGCGCAGCAGGGATCCCCGCCAACAAATCTTTACTCAGCATTTATAAAAGTAAAGTTACTGCCCTGGGCTGGCTGGTGCCCAGTGGTGAAGCTGCACCCGCCACCCCTGGCCTGAGGCCGACACTCACCCTCGCAGGCGTAGCCCTGCCGGATCAGCCCGACCATGAGGGACGTGCAATGGCTGCACTGGGTGGGGCTGGAGAAGGACTTGATGCTGAACTGGTGAGCCTTTGGCTGCAGGGAGAACATCAGAAAACAACATCAAGGCCAGTCACAAACTTTGAGGTAAGCTGGATCAATCTGGTTGAGATCAAATTTATAAACAACTTGGACAGTGTCTTGAAAAGTTGAAAACATGCAATTTCTCTTCTCAGTGTGTGTGTTCCCTAAGAGGGCTAATCAAAGAGTGGTTAAGACCACCCGAAGAGCTTAAGCCAGAGAATAGGCCAACATGTGCTTCCTCTGGTGAGCTCTGCTACCACAGAGACTGCTGGGCGGGGGTGCCATGGTGGCACAGCCGATGCTCTTTCTGGTGCAAGCTCCTGGTCTCCCAGAGGACCAGGATTGGATCTTGGGGGCCAGCCTGGCGCCAGAATTTGGGCTGGGCTGTCACCCAGAGTAGCTCTTGCATATGTGACCAGGAGACATGCAAGAAACATCTATAGCAGAACAGTTCCTGGGAAGACCCACCGTCCCTTGTTGGGAGAACAGACATGTTATGACGGGACTGACAACGGAACAGACGTAGGATTGAAGAGCCCGGTGCAGACCAGGCAGGACGGTGGTTTACAAAGCTCAGCATAGCAAAAATAATACGTTCCTAAGGTGGACACAGATATAGACAAAGCCATGTGTAGGAAGCAAAGGAGTGACCAAGACAACTTCAGAGATCAGAGGCAGGATAAGGCTGTGGAGGTTAGCAGGGAGGGCGCAGGGCTGCAGGAGTGGCTGTCACAACCGCTGAGTGACACGTGATGCCCCCTGCAGAGCTACTGCTCTGTATCCAATATGTCACCCAAGTAAATAACCTCTCGACTTGGTCCCCGACTCTCCAAGAGTCTAAGTCCAAAAGCCAAACCATTAGTTATTCTTACACAAAATCTAGCTCATCTCTAATGGGCATGGCTGCCTGTGGGTGCAATTATAAACAGAGGCCGTGTCAACACTAACGACGACAACAAAGCCCTAGGGACACAGCGCTAAATGCTTGCTAAGCTTAAAGCGTAGAGCCTTGTCACAGTGAACTTTTATGGAAATTTTATGATCGGTGTTGACATTTACAGGAAAGAAAAAGGAGACTCTGCAGCAGGGCCAGGCTGTCAGAAGGATAGCGCAGACCTGTATCCACCAACGTGCGAGGCTGTCCAAAACACATTTGTGCTCAAAACTGCATGTTCAGTGTTGCTCCATGTATGATGGGGAGAAAATTCTCACCCACAAGCACATGGTTCTCTAGCGCAGACAGACAAATGGAAATAACTTTGGAGCAGGAAGTGGAAAGATACATACCACAGAGTGGTTACCACTTGAGAGGGGACTGTGGTTTGGGGGTAAGGAAAGGAAAATGGGGAGACTGAACTGAGAACCTCCAATTAAAATGTGCTCGTGCGGCATGGCTGGAATTGAGAAAACACGGGTCCCAGCAGCATCCTGAATTATACACCTTTTGAACTAAATCCTTAACAGAACATGAGGGTCTTATTGTGTGCATTAAAAAATGACAAAGTTCATTTTATTTATACAAAAGTTATCTTCTACAACTAATAAGGCACCCTGGGTGAAAAGCAAGGCCCCTACCTTCGGTCCAGCCAGAGCGAGGGCCTGCGTGGTGGGCAACGGCACAGCGGGCGGCCTCTGCGAGGGCCGGGCCATGTCCTGGGAGACAAGCAGGACAGGTGAGCGTTGGCCTAGCCCAGCACCGCCAGACCCCATTTGGGATTTATTTCTCTCTAGAACTGATCAATAATTAACAGTTCTGCATTTTCAATTTGCTATACTGTTGAGACATCTGTCAAAGCCGCCCTCATCTGGCTGATGGACTGACAGTAACTGAAAATGAAAGATGGCCTTGGTGCCTGGGAAGAGGTCCTGCAGGGATAGGTGAGCCAGCCTCGGCGTCTGTTCATCAAGGGCAGGCTATGCCACGTGGACAGGAGGGCAGACCCCAGGGCTTAGAGCACCAACAGGGCGGCACTGTCTTACCTCCTGCTGTTCTGTGTTTGCAGCCACAGAAATCGATGAGGACACTTCTGACTTGGGAGCCTGTGTTTCCTGCTCACTAGCTGAGCTGGTCTGTGAAAACAAAGACAAATAGTGGCAGTGAAAGGACTTATTCTATAGAATTCAGGCTCTACTTACATGTTCCTTATTTAAAACATGCATTCTATCGAGGCCTACAGTCCCAACGGTTCTTACTCCTGGATCCTGTCACCCTCAGGTCCTCTCACGGACAAGCTGGCTTGCTTTCCATGACGACCACTGGATTCTAAGGCTGGAGTGGTGATCTTGTGGGCAGGTAGAGTCTGACAAGGCACAGTTACCACCGAAGGTGAAAAACCATGAGCCTCCTCCCTCACCTCCAGCCCTGGCCATTTAAAGAGGAGGGCCCAGAAAATGTCAACCCTTCTACATTATTCATAAGTAATTTTATCTAAACCTGGTAGCCTTAAGATCAACTAGTCAAATACTTCTTTTTTTTTTAGAGACAGGGTCTTACTTTGTCACCCAGGCTGCAGTGCAGTGGTGTCATCATAGCTCACTGTAAGCTCGAACCCCTGGGTTCAAGTGATCCTCTACCTCAGCCTCCTCAGTAGCTGGGACTACAGGTATGTGTCATGACGCCTGGTGAATTTTTATATTTTTTTAGAGACAAGGTCTTGCTGTGTTGCTCAGGCTGATTTTGAACTCCTGGCCTCAAGTGATTCTCCTGCCTCAGCTTCCCAAAGTGCTGGGATTACAGGGATAAGCCACTGTGCCCGGCAGCCAAATGCTCCTTAACCTCATTTCAGGGATCAAGAAGAAAGTCTAAGATCAGCAGAGGTCTGCGGGCCTATGCACATTAGTAAGAATCTCCCCGAAAGTTACATGGTGGAGGGAAGCAATGTTTTCTCTATTCTAACAACTTAAGAGTTTCAAGTTCATTTCACAATGATCTATTTGAAGCTAAAGATACCAAACCACTTTTTAAAAAGCTGATTTTAATGAGTATTCCTGAAACTACTAGTTCATCATCGAAAGCCATTAGTATTTAAAGACCCACATCCCCTGTACAGTATGCTTAGCAGCAAGTGTTAGTGCAGAGAAACAGTGTGCCAACGCACAGAAGAAGCTGGGTAGGCACCTAAAGAGCAGTTTACAGCTGTATGTTGTGTCGACAACAGAATCCCAATGAACCAAATCAGCTAAACAATTTCCAACAGTTGCAATTAATTAGGCTGCTGGAGAAGGAGCCAAATTCAGATGGGATCGCAATGCGTGCACACACACGACACATGCACAACTGTGTGCTGCAGGATTTGGATTTCTATATAAATTCACAGGAGAAAGGCTAGATCAATTAGCCAATTATCATAGCTAAAAAATGTAAGCAGATTTGCTCCATAAATAAGGTATGTTAAATGAGTTAGAGCTCCATCCTTAGCTAAACGAGGAGCAAAAGAATATTAAGCAATTTAATCTTAGCCACATAAAAGCCCCACTAGTTTTATTTAGTTGGTTAATTAATCAAAAGGATGCAAATTAAGGAATAGGAGAACTGAGAATGCTGTTCATGAACAGGAGTGACAGCCACAGGAAGCCGGCACCAGCAGTCACTTACTTCCTCCCAAAAGGCTAGCAGAGAAGACGCAGACGAGGAGGAGAGAGAGTCCTTGGTGGTAACAGACAGGAGGAACAAAAATGATCATTTCCCACCCAGTAAACACTGACGCAAAAATATACTGACTCAATCTTGGTAGCAAATCATTCCTAGTATTAAGCAACAAGTTTCATGTGTGCTAAGTGGAATAGAAGCTTCTCAAAGATTCTCAGAATCTGGAAACAACTCCTAACATAGACTCTGACTGAGCGCTTTTTCTTTGCAACTGTAAATACCCTTCCCCCTAAATCACAGCAGTATTAGAGAGGGATTAAAAACGGCAGGCATGCTGGCCATGGAGAGCGAGGCATGCAGATTGCAGCTTCTGCCCGTGTGTTAAACTCTGCGCTGCGTGCTGTCCACAGCTGCGACTCACTCCGACGGACGCCACTGGCTGGAAACCTGCCTGCCACTGACTCTCAACTCTGCCCATTAATTTTACAGAAAAGCCACTGCCTTCCCGGACACCTCCAACCTGCAAACAAGCACTGTCTCTGTGCTTTTGGCATCTTTATTCATTCCTCACCAGGACGGTGTCTAGCACCACAGTGTCGGATCAGGCACGAGGCTCACGCACCAACAGGCTTGTCAAAGAACCAGTAAGCGATTAACAGTAAAAATATATTTGCTTCTTCAAAACTGGGGACTTCAGGGAAAAGACAAGGATTGCCAATTTGATTAAAAAAACTAAACATTTTGACAGGTGAAGGTAAACAGGTGTGTGCTCAGAATGTTTGTGTACAATATAAACCTGCTTGGACTTTACAATAATGATCTAGGCTACGATGGCTAGTGAAGTGCACCCCTGAGGAGGGCTACTGGGGGACAGACCAGCAGGGTCCCCTGACTACTCCCTAATCACAAAGGCAGCAGCCCCGGCAGACAGCACCTCAGCATGGGCAAGCCGACCTCTGCATGGGAGAAGAGCACAACACCTCTCGCATGGAGTTCACAGCAAAATGCTCAACGCGCATTTAATCAAGAGGAAACATCAGACAAATCCAGAGTGTAGGACAGTCTATAAGCCAATTGCTCTGGACAACAGAACCATATCATCATAAAATGAGGGGAAAACGGGGGACCTGTTCCAGATTAAAGGAGATAAAAGAGACATGACAATTAAATACAATCATGATCTCCAATGGGATCCAGCACCAGGAGGAAAAACTAGCTATGAAGAACATCTCTGGGACAAGGGAAATCTGGACTGGACTGTCCTGTGCCACCAGTGCATCGCGTCTCACATGGGACAATCACACTGTGGCTCTGTAGGAGATGTCCTTGACCTTAGGAAACAAACGCTGAAGTATTTTGGTGTTACTGATGCCTGCAAATCACTGTCAAATAGTTCAGGGAAGAAAAGTCTATGTGTATGTGGAGAGAGAAAGCAAATGTGGCAAAGTCCCAGGTGAGGGATATATACATGTTCAACATACTATTCCTTCAACTTTCTCATAGGGTCAAAATTTTCTAAACAAAAAGTTGAAAAGCCACCACCACCAACCACCACTTCACTGAAGTTCTATTAGTGAAGTTGCTTTCATTATTCTAACTGTCTGGCCTGCTACAATGGTTGCTAGCAAGGGTCTATCCTTATTCTTTCAGAAAAGGAGAGAAAGACTGCACTGTCTCCACGTAGTGCCACATAAAGGGAGGTGGGACTCATCCCCCACCCAACAGCTGCTTCCTAAGCAGACCAGCAATTCCTCAGCGGGGGTGAGGCTCGTGCGATTGGCTAACTCGTGTGTGCTGCCTTCAGCTCTAACACTTGGCTCTTTTCCAGCAACCACTGAGGCTGAACTATACAGCTACATGGAAGTCACAAAAGTGGTAACATGACTAAATTATTATTTGCTGCAGTATAAGAATCAGTATTTAAAGAGTTACCTAAAATAATCACTACACAGTCAGAGGCCTGTGTAGATTTCTCCCCTGAAGACACTGAGCACTTTCTAAATCTAATTTCTACTTAATTTAAGAAAGCTTCTCTGGGAGCAGTTCAAATACCTTAAATGTTGCAAACCTTACATATTTAACATGCCAGGTCAATGATGTGTCAGATGACTGATGAACATCAAATGGTAATTTACTGGTGTGTTTGTGGTCCCGTGGGTAGTCAAATCATATTATATTATTTCTAACTTATCAAAAATTCACTTGTCACTTTTTTAAAAAAATGACTTACTCTAAATGTCAGATCATGCGCAAGAGGTGCAGTGTTGAAGTACTCAAAAATAGAATCCTGGAAATCTGGAAGTTTGAGCCCTGTAACAAAGAACAGTCAAGGTAATAAAAAAATTTAAAAGACTATATCTTATTTTTTAGATAGGAAGACTCAATATCATCAATATGTCAATTCTACATAAGTTAACCAATAAATTTGATGTGACACCAGTTAAAAAAGTTGGAAAAATACTTGCAACTTAGATCACAAACAAAAGGCTCTAATTTCTGATATGCAATAAGCTTCTAGAAATTAAGAACACTAAAACCTGAATTTTAAAAAATGGGTAAAAGATACAAACACATAATTCACAGAATAAATACATATGAAGAGATGCTCAATCTTACTTGTACAAGGAAAATACAAATTAAACCTACACTGAGATGCTATTTTTCACCTATTCAGAGCGGTAAAGCCCACAAGTTTGAAAGCATACTTTGCAGGCAGCGCCAGTGTACAGCTCTGGAGGGGCATCTGTCAGCACCTAGCACTGGTGTCTATGTACGTTTGCCCTTCGAACAGGCAATCACACTTCTAGAAACCTATCCCCCAAATACACTGACAAATATATGAAATGCTCTATGCATACAGCTACCCAGTGTAGCATGTTCCATGGCAGTGAATGCCGGGGAGGAGCCCGGCACCCACCCCAGGCAGGGGGCTGGCACAGCCCACCCGATGTCCGGTGTAGCCGCAAAAGGGGCGCAGGATGGTCTCCCCCAGCACAGAACGGTGCCTTTTGTGTAACAGGGAGTATAAAGACACGTGTGACTGTGTGTGCATTTGCTTTATGTTTTCTAGATGGAACAAAGGAAGGACAAATCAGAAACTGCTTACCTTTGAGGAAAGTATCTTTGAATATACTGTTTCAAATTTTGACTTTGGACTTACACAAATGCTTTATATATATAACTAAAAACTAGTAATCTAAAAGAGGGTAAAAGAAAATAAACCATTCATTTTAAAAAGGCTTATACTAATTTAGAACCATATGATTTTAATTTACCAGTATCTGCTCTAAATTTTTCTTCCATCTTTTTCTTCAAAATTTCCATTTCTTCTAATAATTCTCTGTTTTTGGCTTCAGAATCCTTTAGTTTACTAAAATAATAATAAAAAAAATAACAGACTTTAAGAGGTCATCCACGTGTGGTTCAGGGTACACCGGGATGAGAGGGTGGGGTTTCCTCCAGCAGCGGAATGTGCCAGCACCGGCAGGTGCTCAGCACACCGGGCCTTCCACTTAGCACACTGGGCCTTCCACTCAGCACACTAGGGACACTGGAAACATTTCAAAATTATAAACATTTAAACATGGATTTTAAGTCATGGCTTATCCAGGTGTATCTCATGAAGCCCTAATGGAGTTTCTGATGTTCCTAATCTTGTTTCCAGGCGAGTCCTCTGTCTTCCCAGGACACGGAGCCCAGATCACTCAGCCGTCAGTCCCGCAAACGCCTGTTCCACATTGGCAAGCTGGTGGACTGCACCGGAGAGCATACCACCACCTGGGTGCTGGCAGCCTGGCAGTTCCAGTGATTTGGTGGCAGGGACAGAGGAAGTCAGGCTGCCACAGGGAGCAGGAGGCATGCTATGAAGAGTGAGGCTCTGCTACTTCTCAGTGGGGTGATGGCAGGCAAATTACATAACCTCCGTGCACTTGCACTTTGGTCTGGTCATGTGTAAAGTGGGGGTAACAAGAGTGCTTGCCCTATGGGGACGAGGTGGGTTCGCATGACTTAACAGAACAAAGTTCTTATAGTAGTTCCTGGCACAAAGGAAATAAATTTAAATGGCCTTTAATTACTGTTAATTAAATTACTGTTAATTCTTTTAGCCTAAAACTAACAGGATTTTGGTCTTGGTGATCCTGTTACTTACAATGTCACTTCTGGGTCCTTACGCACTTCACAGAGAAGTGTCAGGGCATGGCAGAGCTGACCCTATCCTCCCATCCCAATAGCTGCTGCCACAGGCTGGGAGGCCTGGTTTTCATGAAACCGCAGCTCATTATTGTATCCTGAGCATTTGCAAATGGCAGACTCTCAAGAAATATTTGTTGAATTTACTGCTGTGTAAAAATGGTGCTCTTCTGACTGTGTGAAGTTAGGGAAAGAGTTTGGAACAGGCATGCCATCTTCAACTACTATTTTAAAATATTACCTTTAGCTTAAAAGGAAAAATTCTGAGTTGATGAATAGCACCAAGGTAAGTAAGCCAGAGAGGTGCCTGTCAGACACGTGGCCATGAGTCTTGTTCCCCAGCATGGGGCAGAAGCACCCCGTGCACACACACAGAGAGACCACGGACCCACACTGCTCTCATCACTTCTTGAGAACATTAAGCACTATCCCCAGCAGGGGAGGGACAAGTGCACACTCATCTTGCCGTTTCTTATTAAGCACCTACTGAATGCCAGACACTTGACATTCCTCAGAGCTCTCTCCAGTTGACCTTACTGCCCTGGCAATGGCCTGCGGGACAGCAGACACTGCTGCGTCTGTTTTCTAGGTGAGGAGAGTAAAGGCCTGTAGGCATCAAGGCCTGCTAGAGGTCACATAGGCCCCAGCTCCCACTGACAGGACCACAGCCCCAAGTACCTTTCGAAGGTGAGATTCGTGTCCTTAACTTTCCTCAGCTCCTCCTGAACAAGCTGTTTGGCCCGGATCTCTGCCTCAAGAGCAGACTGCAATTCCAGCCGTGCAGACATGTCCAGCTTCTGACTACGGCGAACTTTCCAAAGTGGATCCTTTAGACATTGGGTAAAGAATTAAAAATACACTTTAAGCTATTTGTTAAACTAAATTAGTGCTGACAAATAAGCAACCTATCTTTGTCTAATCTTAAACCATTTCTATTATATTTTAATATTAACACTCAAGATAGGGCCAGGCGTGGTGGCTCACACCTGTAATCCTAGCACTCTGGGAGGCCGAGGCGGGAGGATTGCTTGAGGTCAGGAGTTCGAAACCAGCCTGAGCAAGAGTGAGACCCCATCTCTACTATAAATAGAAACAAATTAATTGGCCAACTAATATATATAGAAAAAATTAGCCAGGCATGGTGGTGCATGCCCGTAGTCCCAGCTACTCGGGAGGCTGAGGTAGCAGGATTGCTTGAGCCCAGGAGTGTGAGGTTGCTGTGAGCTAGGCTGACGCCACAGCACTCACTGTAGTCTGGGCAACAAAGTGAGACTCTGTCTCAAAAAAAACAAAAAACAAAAAAGACACTCAGATAGTATCAAGGACCATCAGACCCAATTTCAGTTCTGGTATTTTAGGACTTTCATTCTTAGAAATCGTTTAAAAAATAAAATTTATTTCATTAGAGTAAAACTCATTCTACAGTGCAATTTCTATATGGGTCCAGTGGACACTTTTATAAACCTAATATATTAGGAGGTCTCAGTTAATCTTTTTCCTATTTCTTAAAACATTGTGCTGTTTCACCACCCTAGGAATTATGTCTTTACTCATTTTTATTTGTGATAAAAAAAGACTAAAATAGTAAGAAAAGGGAAGAGTGATGATCTACAAGGATGAAGCAAGAGTGAAAAAACCCAGTAGGATCACACCATTCTTCCACTTTCGTCCTGGGTTGTCCAGTGTATTACACCAGCTTGCAGGAGGTATGGAAGAAGTCTGGAGATAGCACCTTGGTAGATTGGTGGCCTTTTTTTTTAAGCTTTCATTGAATGCAACTGAGAATTCTTTATTTTCCCCCATAACAGTAAAGAGAAGAAAACTGACAGAGAAAGACATTTCACAATTATCAGACAATTAGAAGTGGGTGAGGGGGACAGAACGTGGCCCTCTAGCCACATAAAAAAATCTCAGTGAGTCGTCAGATGATAAGTGCTAAATGAATTTTCTCAATTGAGTGAACAATATACCTCTAAGGGTAGAAAGGAAATATATTCTCATCCAGTTACTTCTTTAACAGAAGAGCTGTTCACATAATATTATGCAACCATCTCAAAATCCCATTTGAGAATCTCAACCATCCCATTTTGCTAAAAGAACTTCCATCTTTTATGAGGTTTGTGTACACAATTTTCTTAATGTAGTTTGTAAGTGCTGGCAAAATGTATGTGTAAACATGACTGGGGAAAAATAGAAAACATGCAAATGAAAAAATTGCTGATCATTCTAACTGGTGTTTATAAATCTAAAATCTGAAAAAGAAATTATTTTCCCATTATGGAGCAAAGAACATGGCTGTGTTCTTTTCTTCAATATAATTATGAGTTGTCAACGTTTTCAAAAGTGCTGTGTTTTGAAGACATGAAAGCGGGAAGAGTGAGAAGCCATGATGAGCCAGGACCAGTCAGAGCTAATCTGAGGCCTGGCGTCAGTATTTACAAGGTGTTTACAGATCCATGTGTGATGTGGGGCTAGGAGTTAACTACATTCAAAGGTGCTGCTGTTTTGGGGTAAATATACCTTCAAACCAAGAAAATGTGAAATAAAAATTTGAGTTTAAGGCCGGGCGCGGTGGCTCACGCCTGTAATCCTAGCTCTCTGGGAGGCTGAGGCGGGCGGAATGCTCAAGGTCAGGAGTTCAAAACCAGCCTGGTGCAACAGCGAGATCCCGTCTCTACTATAAATAGAAAGAAATTAATTGGCCAACTGATATATATATATAAAATTAGCCGGGCATGGTGGCGCATGCCTGTAGTCCAGCTACTCAGGAGGCTGAGGCAGAAGGATCGCTGGAGCCCAGGAGTTTGAGGTTGCTGTGAGCTAGGCTGACGCCATGGCACTCACTCTAGCCTGGACAACAAAGTGAGACTCTGTCTCAAAAAAAAAAAATTTGAGTTTACTAAATTTAAGTTCTGGATAAAATTCTATATTGTTTTCACTATCCTTTTATTCTTCTATAAATTATTCATAAAATAATCTTTTTTTTTTTTAAAGGGGCAAAATTGGACTAGAAAAAGGGAAATAAGACATCCCTGACATGTGGGGTTGCTGCTGCTCAGGAGGACGGGACAGAGACAATGCTCACTCAGCCGAGGGCCGGCTGCACTCCAGGGTTCAGAATATATGGGACACTGACCGCCTGAACTATGTCAAATTGATACAACAAAGCCCCTGAGGGCAGAACCCAGTCCTGCGGATTTAAGATGACACCACAGAGCCTTGTACGCTAGACCCCGTCTCTACTACAAATAGAAACAAATTAATTGGCCAACTACAAAATATATAGAAAAAATTAGCTGGGCATGGTGGTGCGTGCCTGTTGTCCCAGCTACTCAGGAGGCTGAGGGAGAAGGATTGCTTGAGCCCAGGAGTTTGAGGTTGCTGTGAGCTAGGCTGATGCCACGGCACTCTAGCTTGGGCAAGAGAAGTAAGACTCTGTCTCAAAAAAAAAAAAAGACACTGTGATGATCTGATAGCTGACAAAATGTTAAGAGTTCCACAAATTAGGGTTAATGTTCACTGGCCACACAAAAGTCTCTCCCACCATTGGAATTCCCTAAATAGTACTTAAATGCCCTATTCATACTTCCAATAAAACCATTAGTGAATCTTTAGTAATAAAAATGCAGGCTTTAGAACAAACCCACCAGTGTTCTCGATCCCAGACTAGAACTCCTCAAAGTCTCCAGCTCTTCAGTCATCTTAGAAGCGAGAGCTTGAAGGTAACCCCGGGCATCTTTCTCATCGCTGACCCTAGAGGAGGGAACAGATGTTCTGTCTTATGAAGTACGACCACCCGTGAGCGGAACCAAATAAGAAGATGGATGTTCCCATCTTCCTCAGGACACAGTGACACAGCATCCTATTAGCCAAAATGCCAGTTATCTTGGATAAGTTAAAGTCTTTTGTGAGCAGAGGGTAAGTTCCCAGCTCGCTGGGTCTCCCTAGCGCCTCCTGCAGTCGGCCTCGGAGGCTCTCTGCCAGGTTTCACCAAGAACGTGAGGGGCATGTGCAACTCAACCCAGGTCTCTTGGTAGGTTGCTGGTGTGTTCCTGTACCTTTAGTCCCGAGTGATGATCACAGCACACAGCTGCTGCCCCAGGCATTAGAGGCTGGGGGGAAACAGCAGTGAGACCCGCACTCCAGCCTCACGCTGTGGGGCACGACATACCAGACGGGGCCACGCGGAGGCGGGAGCGAGAGCGCCTTGCAGACCGAGTGTAGGTGTCTCGCAGGGTGCACGTACCACTGAATGATCTCTGCGATCTGCGCTTCCCAGTGGGCAACTGACTCCTTCTTGGCGGCCAGATCCTGCAGCTCATCCTCCAGCTGTCTATTTTGAGCTGTGAGTTTATCCACAAAGGAACAAAGCTGAAAGAAACAATTTTACCACGTAACTCGACAATTTGTACATTAGCATAATTGAAACTGGAAGTTCTTTCAAAGATTTTAGAAGTTTTCTTTAATCGTGAGATTTTTCCAAACTAAGTTCATGATATGGACTTTTTTATTGTATCTAACTTAAGTCACATTTTAATTCAAATCTAAACCTAAAACTCATAGAGCTAGTGATTTCAGGTTATTAACACCTTTTAACTCAATGTAAACATCCCACATAAAAGACCAAACATATTAATTACCTCATTGAAAAATTAAAATACAGTCATTTGTCATGTAGTAACAGGATACCTTCTGAAAAAGGCGTCATTAGGTGATTTTGTCGTGCAAACATTCAATGTATTTACACAAACCTAGGCGGCACAGCACACTACACACCTAGGCTCTACAGTACAGCCCCGTGCTCCCAGGCTCGCAGCCTGTGCAGCATGTTACTGTACTGAAGGCTGTAGGCAGATGTAACACAATGGTAAGTGTGTGTATCCAAACAGAAAGTTACAGTGACAATATGGTTTATATCCCTGTGGGACCCCCACTGTATAGGTGGTCTGCTGTTGAGCAGAACATCATTACATGGTATATGACTATATTTTTTAAAAGATACCAACTTCCAATACTCTACAATGAAAAAATTACAACTTCTACACAAAGTGGCAAACTCAGCTATCTTAAATTACCTTTTCATTTTCAGCTGTTAACTTCTTGTTCTCATCAAACAGCAGCACTCGTTCCCGCTCGTACTTATCTTTCACTGTGCCCACTGCCTCTTCCATCTCGTTGTGCCTCCAGAGGCAAGCAAGAGAAACAGTTTTCAAAGTCCGTAACTCGTCAGCGCTCACACCGTGCGCGGGTATGAGCTCCCGCTCCCCTTCCCTGTGGTGAGGAGCTCGTGAAAACTTACCGTTCTCGCTTTGACTTTTCTAATTTATCTTTTAACATTAAGATTTCTTTCTGCAGGGCCAACTGGTGGCTTTCTGAGTCATGCACCTCCTTCTTCACATTTTTCACTTCTAGCACGTGGGAGGCCTCACGTCTGACCAATTCCTCTTCATAAAATAAGACTTTCTTCTCAAGCTCGGATTTTATTTTGGAAATCTCTTGCTGATGCTCTAAAGTGGCACCTGGTCCCCGGCCTCCTTGCTTCATCTGAAGATAAAGGTTAAAATAACTTGACAAATCTGTGTTCTCCCTCAGGGGTCACACTGTCCTTTTATCCCCAGCATGTGCAGGCACCTTCCCGACGAACCCGTGCCAGGGCTACACCAAATGACGTAGCTGAGCTGGGTAACATGATCCAGATTTTAGGGAGGGACAGTAGCTGCCTTGCAGAGGGGACCTGCCCGGGAGCCCAGAGGTTCCGTCCTACACTGTCATGACCTCATGATGTTCATTCATTCACGTGACAACATTCTTTTGAGAGCTGACTCTGTGCTGAGCCCCATTCTAGTGACAGGTGACACCCGTCATGAGAGAGGTCTGCTCTCATGTGGTGAGGGTAGAGGACACTGACAGCAAACCAGTGGAGCAGCAGATGAGATGCTAACACAGACCACGTGATACGGAATGGGGGGCACAAAGGGGGTGGTTAGGGATGGCATCTCTGAGGCAGGCAGTGACCTATGAAGTGAGATTTTTGGGCTAGGGGCAAAAGGCACAGGCCGGAGTGAGGCGGGAACATGCTGGCTGTGCTCGTGGCATGGACAAAGGCTGGTGTGGCTGGGCAGGAGGTGTGGGACGGCACTGCCAACTGGTGCTGGCAGCAGGGTATGTTGCTAAGGACCAGGCAGGAGGCTGGAGCTGATCAAGGGATAGGGAGCCTTGGACACAGGTATGCCGAGGTCTGTGCAAGCCACGCTGTTGGTGGCTGAGCTGGGGGGGACACAGACGATAGAGAGGAACAGATGTCTGAGGCATATGCACTGCAAGAAGAGCTCATGGATTCCCCAAGGCGCTCACCTCACAGGTAAGGAAACACAGTCTGCGATACGCTGACCAGGAGACCTGCCCTCTGAGCCCCTTGCCCAGGCGCGGGGCAGCCCTCTGCACTCGCCCTCTCCCTTGTCTCCTTGCTGCCCTCTGGCCCCATAGCTGGCCCTGGATGGACAACTAGCCGTCTGTTCCACAGGCAGCATCAGGCCAAGGGCTTGAAGAGGCTTTTCCAAAATTGAACTCTGCTCAATTTAGAAACCCAGGATATGAAGAAAGTTGAACTCATCAGATGTTAGTTTACTAAAACTTACAAAGAACTGCCTGAAGCTTTTTTTTTTTTTATTTCGGCATATTATGGGGGTACAGATTTTAAGGTTTCAATAAATGCCCATTTCCCCCCTCCCCCCTGCCTGAAGCTTTTATATAAAGAAAGAAATGAACTTGGGTTTTAAGAATGGAAGCTGTGCCGAAGGCAGGGCTCGTTCCCCTGCCCCTAAGTGGCCTGTGCCTTATCTGGAGCTGCCCTGCGTGGAGCTCGGCCCGAGCGCACATGGAGAGAGAGAGATAATTTCCGCACGACAACAGCGTTAGGGCGAAAAGCTTTCTCTCTCGGTTAAGAACAAAGACCCCAACCCAGCACTACCTTGAGGGCCTCAAGCTCACTTTCTATTTGCTTGGAGAAGCTCTCACTGTGCTCGCGCAGCTTGCGCTCCTTTGAGGCCTCGGCAGCCGCGTCCTCAAGCTGAGCTTCCAGCTGCAGAAAGAAGAGCCACTGCTTACTAACACCAAACAAGCACCGTGTCACCCGCTAGCTTGTCACCCAAGGGATCTCTGAGAGAATAAAACCTTGAAGGAGTTTTGTATTTCTTTACCCTTCATCAACTTTTATCACAATTAACAGCTGAGAAATGCACTTTGGGGCTGAACTGGAATGACTGGTTAGTAACAAGTTAAATTCTAATTTAAATTGATAATTTGAGATTAAAGTCCAAGAAAGGATACCAATTTGTGAAAACAAGTGCTTCTGATATCTGTAGAACACAGATTCATTTTTTATAAGGACACAATGTCAAACACACGAAAGGAGAGAGCAGGATGTGAGCCCCGAGCTGCGCCAGGCTTCCTCTACGCCTGCGCCCCAACCGTCCCAAGGCAGATCCCGACGCCGTATCACCGCAGCAGTATTTGGAATGGTAACTCTTTTTTTTTTACACATTCCGCACGACATTTTTATTAGATGATGGATAACTAGGATTAGTGGTAACAACTGGCAAGCACAGCCATGCCACAGAGGAGAGAAGGCTGGAATGGTAACTCTTAATTAGAGGCCCTCTAACCTGAGCTGTGATTGGCTGCAACTACAAATCTACCTGGGTTGCAAAATAAACTAAGAAGAAAATGAACAGGTATTTTGAGGCTAAATAACAAAGAGCCCTGAACGTGGTTTTATCACTGTAATGAAAAGAATTCTCAGTTTTAATTTCTACCATGGTACATATTAAGAGCTATAACCAAAATAAATAAAAGCTCTTTAGGGTCCTCAATAATTTTTAAGAGATAAAGGAAGGCCGGGCACAGTGGCTCTCGCCTGTAATCCTAGCACTCTTGGGAGGCTGAGGTGGGCAGATTGCTCGAGGTCAGGAGTTCAAAACAAGCCTCAGCAAGAGCGAGACCCTGTCTCTACTATAAATAGAAAGAAATTAATTGGCCAACTAATACATATAGAAAAAATTAGCCGGGCATGGTGGCACATGCCTGTAGTCCCAGCTACTTTGGAGGCTGAGGCAGCAGGATTGCTTGAGCCCAGGAGTTTGAGGTTGCTGTGAGCTAGGCTGACACCATGGCACTCAGTCTAGCCTGGGCAACAAAGTGAGACTCTGTCTCAAAGTGTGTGTGTGTGTGTGTATATATATATATATATATATATATATGTATATATATTAAAAAAAAAGAGATAAAGGAGTGCTGAAACCCAAAAGTTACAGAACCAATGATCTAAAGCAACTGGCTTAACGTATACTAGGCTGTGATTGGTTTTTCTCCCATCCAAGTACTAACCAGGCCATATCCTGCTGGGCTTTCAAGATCAGACGAGTTCAGAGTGGTATGGCCAGAGACACGCAATTGTTTTTCTACTTATACCTACCCCTCGATGGACTACAGGTGCTCATGTTCACTTAAGTCATGCCATATCACGTGACGACATAAATACCTTTTATTTACTTAAAAGAGAATTTTTAAAATTAGCACTACAGGAACCTCTTTTAATAATTTCACAAATAGGCTGGGCTCAGGCCTGTTGAATCATAGCACTTTGGGAGGCTGAAGCAAGAGGACTGCTTGAGACTAGGAGTGGGAGACCAGCCTGGACAACTTAGCAAGACTCTACCTCTATAAAAAATTAAAAAAGATTTGCCAAGTGTGGTGGCACGTGCCTGTAATCCTAGCTACTCAAGAGAATGAGGCAGGAGGATCACCTGAGCCCAGGAGTTCAAGGCTGCAGTGAGCTATGATTGATTGCATTACTGCACTCCAGCCTAGACGACAGAATAAGACCTTATCTCAAAAAAAAAAAAAAAAAAAAAAATCACACACAGATATTGAGGGATGAGAATTACAAAATAAATGCTTTGGCAGATCAACTTAAAGATCCATTTTAAAGTAATTTATGTAATGCAGCCCAAGTTTTCAAAGCTGTTTTCTTAAGATCATATAAAGTCCAATCAATACAATCCCTGAAACTTCTAAAAAGCTACCTCTTTCCTGAATTTCTCGGATTTGCGGATTTCCTGACGCATCGAGTCAATTTTCTGCATGGCCACCTCCATTTCCTCCTCTTTGTCCCGGAGCTGCCGGGACACCTTCTGCTTCTGGGAGCGGAGTTCTGCCATGCGCTCGTTGAGCTCTGAGAACTCTTGCAGGGCCAGCTTTCGCTGCTGGTGGGCATCTTTGAGTTCTTTGGCTTGAGATTTCAATCGCTCTGAAGCTTCAACCAATTGCTGAACAAAAAAATTACAGGTGTTATAGATGTTTTACATTTGCTTACCAAAGATTTAGAAGGCTGGACGGTCAGTCTTACACCACATCCAAGAGTTAAAAGTGATAGCCAGGCCGGGCGAGGTGGCTCACGGCTGTAATCCTAGCTCTCTGGGAGGCCGAGACGGGCGGATTGCTCAAGGTCAGGAGTTCGAAACCAGGCTGAGCAAGAGCGAGACCCCATCTCTACTATAAATAGAAACAAATTAATTGGCCAACTAATATATATAGAAAAAATTAGCTGGGCATGGCGGCGCATGCCTGTAGTCCCAGCTACTTGGGAGGCTGAGGCAGTAGGATCGCTTGATCCCAGGAGATTGAGGTTGCTGTGAGCTAAGCTGATGCCCCGGCACTCACTCTAGCCTGGACAACAAAGTGAGACTTTGTCTCAAAAAAAAAAAAAGTGACAGCCAATGCTGGGTGTAGATTAGAGCCACAGATCCAAGAACTGACCTTCTTGGAAAAAGCCCTTTGCTCTGCCTGACCCCAGACACACATGCAACTAGGAAGATCAGGCAGGCTCAGCTCCACACCAGGAAAGACCCTGCAAATACATGGAGCAGCCTGCTCACAGGACGCCTGGCCCCTTAATGTCAACCTCTTTCCAGTGTCATCCAGAGGTGGATGAGGCACAAAGGTGGGTATTCAATCTAGTTACTTAAACACAGCAGCAACAAAAAAAAGAACATATAAACATGAAAACATGTAGGATTTGAATCAAAGTGAAGAACTGCATAAGAACAATCACTGGATAGCTAGCCCTTCACTAGAGACTAAGGTCTGGATACTGGTTGTCCCTCTGGGAGCAGAGCTACACCTGGGCCTTACCACTGGCTATGCTGACAGCCCTGGCTTCCCTGCAGCCAGTGGCAAACAACCTGGCTGTTCAATCACTGTCATTCCTACTTGTCTAAGACTGGAAGTGACAAGACCTGCAGCAAGCTACTAGGGCAGCTCCCACACGGGGAGCAGGGCCTCCTGGGGCCCTGGCCCAGTGAGAGTTACTGTAACTGTCCCAGACCAAAAGGACACACTTCTAGATGAATCACTGCAGGCAGCATGACACTACACATAAACTTAAAAAAACAATTTGTGTTTGAAATCTGGCTCATTTTAGAGAACAGATCACAAACTACAGGTTGAAGAACTTACATGTATAAATGAATGTATTTCAGAAAACATGAACCTAACTGTGGTTTTATTATAATATAATGGCCATTCAGCACAAAGCTTCACGTATCTTACTGAAAATCAACTTATAAAGGAGTTATGGGGAGGGGATCACCCAAATCTTAACCAATGGTCTCTTGCAGTTCTGTGTCACCACCAAGAAGTTCCTTCTGAGAGCAGAGGGCAGAGGCCGTTGCAGGGCGTGGGGGAGAGGTGGGGAAGACCCTGGTGCCAGATACAGCATGTGTCACTGCAAATGCTATGACGCCCCCTGGACTGCACGTCCTCACTGGAGAATGGGGGAGATTTTGCTTACTCTGCAGGGTCACGGTAGAGATGGAAGGTGATGGCTATGAGGTGGGCGCCCACTACAAGCAGGATACTTGAAGGCCACCTACGAGTGGGAGCCAAGCTCTGCTGGTTGACCTGGGGGCTATGCAGCCACTGGCCACAGCAGGAGCCCTGGAGCCAGGCCTGCCCTTGTCTCCTGCATGCAGCACAGAGACAGACCATATGCCTGTTCCAAGCAGGTCTTCAAATGTCTGTATGAACTTAAGTTTACAAACATCGAAAGGTCACATAAGCCTCCCTCTTGCAGCACCAGGCCGCCAACCTTGTGCAGGTCCTCCTTCTCCTGCCGCACCATGCGGTACTGCTTCTCTAGCCCCCTCAGCCGCTGCGTGGAATCCTCACGCTCCTGGCGAAGTGCCACTGTGTCCTCAAATTGTCGCTCAAGCCTACTTGAATCTAGGCAAAGGAGGAAATAAAATATAATTATGTTCCTTTCTGTGCAGCGATATTATATGGGAACTTTATGTTAGCTGATTTACTGATAGGAAATTACTTAATAATTCACAATCTTGTTCATTCAGGAGCTGTTTGAACTTTCTCTCACATACACACAGTGTCACAGGCTCTCCAGACTTTAATCTGATCATCTGTTTGACGGCTCTCCCATCCAGGGAATATGAGCCTTGGGCAGCACACACCGTGTGCCTTAGTCCCTCTAAACTGTGTGATCTAGCACAGTGCTTGGACCTTTCTTGGTGTGCAATAAAGGTTTCAGTGAATAACCAACTCACTCAAAGGAGTATTCTGGAGCAGGACAATGATGTTACACATAGGAAATGGAAGGAAGGTGACAGATTCAGACTGTGGTTTGGAGATGAGTCAACTGCAGGGCCAGGCCATGTGAGGTTAAGGGCCAGGGCTTAAAAGTGATTTGAGTCTTTAGGAAGCTCTGACAGCAGGAACCACCTGAGGCAGGTGGTAACAATAGTTTAGCAACTAAAATACTGACACGCACAGCACTGATGAAAGCTTTAGAAAGAAAGATCTAGCAACTGTCTCAGAGTTAAGAAGAGGAAAAATTAAGATAGAGAAATATAAAATCATCTAAGAGTTTTTGGATAAAATAGTAGGAATTGATTCTAGCTGGTAACTATAAGATTATTTTATTAGGGGCCAAGTGCAGTGCCTCATGCCTGTAATCTCAGCGCTTTGGGAGGCTGAGGTGGGAAGATCACTTGAGGTCAAGAGTTTAGGACCAGCCTGTGCAACATAGATATACCCTGTCTCTACAAAAAATAGAAAAAATTAGGGGTGTGGTGACTCATGCCTGTAGTCCCGGCTACTCTGGAGGCTGAGGCAAGAGGATTATTCAAGAGCAGGAGTTTGAGGTTGCTGTAAGCTATAATCACACCACAGCACTCTAGCCCAGGCAAAAGAGTGAGGCCCTGTCTCAAATATATATATACACACACGTTATTATTAATAAAACTAAGCAAATTGGGAAAAAAATTTTTTTTGAGACAGAGTCTCACTCTGTTGTCTGGCCTAGAGTGCTGTGGCGTCAGCCTAGCTCACAGCAACCTCAAAGTCCTGGGCTCAAGTGATCCTTCTGTCTGAGCTTCCCAAGTAGCTGGGACTACAGGTGCATGCCACGAGCCCTGGCTAATTTTTCTCTTTTTAGTAGAGATGGGGTCTCAGCTCTTGCTCAGGCTGGTCTCAAACTCCTGAGCTCAAGCAATCCTTCCACCTTGGCCTCCCAAAGTACTAGGATTACAGGCCTGAGCCATCACAACCAATCTGGGAAAAATAATTTTAAATATACTGACAAAATATCAGAACTCTAAATAGGTTTGCTAAAGCATAAGTGTTTTTCTGGTGGAAAACCTTATAAAAAGGATTCTCTGAAAATTTCATTTCAAACTATTAATGCCCCACGAATACAGACTAAAGCAGATATACTTTAAAACGCTTACCTGCTATTTTGTTCTTCAAACGTTCGATTTCTTCATTTAGCTTTTTGATTTCTTTATCTCGGTTTGAATTGCCCAGGGCCCGTGTGGAGCCGTGAAGGGACTGCACGGTCTGGGTGGACTCTGAGGGGTGGGGAGACACAGTGTGAGTGCAGGGCAGGCCCATGGCGGTGGCCCCCGGCCTGCAGATGGCCGGCTCTGCCTCTCACCTTGCAGCTTCCTGCTGAGCTCCAGCTTCTCCTGTTCCAGCCTGCGTATCCTCCTTTCATAAGCTTCGATCTGCAGGCTGTTCTCCAGGTCTCGCTGCACATCCTCGTCTTTGGTCAGTGTGTTGGACTGCATTATGCTCTTCAGAGAGCCTCGATCAGAAAAACAGCTATGAAATAAAGCAACAGGTTTTCTGATCTGCTGAGAATTTATATTGATCTTATTAGCATTTAAAAACATCCTGGGATGACAGATAGCCTTTTTAAATGGGCAAACAAAAATACCTGTGAAAAGACTTTACTGTTTATGAAGCCAAAGTTGGACAAGAACCTTCCATACTTTAAGTGCCTGGATGATCAACAGACACTGAAAACGGCACCCCTCCCCCCCACACACACCCGCAGCCAGGGAAAACGCCTCTGCAAAGGGGAGGAATAGAACTTCTGTAGCATCACTGACACTTATCTAGAAATGCAATAGTAGGTGGCATTTTACATAATTAGCAAGGCTTACAGGGCAGCACCAGCTCTTGGCAATAGACAGTGGTGTGGCAAGAGCTACACGAGCCATTGAGGGTGCCTGACACGGCCGCTGACTGGCTGAGCAGTCCAGGACAGCTCCTCAAACCCCAGCAGCTCATCTTCTTCCCTGCAGACTAAACTAACAACCCTGGCACTTGGACTGTCGTGGCCAAACCACTGAACAAGGACCAATGACTCAATGACATACACATCACAGGCACAGACTAAAGCCAAAGATGGCTCTCTTATTTAATAGCTTAATTCTTAGACTTTTACAAGTTATTTAGTTCTGTTTAGCTCTTATGGACAGCAACATCAGGAAAACATTTTTAAGCTCTTACACTGAGTCTGATAAAGGCACCTGGTACACACGTATCTGTCTACAGAAAGACCCAGTCAGTGTTTACCCAGAGGTGGTCTGAGAGTGCTGGGCCATTCCAGCCCTGTGGGGTTTGTCACTGGAGAACACCCCCCCCAAACTAGAGCTTTAGAAGGTGGGGCTGGGACCCACAAGTGCAACAAGCACTCAGCGAGAGGTTAAGAACCTCTGTGCTCCGGGTGAATACATCAATACATCTACCTACAACACTTCCTATGTGCTAAAGGGCAGGAGCTATCGCTTTGGCTGAAGTGCTGTCTAACCATGGCATCTCACATCATAAGAGATTTTCTACAAGCTCAAGCAGAAGTATTCCTCTCCTAAAGAAATTTTCAACTTAGGTACCGGCTGCCAGAAGATGCCAGGAATCAAATTCTGTGACTTTCCTTCAGGCACTGTGGGAGTTTCACCTGCCATCCTTCCTGGCCCCTCTCCTCTCGGCCCCAGTTCCCCTTTAAGACTGAGGTGCTACCCCTCAGGCAACACAGCTTTGTGGGGAGGCCCATTCAGGACAGAGGCTGACAGACACAAACGCTGGCCTCATGCCCATGGGGCTGGAGCCACATATGGGCACACACTCTCAGCTCTTCAGATTTCCCATGTCAGGGACTGTACTCCAGCCTTGGTAATGGAAACCACAGACCAGAGTGCGCTAATGAAAGGCAGCTCTCAGCTGAGCAGGTGTGGAAACTTCTGGCTGTGGCCAATGACCCTGTGGGCCAAATCCCGCCCATGGCCTGTTTTTGTACCATCCCTGAGATAAGAATGGTTTAAACATTTTTAAATGGTTGTAAAAAAAAGAATATACAACAGAGACCACAAAATCTAAATTATTTACTATTTGAAGCTTTATAGAAAAGTCTGCTGATCCTGTTTTCACCTGTAGTAATCAGATATGCATTTTGAAAAGACAAAAACCCACCCACACCTCCCTTGAGCAATACTGTCCGGGCCTCCTGGCACGAGCAGATGCGTGCACAGAATCACACCCAGACTGCATCTCTACCCAAGGGAAGGTTCTGCCTGAGAACAATTAAATCCAGACATACCTTTCTGTTGTGAATGTGAAACCAATGAATGGCAAATGTAATCCAGAGAAGCCTGTGTGAGAACCAGGAGGTAGTATTTCCTGCGTAAGAACAATATGACACAAATGAAATCCACATTCAACCAAACAGGGAAGAGGAGGAAAGAATTTTACAGTCGTAGTGACGGTCAGGAGGGCACTGGCCAAATTGTATGGCCTTGGGAATGCCGAATCCAGGGTGTCGTCTGCAGGGGAGCATGGTGTTAGCAGATTTGTGTTTCTCAGGCCTGGCTCTACCCATGGCATGGACAATGCAGTTAAGAGGATAAATGAACTAACTTGAATGATGATGGCACAGGCCAAACTTGGATCAGCTAGTGATTTCCAAACTTTGTGAGGCCATAGGATCCACTATTTAACAATACCACGTGTAGAGACCAACAGTGTAGACAGGTGCAGCCCCTCTGAGGGCTCGGGGCAGAGACTGGATGTTCTTGGCCTAAAACAGAGGCCTGAGGCAGAAAGGAAATTTGAAACTCAAAGGTAGACTATTTCAGATGAATTTATAACAATTCTATTTTTCTGTTTGAGGATCTTTCTTTATTACAGAAATAAAAGGTATTTATCTGGCAAATTTCAGTGTGGAAATAATTTCTTGGAGTCTAGGAAGAAAGTCCTCAAGAACAATAATACTTTCCTCAGGCTTTTCTCCGTGTGGTCTCAAGTTCAGCTCTTACTCTGAATGTGGAGCCATCAAAGCAAGTATTAAAAGCAAATAGATTTAACTCTTTCATGAAACTACTTGAGGTACTTAATAGTTTCTCCTAAGAACACGTTTTTCCTTGAAAACTTTTAAACTAAGAGTTTTCCCAAGGTCATAATCATTCATTTTCAAGAGGTTGTGAGGGATAAAACATATAGAGCAAATGACATTATTTTAGCATGAGAAATTCTGTAAACTAAGGAGTAACAGGCTGGGCATGGTGGCTCACACCTATAATTCCAGCACTTTGGGAGGCTGAGGCAGGAGGATTGCTTTAAGCCAGGAGTTTGAGACCAACCTGGGCAATATGGCAAGACCTTGTCTGTATAAGAAATAAGACAAATTAGCTAGGCGTGGTGGTGCACATTTGTATTCCCAGGTACTCAGGAAGCTGAGGGAGGAGGATCCCTTGAGCCCAGAAGTTGGAGGTTACAGTGAGCTATGATTGTGCTACTGCGTTCTAGCCTAGGTGACAGAACAAGACCTTGTCACTTTAGAAACAACAACAAAAAAAGGAGTAATAGAGAAGATTTTCCTTTTACTTGGTTAAACCTCAGTTTCTCTATTCCCAAACCCAGTCACATATACAGGTATAAGTAGGCTAAAATAATTTTATAAGATATGAGCAAAACTCTCTGGGACTGGCCGGGCAGGGTGGCTCACTCCTGTAATCCTAGCACTCTTGGGAGGGCGAGGCGGGCGGATTGCTCGAGGTCAGGAATTCAAAACCAGCCTGAGCAAGACCAAGACCCTGTGTCTACTATAAATAGAAAGAAATTAATTGGCCAACTAATATATATAGAAAAAATTAGCCGGGCATGGTGGCACATGCCTGTAGTCCCAGCTACTCAGGAGGCTGAGGCAGCAAGATTGCTTGAGCCCAGGAGTTAGTTTGAGGTTGCTGTGAGCGAGGCTGACGCCATGGCATTCCAGCCTCTAGCCCGGGCAACAGAGTGAGACTCTGTCTCAAAAAAAAAAAAAAAAAAAAAAACACTCTGGGACTTTCACCAGACAAGTCCCACAGTTGGGACCCAACCTAGAAATTCCATGATCTTAAAGATCAGTGCAAAGACTCAAAATCTGTTATCATCGTTGTTGCTTCTGAACTTCTACTGTACAAAGAAACATAAAGGCAGAGACTGAGACCTGTGATGGTAGAAGATTTAACGTACTCTCAGAGGTAGGCCAACAGACCAGAAACCGAGAGGCCGACACACTGCCCACAGGAGAGTAGGCCGACTCCACACCACTGGGTCTTGAGGTCTTTAAATCTAAGTATTGGTAGGGCTGTAGTGAAGCTCTCATACAGTAACATATGTGACATTGCTTTGAAAGGTATACAGTACCAAGAAAATAAAAATGGATATTAAGGACCAAGCTGAAGGCTAGAATAAAAGGTACACTGTATCTTGAGACAAGTGCTAAATTTTTCAAAAAATCGGTACAGTTCTAAGATTTGTTATCTTGATAATCAACACCTACAACGTAACACTGCTGTATTTATCATATTATATTATATATTATATATTCAGACCTACTGTGATATTATATTATATTATATTATATTATATTATATATTACATATTCAGACCTACTGTGAAGCAATATTGAGAATGAAACAACTTCTATACTTACAGTATTTCTTAGCACATCGTCATCCACATCAAAGTTGGATGTGTCAGAAGGACTGCTCACATCAGGAATATAAGGTGCTTCTAGGTTTCGTATATTTTCCCAATTTAGACCTTCAAAAAATGCATGCTTTTTGAAATCCTCTATTCCATTCTGCCCCAGCCGGCGCTCTCTGCTGCAGATCAGTCTCTGAATGAGGTCTTTTGCTTCTTCCGATACATCCGTGACGTGGGACGGGAACTGAAATCGCTCCTAGGAGGTGGGGAGAGGGGTGATGAGTGGACAAGAAGACACATTCAGAAAAATGTAAGATGTGCAGACATTACAGTAAAAAAGTAGAAACAACAGCTCCAAAGCAAGTCATTTTGTTATTTCATGGTAACTAAATGCAAACCAAAGCTAATGAATTTTAATCCCAGAAAAGTAAACAAGAAAATCTTTAATCTTTCTGGTTTTAGTCATGACAGACTTGTTACCACACTGCATGTAAATTAAAACAACGGGAAATTTTCACCTATGAAGGTGGCAAAGAACGCCACCAACATGCTGTGGTGGGAAAGCAAATTGGCACGGCCTCTTCAGAGTGCACTGTGCCAGCGTCTGCGACACCTCGGGAAATTTATTCTACACAGTCACAATGAGAAAACATAACAGGCTCATGACTGCACTGTATATATATATATACATGTTGTATTTTGTATATATACATATTGTATATATATGTTGTATTTTGACCAAGAAAACTGCAAATTACCTAAAGGTCCATCAAAAAATGGACTTATTGAAAAAAAGACACAGCACACACACACAAAACGAAGGGCATAACTCTGTATGTTGATATGGAGGATGCCAAAGATAAAGTGACAAAATCCTGTTTATGTGTAACATGGTGCCGAGTAGCCAAACACAGACTCATGCACACCCTGCTTCAATCTGTTCAGGCCACTGCTCAGCGTGGCAGAGGGGCCTGAGAGTTGAGCCACCGCTTGCTGTCCATGGCTCACCTTCGTATCTACAAAAAGGAACAGTATCACCAACTTTGTGGGACGCCGGTCCAGGCCCTGCATGTGACCAGCACGCAGTGGCAGCAGGCAGGCTCTTCTATTAACCAAGTCCTCAGTGTCACCTTAACAGAATTTGTCACTAAGAAGTGGGTAGGGTGATTTTCACCAGCAACTGTATGCACTTGTGCATTGTCAAGTTTTTACAGGGAGAAATTATCAATTTATAAATTAAAAAATGTATTTCCACCTTGGGAAAAATGCTTTCGGGAAGTGTAACTTTTGCTTTGATTTGGAGTTAAATGGAAAACTAGTCACACTTTAGCACCAATTTACTCTCCACATGAGCAAACAGTGGGGACATCGGCTGGAGGCCAGGTCAGCACACAACTAGGAACGCTGGGGATGCGTGCGCGTGCACAAGTATGCACGTGTGCAGGTGGAGGGAAACGCTATACACGTCCTGGTAGAGGGTGCAGTTGCCAGTGGACATATTTGACTAAGAAGAATAAAGAAAAAGAAACCATGAAAAAACATCAGAAGAAGAAATAATAATAATAAAAAAGAAAACAAAGGAAAGATGGCTAGAAAGCAACCTCAAAGTGAGAAAACAAACAGCTCAGAAAGGGAAGAGGGAGGAGGAGAAAAGAAAACGGGATCAAAGAAAAATGAAAGAACCGGGACCCCGCCAGGTGGGGACATGTGATCACTTGCAACAGCTGATTTCTGGGGAACAGATTTGAGAATCAAAGTCGGTCTTTAATGACAATCTAGAGCCACAGGTCAAAGTGCCCAGCTGGACCTGCCCACCAGCCGTCCCAAGGCGCCCCCCTACCTGACATCGCCACACAGATATCTGCATCTGTCCACAGAAACCCGTTTCTCCTCCAGCAATACCAGCACCCTCCACAACGGAGCTCCAGGACGCCCTCGAAGCTTCACCTCCCATGTCAGCAGCTGTGCTGATCCTATGCCAAACTCTCTCCCTGGCCTGGTCCAAATCCCATCATCTCTTCCTGAACAACAGCCTCCTAACTGATTGCCCTCCCTCTAGGTGGGCTCTCTTTACCCTAGGCCTGAGCCAGGTACCAGAAAGAAACAGGATGTGAAATGCATCTTACTTCATGGTTCATGATCTTTCCATAGGTCTCCACGAGTGACTCTGCGTAAAACGGCGTTTCTCCGTAAAGCATCTCATACATGCAGACGCCCAGGGACCACCAGTCACACTCGGGCCCATATTTGCCCATGCCGTCCTCCATTGCCTGCAGAATCTCCGGTGAGATGTAGTCAGGGGTGCCCACGGCCACAGAAGACTGAACCTTAGGGGAGAAAGAGGTGCTGAAGGAAAACCCAAGAGCATCTCTAACCACATATTTCTAACTACTTTTTCTAAAATATAAGGGGCAGCTGAAAATGAGATGATTATGGAATAAAACTGGTCAATGACCATGATTTAAACACTTAATAATTCAAAATTCAATGCAAATACTTTCTTGCATCACTAAACACTGAGCAGTTCCCCAAATGCATGAGACTCTTATCACATGGTCTCTTTCTCAACGCCCAAATGCCTCTCATGGCCCACAAATGGCAACCTCTCAGAAGTTCCCAAGGTCAGCCCTTCCCATTCTCCATTGTTACTCCCAGCATGGTCTGGGGCCACGTGGGCCCAGGCCAGCCTTCCTGACTTTTATATGCAGCACATACAGACTCTTGTTAAAGGGGCTCTTGTTACAATAAAGACTCTGAGTGGGGCCCATAATGCTGCATTTCTAACAAGCTCCCAAGTGGATGCTAAGGCTGCTCACGCGTAGCCCACCCTCTGGTCTCCCAAATGGGAACATCTAGAAGTTGGTCTGAGCATTAGTTGGGTGCTTAGGCATTCCCTGGACAGCGAACCAGGAGGCTAAGAGATCACCCCCAAGGAAGTAAACAGCTCCTCAGCTATCATCACCAGCAGGCACGTGCCTGAATACAGCGGTAGCTCTCCTGAAAGCTGCCATCAGCAAGGACATCAATCATCACAGAGGAAGCCAGAGCAGACTGGTTAACTGGGGAATCATTTACTGGTCCCAGAGCACACAGGGCTACCCCTGAGGCTGTTGCATCTAGAAGACTGAGGGGCATCCAGGAAGCAGAGATATAACAATCACAGAAGGCCAGAAGGCCTGTCAGGGGAAAGACCAGACTCTTCCTTGGGTCCCCTCTAAGAAGAGAGCTGCAGGCACAAGCAGCCCCCAGACCCAACAGTGGTGAGAACTGCTCAGTACACATGAAGCAGCGGGGGACTCTGCCTCTGTCACGTGACCAGTCACTTCTCTGCACAAGCGCACTGCCCTGCTCACAGGAGCTCTGCTATGGACAGCAGGACAAATGGGCATATTGGGTGGCGACTCTTGGTAAATGTCCACCATGATGAGGGTGACATGCAGTAAGAATGGTAACCCAGTCCAGCTTGGACCCATTATAGTCACTGGGAGGCTGGATTTGAGGACAGTGCTGCTCATGAATTAATCAATTGGTGGTCAAGACTTTTAAAAACAAGAGACTGTCTTTGTGGGAAGAAACTGAGCAAATCACTCCTTTTAAAACCCTGTCAACTGAGGCCAGTTTTATGGGTTCTTTTACTGTTTCCTAAAAACTTGCTGGTAAGAAAGGGACTGCTCTCTTTTGGAGAAGTATTTTGTTAGGCTTTATGATAAGTACAGGTTTTATTTATTTATTTATTTTATTTTATTTTTTCCAGCATATTATGGGGGTACTACAAATGTTAAGGTTACGTACACTGCCCTTGCCCCTCCCTCCCCCCGAGTCAGAAGTGTTGGTTTTAAACAAAAACAAACTCCCAAATGAGTAAGACATTAACTGCAACAGTGGCCCCAGGAGAGACGCAGACCATTCCTAGTGCAGTAAAGCATTTTGCCAGGAGCAGCTGCTGATGGGGCTGTGATCAGTTAGGACGGCCCCTTCAGACCACCCTGCACGACACTGGTCTGACCATGGGGTGAAGACCACAGCAGCCAGAGGCCCCAGCCAATCCAGGGCAACCTCCTGTTCTGCAGTGGGAATGTCAACTGGCCCTGACATACCCCAAGTACCAAGGACCTGTTTCTAGATCTCTAACACCCACTGAGAGAAAACACCTGACTGAGGGGAAGTTACCTGCCCCAAACAAAAGTGAGAATGTACAGTTACTTGGTTAACATCTGCCCACCTGATCAGCCTGGATGGGACATTTCAAGGAAGAACCCAAGAGCTACCTCAACATCTTGCAACGTCAGCATGCTTTTAGCTGTGCAGGGATTTGAGGAAACCTGTCAAGTCCTCATTTTGGAAGGCATATGTTTACTTTTGTAAACATAAAAAGCAATGGAGATGATTTTAAATTGAAAAAAGAATTCCCAGAATAGAAAATTTCAACTGTCTCCTAAATAGATTCAATTTTCCTAATTTACATTAATAAACTTGGTTTCTTAAATTTAAGCCCTTTCTAACTACAAGTCAGACCCAAAACCAAATGGAGAATCTCCAACAAAAATACCTACAGTTCCATCATCATTCATCTTCAAACATGATCCAAAGTCGGCCAGGCGGATATGACCATTCACATCCAAAAGGACATTGTCAGGCTTAATGTCTCTGTTAGTAAAATAAATACATAAATTAACCATTTCCATGCAACACATTAGGTAAGTCAAAGCCCTTAACTGGTAGAACAGCTTAGGAAATGGTAATATCATTCCATGAACAGCGTCGCCACCCAGTAAAAATGCCTCCTTGTGACGGTTCAGTCTATGCGGCGGCAGCAGTCGTTACCACTGCCACTCATTTAGTCCCCAGTTAACCTGGAAAGATCCCAATGTTAATCCTATCCATCTCCCCACCCAGCTAACAAATGCTTCCTGGCATCTCCTTTGTGCCAGGCACCGTTCTTGAGCCAGCGTGGCCTGTAACAGTGCACAAGACAACGCTGCCCTGCCTTCAGGAGCTTGTGCATGAGCTGTCAGAAACCAAACGTGCAAATACATAAATACACAGCGTCATCTCAGACAGTCTCACACAGCACAATCTACGTGCTAAGTGCCATGAAGAAACATAAAATGAGGTAAAGGGGCAGAGTGAGGTGCATGGAGGGCGGTGCATGGTGGTTGCCACTGAGAGTGACTTGGGAATACACATGATGAAGTAAGGGAGTCAGGTGAAGACTGGGGGCAAGACTGCTACAAACCACCACATGACCCCAAACTGTATTTTATGGATGAAGACATGAAAGTTGAGAGATCTGCCCAAAGTAATATAGCAGCAAGTGGTAAAACAGGAAAGTAAACACAAGTCAGTCCCACTAAAGCCCATTTTCTTAAGTACCCTTCTATGTACTTCCAAATGCTTGTGTGCCGTGGTGGGGTGCTTAGAGCACTGGTCCTCTTTCCTGGCAGAATAAGCTTATGTGACTGAATGGTATGAAAGGGGACATGAAACCATAAAAGCAAAAGAAGATGTCCACCAAAAGAAAGTACAAGTATGTTCCCAGCAGCACTACTCATAACAGCTAAAAAGTAGAAACAATCTGAATGTTCACCAGCAAGAGAATGGATAAACAAAGTGGGCTATATTTGAATGTGCTGGAATGCTACCCCTCCAGGAAAACAAGTGGGAGAACCAGCCATTCCCAACACCATAGATGAATCTCAGAAATAAGTGTTAAGTAAAACATGACAATTCTCACCAAAAAAACAGAAACAAAATGGCAAAGCAAAAGAAAACTCTAGCAGAGCACTCCAAATGGAAATATGTATCCTCAAATAAATATTCAGGAATATGAAAAAGAAAACAAAACAAAATCCCACAATGGGAGTGGGGAGGAGGGGATGGGTGAATTCACACCTAACGAGTACAATACACACTATTTGGGTAGTGGGCACACTTATAACTTTGACTCAATCTGTACAAAAGAAATTCATGTAACCAAAACATTTGTACCTCCATAATATTCTGAAACTAAAAAAAAAAAAAAAACAAAAAACAAAAACAACCCCCCAAGACCCCAAAAACTAAGAAAAGAACTAGACAAAAACAGGAAGAAATAAAGAATTCATTTTCCTCAGGGATGAAACAGAAAAATACGATATAATCTTAGCAGATTTCAAGACTAAATTATAAGATGTTCAAAGAAGAATAAATTCAAATAAAAATCTGAAGAAAGGCTGAAGAAAGGGAGGAGAAGACCCAGAAAAATAAAGCAAGATAAAGAAAGAAGAGTCAGGAAGTCATTGGTGAATGAAATGGAACATTGGCAAAGAAAGCCCAATATAAACATAATTGGAGTCCCTGAAGAAATAAAAACCAAACATCACCAATATTTGAAACTATAATCTAAGAGAACTTTCCAGAAATAAAAAAGGCTTGAATCTACAGACTAGAGAGGGATATCAGGCTTAAAAACAAAACAAAAACAAAACAAAAAAAAACTCTAGCTTAGGGCCCTGAGCTGTTTATTAAAAAAATTTTTTTAAATAGTAAAAATCAATGTCCAGACAAGATATTGAAGACTATATGGAAAAATTAATACATAAGAAAAGGCAGAAGAGCACTAGAGAGAGCAGCAAGACGGGGGATCAGCCTTATAAAGCTTGAACGTACAGCCGTAACTCCAGCAGGACGGCCCTGCTATGTGGGGACGCAAGACAACAGTGGAATAAAAGAAACTGAGTCTATGACAAAGATGGCATCTTAAATCACTGGGGCAAAGACTGACTCAAATAAATTGGTGTTTTGATAACCAGAGAGGCATTTAAAGATAAAATGATCCATTCCTTGTGCCATGTATTAATATAAGAATAAACTCCAAATGAATCCAAGATCCATATGTAAAAATAAAACTATATAAGTGAAAAAGTTAAAACTACTAAAAGAAATAATGGATTTTCTTTCTCTCTGGGAATAAACAAAGGATTTCTAATTATGACTCAAAGTCCAGATGTAATAAAAGACCAATAAATCTTATTATATTAAAAAAATTTAAATCTGAATGGCAAAATACTACAATAAGTAAATCCAAAAAATAAATGGCAAAATGGGAAAAAAAATATCTGTAACATATATCACAGATAAAAGGCAAATTTAACAATTGAAGGAAAAAAGCCAGAAAGCCTACAGAGAAATGGGTAAAACACACGAAATAAACAACTCATATAGGCACACAAACATAGATACAAAAATGATATTCAACTTCACAAGAAAGATTAAAAGAAAATAATTGTATGCTATTTCTCATTTATCAGATGGCAAAAATTCAGAAGTTTGAAAATGCTCTCTGCTGGCAAGGCTACAGGAAAACAAGCACTCTCCTACACTGCTGGTGGGAATGCAAAAAGGTGATCCCTCAGGAGGGAAATCTCCAAATCTAATAAAGCTACTTATGTATTTTATCTCTTCTGATCCAGGAATCCCACTTTGGGGGATTTACCCTAAAGACACACACAATACAAAACCACACGTGCACAAGGTTATTTATTACTACATTATTTATACTTGCAAAATACTGCAAGCTACCTAAATGTCCACTCATAGGAGATTGGCTAAATAAACTACGGCAGTTACATATAACACAGTCCTATGCAAATGTAAAAAAAAGGAACAAATATTGTCATGAACTGACATGGAATGATTTTTTGGATATACTGTTAAATGAAAAACCCCAAAATGCAAAAGTACATATTTATCAATTTAGTGTACTTTTTATCTATAAAAGGAGAAATAAAACACCTGATTCCCTCATGCACAGACACATGGGTGGTAATGCAGAAGACAACACATGGGCTGCTTATCACAGACGTGGGAAGTGGGGTAGACGGCATAAGGAAGGAGTGACCCTTTTCTGAGTACATATTTGCATAGTCCTGGTGTTTTGGAAGGACTCACACAATAAAATTAAATCAACAAAGAAGGAAAGAAAGCCTAAAACAGAAAACTGATTAAAACCAAGTAACTCAATTATATTTCAAATCAATAACATAACAACACTGAAGGGGTCATGGGATAGGAAAAGCAAAACAAAAATCCAAGTAACTTGTGAACGCTGAACTTAAATTACTGTAGCTGAGGTGTGGGGCACCGGTGACATGGGGAGAACTGCAAACAAATCCTGAACTCTTTCCAGTAGGTTTGTTTTTTGTAGTTGTATAGGCAGAACAATTCTAAAGCTATTTTAGACACATAGGATTGAGCATGTAAAGTCAACACACTAATGTTGCTGAGAGCCAGAAGTGTTAATAGGAGGGAGGCAAAAATATGGAATGGGAAGAAGCTAGGAAGTTTACTGGTGATTCCCATAGTAGCACAGGCAGTGTACATCAGTGTGTGTGTGCATGTACCTATATTTTACTAACTCTGTCCACTGAAGGGGCCTTGAAGCAGACACCCCTGTAGTAATGTGCACTCCCGGCACCCAGAACTTGGTCTTTAAAACCGTTCCCTACTAAAAGAACCACAGCTCCTCAAAAGAAATGACTGAGTTGGGGCACAGAAGGTACAAGATGAGCCACAAACTAAGGGCATTCTCAAAAACTGATAAGGACACATCACGAACGCAGGCGTCAGCTAGAACACCAATAGGACAACTTGAGCACAAAAATAAGATAGTGACAAATTACAAACCCTGAGAGAAAAAGGACCCTTATATTCATACCGATAATAGACAAACTGGGAGAAGGGAGACGCTTCCTTACAGCAGAAAGACGACTGATGCCTGGTCAGTGAGGAGGGCCTGGGGTTTGGAAATCGTCCTTTTGCAACCATGCAGAGACTGGCCTAGGCAACAATCATCAATGGACACTAAATCTAGGTAGGACCTTTCTGAGGAGAAGAAGCCTATCTGCATGGTCTTAAAGTATGTCCCCACAGGGAAAAACGTACTAACTATACAGCAGAAAAATCTAACAGAATCTTAACTGGGTAATCTATCTGATCGCCACCGTGGAGCAGATGGATACTGTGTGCCTCTGGACATGACACCCTAAGAACGACACACATTCATACACACACGTTCTGATGGGGAATGAACGCACAATCTCAGTTTATCCTGAGGAAACATCCAACCAACCCGAACTGAGAAGTATGCTATTACAAAGATTGGGATGCTATGCTCCTTGAACAGGCAACGTTCTTCAAATGCATCAATGCCATAAAAGACAAAGGATGAGGAAAGATGTAACAACTAAATGCAACATGCATTCCTCAACTAGACTCTACACTGCAGGGAAGAAAATACTGTAAGAGGCACCCCTGGGTCAGTAGACAGAACTGGAATACAGATGGCAATGTTAAGTAGGAGTAGTAAGTACTGAGGAGTAAATGTGCTTGATATGTGCAACTTGTTCTAATAGGGATCAGGAAAAAGCCTACGTGTACACACATATGGAGAAGGGAGAGGGACAGAAATGATAAAATGGAGCAAAATATTAACAATAGATGATGAATATGGGTAAAGGTACATAGGTGTTCTTTGTTCTATTCTTGCACCTTTTGTGTAAGTTTGAAATTATTTTGAACATTACTTAAAAAGAAACTTAAAAAATAAATACATACAGTATGATTCCATATATGTAATATTTAAAAACAGGCAAAGCTAATTAAGGCTT